TGCTAATTTCTAAAGACTAAATCAAGTTTACCTCTTACACAAAATTTAACAGCGATTTTTTTTTTTCTACTTAGCCTATACATATTTACAAATTAACTTCTTCCAACGTATTAATAGTTCCTTTAAAGTTCGCCTTGGGTATAAACAGAGTTCCTTGTTTGCTCCTTTAGCCACACTCCAGTTGCCTTTCTCTCGTATCTTCTCCAAACTTTCTCGTTCTTTGTTCGTTCCTTTAGCCCGTCGATAATTCCAAAAAAAAACCTCCACACTCCAGTTGCCTTTCTCTTGTATCTTTCCAAACTTTCTCTGGCTTCGGTTTTCCGGTCAGCCACTCCCTAACAATTAAAACAATGCTGCCAATACTCACAAATACTTCTTCTGCTTCTTCTGCTTTTACTTCTTCAACTCTTATGGCACGTCAGATGGCTTTTCCCCGACAAATGGCTTCTTTAGTCGTGAAATTAGAGGAAAGCCTCCACTAAAAGGGTTTCAGCGGAATCGCTTGTGCTTCTAAGGTCTTCTTCTCGTTCTCTCTCCGGCGCGCTCTCTGCACTCACTGCTCTTCCCTCGACGCGGCTCCTTCTTAACATCAAAACTCACAAATCCATTCAAATGTAAATGTACAGTGTGGCAAAAGGGACTATAGTAAAAATTCCGACAGTAATTAACAGCTTTTAACAATAGAACGGCTAACAATGAAGATTTTAACAAAAAAAATTACGTAATAGTTTACACAGCAGAAAAATACTTAAAAAGTAATTAGCATATAAAACAACTATTATAAATTAGGAATTCTGTGACACCTCCCCCCAACAATGGCTATTTTTTAGGGGAAGTGAAGACAAAAAATAGCCTAAGCAAGCGTTGAAAGTACAACAGTAAGCTTACTTAAACCCTGCTAAGGGCATCTACGTTACAGTTCTGTTTGCCACTTTTGTGTTCGACGACCATGTCATATTCTTGTAGAGTAATGCTCCACCGCAGCAGCTTCCTACTCTTATCGCGGACCTGATTCAACCACACTAAAGGGTTGTGGTCCGTCTGCAGCTTAAAAAGTACGGCCATACAAATAGTACCGAAACAGCTCAACAGCCCATACAATACCTAAGCACTCTTTCTCTGTAGTGGATAACTTTTCCTCTCTAGGCTGAAGCTTTCTACTTGCATATGCTATAGGATGTTCCTCCCCTTCCTGATCTTTCTGACTTAAGATTGCCCCAAGACCTCTATTCGAGGCATCTACTTGCAAAACGAATTCGTCTTCCCAATGTGGCGGTCTCAAAACGGGTGGGTTCTGCATAGCAGCTTTTAGATCCTGAAATGCCAATTGATGGATTATATTCCACTGTACCTTAGAGGGATTCTTACCTTTAGTTAGGTCAGTCAAAACAGCAGCTCGTTCTGAAAAGCTAGGAATAAACTTTCTGTAATACCCAACTAACCCAAGAAAAGATCTTACCTGCTTCTTAGTCTCGGGTCTTGGATAATCTACAATGGCCTGAACAAGGGCTGTGCGAGGTTCAATTCTATCGCCACCAACGCGGTGACCGACGAAATCTACCGTTGACATTGCAATCTTGCATTTTGAGGGTCTTGCGTTCAGTTTAGCTTCTCGCAGACGTTGTAAAACCTGTCTAAGCTCAGAAAGATGCTGTGGGAAAGAAGTGGGCGTGTCAACCTCAACATCATCGATGTAAGCGTCTGCAAAATCTAACCCTTTGAGGACTGTTTGCGACATCATCCTTTGAAAGGTAGCCGGGGCTGTTTTCATACCGAATGGCATCACTAAAAACTCATATAGTCCTCTCGAGGTAATAAATGCGGATTTTTCGATAGTAGAGGTCTCCAGGGAATTTGCCAGTACCCTTTCGTGAGATCAATTGTACTGATGTACTTTGCAGAAGCAATTTTTCAATCATTCTTTCCATGGATGGAATTGGATAGGCATCCATCTTAGTCACATGGTTCAATTTCCTGTAATCCACACATAGCCGAATAGTACCATCTGGCTTGGGAACAATGACAACAGGGGCCGCCCAAGGACTTGTGGAAGGACGAATTATACCCATTTCTAGCATTTTCTCAATCTCTTTGTTGACCTCCTGTTCGAGTCTTTGAGGTATTCTATAGGGTACACTTCGGATGGGTGACGACCCGCCAGTATCAATTTTTTGTGTGTAGCTACATTCGTTAAATTTGGTCTTCCTGAAAACACATCAGAATACTCGTGTAATAAATTCCTCACCTGGCTCCTTTGACCTTCGGTTAAGTCATCCGAGATTGTAACATCTTCCCAGGTTTCCTCGTGACCAAAGGGGGACATTATTCTCGTGGGGTAATGGCATCTCTGGGGACTCTTCCATCACTAGAGCGGCCATTTCGTCTCTGCTCTGCCATTTACTTAACAAGTTAATATGATAAGTGCGATGCTGCTTGCAAGTCTTACCGGTGTCAAGTTCATAATTCAACCCATCTTCTAGTGCTCTCGTGACTGTAAAGGGTCCTTGCCACTTCATCTCTAATTTACTCCCAGGGAGGGCAACAAAACTAAGGCTTTATCACCGGCCTCTAAGCGTCGCTCTGAGCTATGGGTGTCATACCACCGTTTCTGCTTACCTTGAGCTTGCTTCAGATTCTCTTGAACAACTTGTTGCATTGTTGCAAGTCGTCTACGGATCTCCAGGACATGTGTTATCAGGTTTTCTTCTGAAGACTGCCCTTCCGACCAAGTTTCCTTAATAACCGCGAGGGGTCCTCTCACAGTACGCCCATAAAGTAACTCAAATGGGGAATAACCAGTGGACTCACAAGGAACTTCTCTGTAAGCAAAAAGCAAATATGGGAGGTACTTGTCCCAGATCTGCACGCGCTCTCGAACAAACTTCTTTAACATACCCTTTAAAGTTCCATTGAATCTTTCCACTAGCCCATTTGCCTCAGGGTGGTATACTGATGTTTTAATCTTAGTAACCCCTAACTGGTCGTACAGCTGGGCCAAGAGCTTACTCATGAAATTGGATCCCTGGTCAGACACTATTTCATCGGGAATACCTACCCTAGAGAAATACTGAATCAATGCTTCCGCAACCGTCTTTGCGTTTGTTGTTCGCAAAGGTATGGCCTCTGGATACCGTGTAGCATAATCTACTATAGTTAAAATGTATTTATAGCCAGTTGTTGTCCTAGGTAACTCCCCAACGATGTCTATAGCGATTTTCTTAAAAGGCTCGGTAACGATTTCCACCGGTTTTAAAGGTGCTCTTTTTGACTTTAATTTCCTGGCTACCAACTGACATTGAGGACAGGTTGCACAATATTTGCGTACATCAAAACTTAGACCAGGCCAAGAAAAATGCGCAGCTATCCGGTCCAATGTTTTTTTGCTACCCATATGACCTGATAAGGGGATTGTGTGTCCAACCCGCAAAATTTCGTTTCGATAGGATTCTGGCACTACAATACGATCAACATACCTAGTTCCATTATGCTCATCTGAGAGATATTTGCGATGAAACAAGAGGTCATTTGTGAAAAAGTAGCCATCGGATACTTCTGGTGCCTTCTGGAACGCTTCACGGCGTATCTTCCCTAGAGTTACGTCGGACTTTTGATCTGCAATCAGCTGATTTCTATTTCGGTCGAGGATGTTTACCGGAAAATTCTCCTTTCCTGGTTCGGTTACAGTAGTATCATTCTCGGAATTCTCCTCACCTTTCTCTTCCGGTATCTTTCCCTCAAAGAGGGTTTGCAGATCTCCTTCCTCTGGACCCTCACGTTTCATCTCTTTTTTTGATAAACTTTTGACTGCTATTGAACTTTCTCGGTCAATTAATTCATCTGCTCTCAACTGGGCTTCTTCTAATGCTCTCTGTCTTCGAGTCATTACGAAGGCCTCTTGTCCACCAGCATCGGCTGCCCGAACGTTTTCCTCCCATTGGTCCAAAATATTTTGTCTCGAAAGCGTCTTTCCAAAGGAGGACCTGCCAAGTAAACAATCTACAGGTAGCTTGTCTAAAACTCCAACTAATTCTACATGTTTACCTTCCTTGCTATCAAATTCAACCTTTGCAAGGGGGACTGTAAGACGTTCTCCCGCAGCTGTTAATACTGTGATTTTGTCACCAGTCAAGGCTGAGCTGTTTACATATTTCCTGTGAACTAGAGTCCTAGTACACCCAGAATCAACGACCATTTGTGCAAACTTTCCATTTATTTTACCTCGAACATTGCAAGGAGGAAACTCAGATTGCTCTGTTGTTAAAGGTGTCATACACAACAGGTACCCCTGTGAGGGCTTCCCACGACCCTTACCACAGTTAAACGACATGTGTCCTGGTTTACCACATTTGAAGCACTTAATTTCAGGCTTTGTAGTCTTTTTGTTCAGGGGATGGTGAGGGTTTTGCAGGCTTTTTCTTGATTTTGATTTTGTTTCTCTTCAGGCAAAGAATCAGCTGCCTTACCTCCAAACCTTTCCTTTTTCATAGATTTTCCCCCACCTCGGTTTGTTACATACCTGCCTCCAACAAGTGGTCCTTTTCTGGACTGAACATGCAAATTGGCGAGATTACCAAGTTCCTCAGCAGTCTTTGGCTCCTGTTCCTTTAACCAAGCTCTAAGTTCAGGGCTTACTGCATCAAGGAGTCGCTCCATCATTATTTGTTCGATGATCTTTTCTGCGTCCCCTGTTGCCTCGGCAACGGCCATCCAACGATTGAGGTACCTACGGGTCCTGTTTCCCCACTGAACAAAATCCTCGTCAGGTTTTTTCTCCGAAGTTCGAAACCTGTATCTATAATGATCAGCAGTCAACTGATAAGCTTTTAATGATAATGGCCTTACTTTCGAAATAATCTTGGCAGGCAGGGTCAGGAATTTCTAAGTAGATTGACTTAGCCTTTTCAGTTAGCTTGGGTACTAAGTTACCAACCCAGTCCCCCTCAGGTAGGGATTGTGCCCTTGCAGTCATTTCAAAAATCCGGAAATAATCATCTATATCTTCGCTTTCCCTCATTTCCCTGATTTTCATAAATTTGGGCCCCCTAGTCTCATTATTACTCACCTGCCGTCTTTCCGACTCCCTTGTAGCAAATTGTTCTTTCTCAGCTCTGAGTACTCTAAGTCTCTCCTCTTCTCGAATCGAACGTTCTTCTTCCTCCTGGGACTTTTGCCTTTCATACTCTCTTCTCTCTATCTCAGCCTCCCTTTCTGCCTGGCGCCTCTCTCTCTCAACCTCTCTCTCTAGCTCCCTAATTTCCCTTTGCTCCTGACTAATTTTCCTTCGTAATTCTAGCATCTGCATTTCACGTTCCTGTAGCTGTAATCTTTGTTCAAAACTGAGACTAGTGTCCGGAGCAGACTCCGCAAGATTCTCGTTTTCCCCCGCATCGCCCGAACTTTGGCCTGACCGATCAAACGTTCTTAGTTTGCTTGCTAAGGTCTTAACTCCGTCCTTACGTGGAAAATAAATACGTCTTCTCGTAGCTTCATCCCTAAGTTCTTGTAATGTCCAGGAGTCATAATCGGTGGCTCTAGCGGCCATGATAAATCCTAAATATGGTAATTGTATACGTGTCTCCGTTTGAGCCGTTTACACAAACCGTTAAAGAGCAATCCCACTTCTGACACCAAAAATCTGTGACGAAACCCGACACAAAAGTGAGTCCTCTCTAACGACAAAACATAGCACAAACAAACCCGAGAAGACACGTACATAAAAAAAAAAAATATAATATTCTAAACGTTTAATAAAACAATACTCCCAAAAAAAAAACTCCACGATTAAAAATAAACTAGGCGTTACTAAACAATATTAAACGGGATAATTATTCTAATTCCTAAAGACTACTGCGACAATACTTGTAATAATTATGCTAATTTCTAAAGACTAAATCAAGTTTACCTCTTACACAAAATTTAACAGCGATTTTTTTTTCTACTTAGCCTATACATATTTACAAATTAACTTCTTCCAACGTATTAATAGTTCCTTTAAAGTTCGCCTTGGGTATAAACAGAGTTCCTTGTTTGCTCCTTTAGCCACACTCCAGTTGCCTTTCTCTCGTATCTTCTCCAAACTTTCTCGTTCTTTGTTCGTTCCTTTAGCCCGTCGATAATTCCAAAAAAAACCTCCACACTCCAGTTGCCTTTCTCTTGTATCTTTCCAAACTTTCTCTGGCTTCGGTTTTCCGGTCAGCCACTCCCTAACAATTAAAACAATGCTGCCAATACTCACAAATACTTCTTCTGCTTCTTCTGCTTTTACTTCTTCAACTCTTATGGCACGTCAGATGGCTTTTCCCCGACAAATGGCTTCTTTAGTCGTGAAATTAGAGGAAAGCCTCCACTAAAAGGGTTTCAGCGGAATCGCTTGTGCTTCTAAGGTCTTCTTCTCGTTCTCTCTCCGGCGCGCTCTCTGCACTCACTGCTCTTCCCTCGACGCGGCTCCTTCTTAACATCAAAACTCACAAATCCATTCAAATGTAAATGTACAGTGTGGCAAAAGGGACTATAGTAAAAATTCCGACAGTAATTAACAGCTTTTAACAATAGAACGGCTAACAATGAAGATTTTAACAAAAAAAATTACGTAATAGTTTACACAGCAGAAAAATACTTAAAAAGTAATTAGCATATAAAACAACTATTATAAATTAGGAATTCTGTGACACCCGTACGTAGCATAGGTGACAATAGGTTTCCCCTCCCCACCCTACCCAGATTTCACGTTGCTTGCTTCATAAACCAAGGTGAAGGTTACATGATGAAACATGGCTACCTTGGAAAGATGACCAACCCATAAATTTTTAGTGTGAAAAAACTGAGTAACTCGCTATCCGAACAATTAATGGCTAAACAGGGAATAGCGGAGTTTGTTTTGGCACCTCATTGTCATTATGACTGTTTTCCTTTGATGAACGCTACCTTAATATCTTAATTAGTTATGTTAATTTACCTCTCTTCTCGTGTATGTAAACTATATTTTTTCTTTTCAGCTTGTACTTGTGACGGTATTGGTGCGTTCCACAACGTTTGTAATCACGTGACTGGCGACTGTGTATGCAAGCCTTACGTGACAGGAATGAACTGCTCAGCATGCCAGGTTAGGAATAGATAATATTATTATGAAGCAGGGTTTTCGGTAACATTTGGAATTGCCGGATGCAGGGGTTTAGCTGCTGGATTTGCACCGTTCGTGCCGGAAGAAAAAAAACCGTTGAAGGGTCTATTAACACCTAACACTCGTCTGTTCTTTGTCTTGGGTATATTGCTGTATAGTTCATATTGTAGACGTCCGTTAAGCCTTTTAAAAAATATAATTCTTGCAAATGTACTCTCTTGCAGCCGAACAGTTACAACTTTACCTCAAGTGGCTGCATGGCGTGTGGTTGCAACCAATTTGGCTCAAATTCACTTCAGTGTAATGATTCAGGAATCTGTGAGTGCAAAAACCACACCCTTGGCGAAAAGTGTGACTTATGTGAGTGGGGATTCTTTGGGCTTCCTAATGCCACATGCCAAGGTAGGGAATTGTACTGTTTCTTTTCTTACATGTATTAACTTTGCTAAATCCATTCGGGTAATTGTAACTTTTATTTTATGTACAACTTTTGGATGAGGCCGCCGACAGTTTTTTGTTATATGATAATTTCCAGAATGTGGTTGCAATGAGACTGGTTCTAACAACTACACAAGGTGTGACCGCAGCACAGGCCAGTGCTACTGCAAACCAGGCGTAACAAACCGACTTTGTGATCAGTGTTCGATACAGCACACGAACTTCTCAGGAAACGGCTGCGATCGTAAGTACAACAAAGCGTAAAAGCTTTATTACTTTACATGAACCGTACATGAACTGTGAATGACTATGGTTTGAGGATATTGGCAGTGTATTAGTGAAATGTTTGGTTCTCCACAAACCATGTCTGACTTGCAGTGTGTCCTGAACAAAGACAGTAGCTAATCGAGTATAAAAACAAAGCCTCCCACTCAGGCGTATTTTTTGGAGAGTCACGCAATCCTCCCCAAAGCGTGACGAAGTCCTACGTATTTAACAGTGTTGTGTTCCCCTTTGACCTTATATGTCGGCGGGAGACAGTGTTAGCGTAGATGCCATGTGACCTTAAAGAAGCCAGTGAGAGCTAGTGCAGCTGGGGGAAAAGTTCTACAGTAGAATCCCGGGGCGCTTTCCATTTATCAAGAAATTCCGGCTGGGATGCTAATAGAAGACACGTTTTCCGGGCGTTCCACTGGAAAATTCCCGGGAATAAGGGGAGTTTTGAAAAGGTAGCCCAGTTTTCCCGTCGGAAATTTTCCAGTGGAAATGCATTTTCCATTTACGAGTTTTCACAAGAAATCACCAGTTCCATGCTATTCACGGCAATATCTCTGCCACCATTTTGAATTTTTGGGACGAGAGCATAAACGAATGGAACTTGGGTCAAATGGAACACGTTCTTCACTCGATGGACCTTTCAATGGACGTTTCCGAAAGGTTTTGGTAATTGGAAAACGCCCCCCGATATTCTAACCAAACCCAACTTCCTTTCACCCGTCAAACTCTGTAATTGTATGCCCGATTTTTCGAACCTCCCGATAATTCGAACTCATTTACCTTTCCCTCTGTGGCTCGAAAAATCGGGATTCCACTGTACGTAGATATGAAACGGCGTAGATATGAAACGGCGCTGAACGTAGTGGCGGTGACAGAGAATGTAAATACTTTCCTATTGGTATGAACGGACGTGAGCCGTTATGGCGTTAATTGACGCTATTGTTATTAGGTATGTAAGGTTTTGACAGTTGTAATGTATTCATCTCATCTCCGGAATTATAAACTATTATTTTTATATCTTACTTTATTCATCTATCCATTGAGTTTTTGCCTTTAACCCCCAGAGGTTGTGGGACCGCGTCGTTTGGTGAATAGTCGTGAATATAAAAAGGAATATTCGTGTATAGGGGTTGGCAAAACTGATAACAATGAATAGCAGTCCTTTTAGTAGAAATTGCAATGTATAGTATATTGCAAGAAGTAGAACAGGTGTATAATATGGTGTACTGCCTGTGAGGAAGTGATAAAAAGTTTATATATAACATAGTGAAACTGTCCAAAAATTGATTGTTTTTTATTTGTCTGTAGCGTGTCCACTTTGTAGCAGACTTGGATTACAAGCTGACATCAACAAAACACTTTTGGACCTAAAGGAAGCCCAAGCTAACGCAGATATAGTTTCTAACCTAAAAGATTTATGGCCAGAGTTGACTAAAGTGGAAGGACTTATTGATGACGCTGAGGTTTGTTTTTGCACTGTCAGTCTGTGATACCAGCAGAATGACCTAAAATCCAGAAGAGTTGCAAATCGCCACCTTATAGAACGCATTAGACAAACAAACTCAGCAAAAATAGATAGGAAGCGGAAAATATGCTTAGGTTTGTTCGGTTTAACAATCTCAAGGGCGATTGCATGTTTATAATTTGTTCACTGGCTACACGTTATTTTGAACGGCTAGTGTCCTATATGTCATGGAGTAATTATTTGAAGTAAAAGTAAGATAACCTTACGTCAGCATAATTCTAGTTTGTTTACTCTTTTAAGTAATCAATTAACTTCGTTGTTTTTCAGGCCTCAGAAAAAGAATTTGATGACGTCGTGAGAGGTCTTTCTAACAACCTGACTCAACTGAAGGATAGCCAGCTAAACAGGACAATAATTGATATACAAGTCTTGGTAAGATGCAGCATAATTTATTCTATGATTCGGTTTTCTTTGGGCCTGGCACTTGTGCTTTGTTGTCTTTTTTCTATTTGACCAAACCACGTACGGTAAAGTATTGTATCTCCAAAAAGGCATTAGTAAAGTGATTATTTTTTTTATTATTATTCACTATGACTATAATTATCAACTTATTTTGTGCTTTTTATTGTTTTTAGTTGTCAAACGCATTACAGCAAAGTGCTTCTTTGCAAGCCAATGTCACTCGAGAATTGAACCGTATTCGAGAGCTGAATACTAATACCCAGTCTGCGAAAGACAATGTTACAGGTTAGCGACTAAGTAATATGACTGTATTAGCACTTTCACTCCCCGGCAGAGTCTTGTGAGGTGGTTCTAACTTTTGAGTCTGTTGATGAAAACATTTGTTGTTACCATTCAAGTGAAACCTCTTCGGCAGTACTTTCGCAACGTGCTATTTTTAGTGTTTTACAAAATGAAATCTCACCAACGAAAAAATCTAGTACATTGAGGATGATAAAGGTGTCTGCGAGCAACCTCTTGTTAGCTTGGGGGAGGGGGTTAAGGATAGGGAAAGAAAAGCAACTGGAGGTGGCCCCAAACGGCAAAAGATACAGATGAGGCTGGCGGAAAAACACTTTAGTAAGCCGCCGCCTTAAGATTGATCTCCACCCAGCATCATTTTTCATTAAACTTCTACGAAGCAGACATTCAAATTTCTGAGACGTGACGAAAGTGCAAGCTCTCGTCTTCGTGCTCGTAATTACTGAGTTTCAAGCTGAATTGGACTTTTATTGGCTCATCATTATTGACTTAACTGGATCACGTTGGAGGTGAAACAAAAATATCTTTTGTTGGTTTTGGATATTTTGTAGACTGACACAGTCGTTGTATTTGCTCATGAGGGCATTGCTTAATGAAGTGAACTTGTTTGTGCTGTTTTGGTTTCAGCTCTGAATGCCACCGTTACTGACGTATTGACTCGACTTACAAGTCTAAAGAGGCATGCTGATAATTTATTAGCTGGGATAAATGGCATTATGAATAGGACGTATGACAATGAAGAGCAGCAGGCTGATGAGGAATATCGAAAAGCGCAAGATGTTTCCGCATTAGCCATGTCAGCTAGATTCAACGTAACAGCTCAGGAAAACTTGAGAAAGAACTTAAACGATACAGCGGTGCAGCTAGAAAGAAGCCTTCTTGTTTCGATGGGAGATTTCGACCAATTAACAAACAGGGCCATAACTACTGCTGTTATCACGGATGATGCCGTTATTCTTATCAATCGGACAAAGGTGTGTTCACTGCATTGTGATTTTGTGAAGTGTAACGAACGCAGACGTGACACTATGGTCACACTGTACCGGACGGCTTTTGCGCTGGCACGAAAACCATAGCGGAGAAGGCTTCTGTTCACACACGAGAACAGTGATTTCGGCGAGATTTCTGTAAAGGAGCGAAGCTACGCCGCGCCGACCTCATCTCTGAAGTGGAGAGTTACATATCAGATAGGTCTTCAAACTAAACCTGATAGTTTTTCCGGCGCGTCGACAGGAAAAGCGGTCAGGTATGATGGGGATATATCCTAAATGGTAGATTTTCAAGGTATTTCGTCAATCTTTGCTGCCGTCAGTTATTTAACAATTATTCCTCGAGCCCGAATGGGCTCTGAGTCAATAGCCCATGAGGCCCAAGGCCGAATGGGCTATTGACTCAGAGCCCATTCGGGCTCGAGGAATAATTGTTTTAGTAAAATCCAACTAGCTGGTCAAAAAATCAAGACAAAACAACTTTAGCTAGCAGAACGTGATTCAGCCGCCATTGTTTTGATTTCCAAAGCCGGCGCTTTTCGCTACTAGTGAGCTATAACATATAGTCTAGTAGTAGCTCAACCAATCAGAACGCAGCATTGATAATAGACCACTAGTTGGATTTTACTAAATATGTTTTATTTCTTGGTTATTTAATGTTTGTTTTGTTTTCTTTTTACAGAACTTGATCAGTGAAGCAAGGAATATAACCGATCGAGCACTTCAGTTACTTGAGACAGTTCGCGGGATTTTAAACCGCAGTGACCTCTACGTTTCCACAGGACAAAACAATTACGAGGTACGGACTACATGAAATAAAATTTTTTCCTATGATTGTGTAGATGTTGGTTTCGCTTTGCCGCAAATACAATAGAAAATAAGCAATTTAAAGGAATTAACTGAGTTATCAACAAAGAATGCCAACAGTGCTAGTGGTCAGTGGTTGTTTTGGAGGTGCATGTGCATTATATCCCAACATTTTTCATGTGTTCTTTCATGTGTTTCGTGCAGAGTGAGGAGTTTTTTAACCAGTATTGTTTGGTGAGAGGTTTCTTCTAAAAGTTTCCCCCTGCCCTCCCTTCCCTTCCCCTTTTTTCTTTTCACTGATACTTTTGTGCGACGGGCGCCTACTGCCTTGCGTGTGGCTAGATTACGAGGTCGTGCCAGCCAAAGTGAAGAGGTAGCCCTTAAATAATTCAGCCCCAACCTCCATTCAGCCTAATTTGCTGTCTTGTTTGTCTCACAAGACATGAGCCAGGAATCGCAGTAAAACACGAATTTTAAAATAATGTAGTTGAAGTAGTCATTGCTGTTGTGTGTTTCCAGGATGCAAGTACTCGTCTGGGCATCTTAAGAGAGAATATGACCACATTGGACAACTCTCTTCAGGCTGTAATGCCAGAATTAAATGCTGCAAATCAGAGTGTAACTGAAAACGCCACTAAACATGCGGCTAATCTTACAGCTGAAGCCAGGCAACGACAAAGGTGAGTTTATTTCGCCGAACAGAAACGAATAAAACGACTCGCTATTTACGGTGGTGCAATAAAAAAATAAAATGGTAAATTAATCAATCAAATGTTAATGTAATGATAAACCATGATAGACTTTCTCAAAGCCTGTTTCCGGTTCATACTGATTCGATGCTCGTCTCGCGACTTCGTCGCTCGCTCTTGTCCTCGCGCCTTCGGCCGCAGTCGACTTGTGGCAAGTCTAAGGTAATAATGGTGTAAGCTGGTTTTGAGAAGATAAGCAAGAATATGATCATAGGCTAATGATGATGATGACGACGTTAATCGCACCGTTGTAATGGTGATTATCGTAATGGTGATGATAAAAAAAATAACGTCCAGGACATCAGTGAGGATTTTTATGATGACCGAAACTTGGTTGACGACGATGATTACGTTGATGATACTAACCATGCGAAGGTAGCCTGCGAGCAAGCTCTCCATTTGGGGAAGTCGCGAGAAGTCACGCGAAAGTAACACGCGAAAGGAGACGCGGGTGCGAGGGACGCCTCTCGCGGTTTGCTTTGCTCGCCAAAAATCAGGGGAGAACTTGCTCGCATGCTTGTGCAAAGATTATGACGATGCGATAAAAGTATGTTGTTTATTTTGTTTTCAGTGTTTTTAACACCACCCTGTCTCACGGAGCGCGCGCTGTTGATGCTATCAAAACGTTTGAAGAAGTAGTACGGCTCGGAAATCAATCGCTTGAAACTTCCCAGCAGGTCAACCAGTCACTGCAAGAAATTATGACCAGGGTGAGTTATAACAAACTCTCTCTAGAAGGGTTTTATCGCCTGCAGAACAGGCGTTATTTTTTGCGCCCACTCCCTTGCGCGTGTCTCGCGCTCCACGCCCGCGTCGAGGTTTGTTCCCCTGAAAAGCGCGAAATAATACCGTCTGTTTTGCAGGCTACTTTTAAACCAAATCCTGAAATGCCATATTTAGGAGAGAAGGATGAACAATCTTTAAAAGTAACAGCAATCGCTGAAAAAATCAACAAATCAATCAGTATTCAAAGGAAAGCAAACAGAGAACTCCAAAAATGGAACAACTGAAATCTTGTAAATTGATATCGGAAAGTTAATCCTACGAAAGCAACTTGTTTCCCTTTCATCGGTGATTTTTTAGCCTTATTAACCAGTTGCACTTGTAAGCAAAAATCGTTTTTTGTAATTATTTTATTATTTTGTCGGAACATGTATGATGCGTAGTCTGGCTAACAGTGAGCATGATTCTACTGCAGCGACAAAATGTCCCTCTTGTTTGCATGTAAGACTTAAATGAATTCAATTTCTGGTTAATTTATTTCAGCTTCAGAATGTAACGTTAGTTAGCTCCGATCTTCAAACAAGAGTTGCTGATTCAAAAGACCAAAGTGAAGAATTTTTCAACAATACTTTGGCCAGGGATGCGAATCAAAGAGGTAAATTATTCGGGTTTTTTGTCAATCGTAATTCCATATTCCAGTGGTTCTATTACCTCCCATAATATCGCACGTAGCAACAAGCTACAATCTGCGTTACCTTACGAATCCATGATACTGAAAAAAACAGTAATTTAACTAATTTAAGTAAGTGTTTTTAGAGAATTGGGCGTTGCCTTTGGCACCTTAGGAATCGAAGTCTAAAGGTCATAGACGCACGTATTTTCAGAATGAGAATGAGATGAATATAAAATAAAATTTACTAACATACCGGTTTTTCGGAAAAAAAGGAAGATCTTTTTATTTGCCTTTTTCTCTGTGTAATTGCTTTTAGTCTAGAACAAGGTATTAACTACTTTATTAGCCTGCGTAGACGCAAGCGGTCGGAAGGAAATATTAGGGAATTAATCGGCTTATTTACATGGAGGTGGGGGACCTCAGGTAGGTGAGGTAACCCGTTTAGGTGGGGTAACTCGCCTGTCCATATAATCTCTAATTTTAATTGGATTACGTTGACAAGACAGGTGGGGTGACCAGCCAAGGTGGATAGCTTGGTCTGCCAAACTGGGTAACCTTCTCAGCCGGGGCAAATTTTGCCATGTAAACGTTTCAAAGTGGGATAACTCGGCTAGCCGGGGTCGGATTCGTGATACATTAAATTCGCGCAAAATTCACTTTGGCGGTGGCTTTGCATCATTACTAAAGATAACAATAGAAAGCCACATCACTGAAGGTTGCAGCAAGAGCAGCAAGTGAGTGTAGAAGAGCATGAATCACCAAAACACGTGGTTTGCCAGCATTTTCCTTGTTTACGTGCTTAGCCACCATTCAATAATCTTGAGAAAGTGCACCCCGGGATGGAGGGGTTGTAAGATTGCATGAAAAGGAGGGTTATTTTTTTTACTCCACCTAGACGGATTACCTCACCTACCTGGGGTCCTCCACCTCCATGTAAACAGGCCGTAAGATTCCATGACGCGGCGGCAACGAAAACGTCTTAAAAAACAATAGGTTTAATAAGAAAAACAACAACTTCACACGTGCATCACGCCTTTTTGTACGTTTCTTTGCCGTTTTTTGAACGACTACGACGCCTGAGTCCGTGTTTTATGGAGGAGGTAAACAAGCAACGACGAAATTTTGTTTCGCTTTCTGAACTTGAATATGGTCCCTTGGAATTCAAATTCAGAGGGGTTCGCAAATTCACTTTTGCTGTCGCGTCGTTAAATCTCAAAGTCCCTTATGGCGCAATGTTCTTTCTTGTGCCCATTACGCTCAATCGCGTGCTACGCATGCTAATGCTTTACGTTTTTCACAGTGAAATGTTTACTTAACTTAATGCTCTTTATTTAGGGCTTCGAGCCAATGTTACCTCATCAAACCAGACGTTGACGGACGCTGTAACGACTGGTGATTCAGTGGATTCTCTTTACGTCACTTTAAAATCTCAGCGAGACTCTCTTGTACAAGCAGCTGAGTTGGGAAGTGGTACACACTCCGTCCTATCAAACGCCCGGACTGCTAGCGACTATTCCAACGAGGCACTGTTTCGCGCCAATCCTGTTAATGGTGGTACTCCAGCCTTGCTGGATCAAGTCAACAGACTTGAACAACGGATGAAGGCAATTAACCAATCAGCTGAGAGAGCTGCAGGTCTCACGTCCAAGGCATTTGCAAATGGTAAGCCTGTTTATGTACAATTTGTTGGTAGTTTTCCTGTGCACGAAAATTTTGAGCATTTGGAACCCCGGATTAACTGTCCTGAATCACACACCAACGTGATTTCTATCCACTAAATAAAAAACGTCACTTTTTTCTCGTGATGAAAGGGGGGATGGGTGAACGTGAAAGTACTGTTTGCAGTCCTGATGGTAATTTTGTTTGCGCGTTTGAAGGATATTGTGATTTGTCGGATTTTCTTTACTAAATTCACTTTACCAAAGAAAAAATTCCAAATTCCGATTTCTCGAACCCTCCTTTTTTCTATATTCCCGATAACTTGGAACCCAGTCAATTGACCTTTACCAGTAGTCAAACACTGTAATTTTACACCAAATTTTTCCAACCAATTCGCTTCTCTTAACGTGTTTCAAAAAGTCTGGTTCCATTGTATGTGTAAACTGATTTTTGTGTTGAAGATATTCTGTTAAAGTTTACTGTATTTGCCTACTTATTACAGTGAAAAATGCAAGTGCAGCATTGGGTGGGGTGGATAGAGCAGTGCAAAGAGCGGATGAACTGAAAAACCTAACAGCTAACTTACAAGCCCAGCTCAGGCAGAACATGTCAGTGTTGGAGGAAAAACTAAGAAGAGCTAAAGAATATGTGGCTAAGGTAGATAACTTAAGTCTTTACTGAACGTGGAAAATACATAAATGTGCACATCACTAATACACTTGTAGCTGTAAACGTAAAGAGACTTTTCTTAAGCTTTGATCAGGTGGTTGATAGTTAACGCGTCGTGTAGAATTTTCATACTCTGGCTTTTTATTCAAACCGCAATGAGAACATCTCTGCAAATGTGGAAGTTTTGTAAATTTGTAAATATCAGACTTAAACTCACGGCGAAGAAAAAGCTAAGATTTGCCATTACTTTAGAGCAGAGAAATAATAGCTAGGGAAAAGCGTTGTCCACTTACATCCATTAACAGCCCCACTGGCCTTGCATGTAAAAATTTACCAGTGAGTTAAAGTGCATTAGTTAATCTTTTGCTTGTGTTTCAGATTCGTCTTGCTCTGAACGTTCAAGGAAAAACCGCTGTACAGTACCGTCCTACATCTCGTTTAATAAACACGACTCGTTACACAGAGATCTCGATAGACTTCAGGGCGACTCGTGTCCAGGGCTCGCTCTTTTACCTTTCTGATGAGTCAAGTAGCAGGGTGAGTGTGCAGTGATGTTACACAGCGGTAACCAAGTGAAATATTCCTGAGAGGTCTTCAGCGTCACTTCCATGCCCCTGTTTTTTTTACTATTTTTTCACCTTTGAAATTTTCCCTTTAGCCTGTTTCATTGTTTTTTTTCTGTTCGTAAATTTGGTGTCTTGTTTCGCTGTTGACGTTTCGTCATGTTAAGGAATTTCATGGCCGTTTTAATTTGGTGGAGGTGGAGAACCACCCCATATTTTCTTTTCCGTTGCTCTTATGTCGCACGTTAATATTTAAAGTTTCAGGTTAGGGTAACCCTTCAGCTTAAAAGAGAAGCTGGGATGTAGACACGTTTCGAAATCAAACCTCCAACAGAAATGAAATGCATATTTTGCGGCAATGAGACAAAGGCATTTTTCTTGGAATTCGCCACTTTAGAAACAAGAAGGGGATTGCTGCCGAAACACATCCCGCAAGTTATTCTGGGATCGTTACTAAGGACGCGCCGGTCGGCGTATAACAGCCCCAGAATTCTTTGTGACAATTAACTCGACCCAGTTTCTCTCTCGTTTCTAAAGTGGCGCATGCGTCGTGGCAAAAGGTCCGCACAGAAAAGTTTTTTCATTACTAGGTTGTAAGCGAAAATTTAGTACCTTTTGCTGGCAGACTTTTCACTCAGTTTTCCTTTCTTCCGCAGTCTTTGGCTCTAACTTTAGAGAGTGGATCATTTGTGAAGTTTCAGTACAACCTTGGCACGAATCCTATTAATATCATCAACTGGGCTGTTAGAGTGTACCCTGGTGACTGGTATACTGTGTATGCTACACGGTAAGTATCTTAAATAGATGACATGTAGCCTGAGAAAACAGCAGACATTTCGCGACGCCTCTACCGGTTTCCCCGCGCGCGAAACGAGTGCAGAAATTCCACAACCTCGTTTCCAGGGTCCTCTCGTCCCTGCGGAGCGAGAGGGAGAGAGAGAACCTGGAAACGAGGTCGAAAATTCCATTCTGATGACGCCTTACTACCCAGATCTGGGTAGCGCTTTTGATTGGTTTCCACGTTAAAGTAGACCGTTTTCACTCCTTATGATACAGCCATTAAGTAAAATTACTCTGAAATTGGGGTGTTTTTGTTTCTCTGCAGATATGAGAAAGAAGGACGGTTGACGGTGACAGATCACAAGAGAAACTTTAGCCGTACGTACGAGCCCAGCACAGACGTTATAACAAATACCTTGACCACTGACTTCAAACCTGATGATAATCTTTACATTGGAGGTCTGCCTACTGGAGCCATGGTGAGACTTAAATTGATGGTGTAGCTCTTGAGCTGTTGTTGTCGTACATAATATTTCACTCCAAAAGAAATGGATGCAGGTGTTACGATATCTTAGTCACGTTGGTCGACATGGCATTTTCCAGGGTCATGTTGTTGGACCACTTCTATTTGTACTGTTTACTCCATGTTTGGGTATTAGAGTTTCGCCGTTAAGTCCGTGGCTAGGCGTGTATGACCATACAAATAAATGCCGTGGTTGTTTTATGATTCTAACAACAGTTTGTCTTTCGTTGCTTGTATATCAAAATGTTCTCAGGAAGCCAGGTCAGAAATGTTTACAGTCCGCAGCTACATAAATTGCGTCCGTAGACGATATATCCAACTGTTTCCTAACAATACCGGTTTTTGGTTCCATCGTTACGCTATTCTTGAGAAATCATTAGGTTACATCAAGATGATATATGTAAGGTGTCACTGCCTTATCAGAACCGAATTTTGTTCTGTCTCAGGAAAACAAGACAGACCGCTTCTTTGACGGCTGCATTGACAATGTTGTGCTTAACCAGGAGTCGCTGAATTTGTGGGAACCAGTCAAGGTGGAAGGGAATCGCTCATTCTGTTCCAGAAGGTATCGGCAATATGTAATAGGGGTAATACAGTTGTAGTCAACTTCGGTGTTCGTTATTAGTCCTGATCATTGGCCGTTTAGAGGTGGCGCGTCAGACTGGGTTAGTGTTGTGTCGAACTGCACTATGGGACGAATGTGGACCCATTTTCCTACTCAACTTCGTGTAGGTATTGTAACAAAGGAAGCGATAGCATCCCCTAAACAGTGCCATGGTGCAATTTGTCACAGCACTGACCCGGTCATACGTGCACCCTTAAAATGTCCCACACCTTATTGGGTATATTTTTCCATACCAAATATGGTGTGATGGCTCTTATGCATGATTACGTCAGACAAGCAAATTTCGCGAGCAAGCCTTTTGTAAGCAAAATTCTTCGTCTTTTTACACTTTTTGTGCGTGGATATTCTTTTTAACGTTGGTGCCTTGGGAATTTATGTAAGAAAACTTGGCAATTAACAATTTCAAAACAAGGCTTGGTGGTGAAGTTTGCTCGTCTGACGTAAACATGCATAAGGGCCATGTGGTTACTATGAGTGCAAAGCAAACGTTTTTTTGTTCTCGCGGGGGAATTAATACCTTTTTTCACTAAGCTCACGTGTGTTACTAGTTGTAAAGATTCGTTTCAATTCTATCTTGAATTAAACAAGAAATCGCTTTATTATTTGTAGCTATAGAAAGCTAACCTGTTATCATTGTATGCTGTTCTAGACCTCCCGATGAAGTGGACCTTATTCCTGGAATCAGTTTCTTTGGCATTGCTGAAGGTCATGTGAAGCAGAAGATGGGAAGCTTTAACATTACTGGCGAGTCAGAGATGGAGTTTCAGTTCAGAACATTCCTTAAAACGGCTCTTATTGCTATCGTTTTGAACGGCCAGGTTGGTGTCTGTACAAAACGTTAACGTTGTAAAGTGTGTTACGGTATAAAGCGGATAACTATGTTAGCGTCCTTTGTTTCAGACTTATTGATATTTTCATTTTTTTCTTCACGGACTTGATAAAGAGAATGGTTTTTTGTGCGATCAATGTAACAGTTGCTTTCCTAAAGAGAGACAGATCTGGCGCACACCTTAGCTCAGTTTTTGAGTTTACTTCATAAAACCCTTACAAGTGTTATTCACAAAGGTAGTTGAATGAATGAATGAATAGTCGTGGATGAGAGGACAACAGACGTGCCCTCTTACAATACATTTTAACATGTGAACAGTAAGTTCGGACGTCAGCATACAAAGGCGCCACTGTCACTCAGTCCATTTGTGAGCTTACTCTACCCACCCAACCTATGATGTGAATGATGTGATAAGTGAAGGTTGACCACAAGACCGGGGTCTACGTCCCCTACTCTTTTCGAACAGTGATGTGGGTTCTTTTACGTCCCACAAGAACCAGATAAGTGTAAGTGCTGTGAGACGGGACCTACGGTTTTTTGTCCTTATCCGAGAAGACTAGAAAGTCTAACCGTTTGCAGAGGTCATTACAAAGGCAGCACTTTCTTCTCAGGTATTTAAAGACCCTGAGTGCTGGTCCGGTCGGGGTTCCAACCCGTGACCTCCCGCTCAGCAGACCGGCGCTCTCCCAACTGAGCCAACCAGGCGGTGGTTTTATGTTATTGGTGTGGAGTTTTAAAACAATAGAATGCTTATCGGGCTGCCCTCACAACAGGCCTTTTCTAAGTTGCTCCAAGCCTCTATACCAAACCACTGATATGGAATGATTTTTTATTTTCATGCCAAGGAAACTCTTTATCACAAGAAAGGTTTCGTACTTAGCCTCCTTTCGAAAGTGAGGGTTTTTGGATCTCGGAAAAGGCGTATTTATGGTCCGCATACTTTTCTAAAGCCCTGGTGTCACTTGTGAGAAGTTGCTCTGTTTAGGTGTTTTTCATGTTGTGTTGGTGTGGTCATCGCAGTAAATCTAAATTTCATTTTCAGAATTATGTCTATGGTGTTTACTTGAACGAAAGCCGTGTTGCCTTCTTCTTCAAAACTCCAAGTGACACCTATACAGTTCATAGCAAACTCAGTTCATACAGTGATGGACGCTGGTACAGGGTGCATGTGGTTCGTGGACTCAGGAATGCTAGTCTGACTGTCAGGCCAGCAGGTCCATCAGACAGTGGAGCAGTTGATCACAGCACAATAACAACCTCATCACCCGTTTATCTACCTGTTGGACAAGCGTTGCTATTTGGTGGGAAATATCCCAACAGGTTTGTGGGCATTCGTTATGGTTTCTGCAACTGTTTGAAACTAATTCACTACCAATTCCAATCAATGAAGTAACTGTTTCCCATGACAGTTGCAAGTGAGGTGTAGCTGGAATTTATGACAGGAAATAGGTCAGCCTCGTTCCCAGGGTACTCTACTACTCGGCCACCGGAGCGAGAGATATTGTATTGTACCTACACAAACCGTACCTGTTATCCCAGTATACGTTGAACTGAAACTTCTTGAAATTATTCTAACCTCCTCCTGCCTGACAGACCTTTTCATTAGGTAGAAGCTAAGAAGAAGAAGAATAGACAGCACTTATTAGAGTAAACAATTCTGCATGATTGCAAAAAACTTTGTAAAGGTTAAAATAACGAGGCAAAAACGTCAAGGATAATTCTGTAAAAACAGCAAACCATGCCCGTTAAATAGTTAGTTACTGGTGTATGTAGTGGCTGTATGTAATATTATTATGGTGTTTTGTCTTTGTAGCCCAATCCAGGCTCCTGTAGACACGTCATTCGCGGGAGCTTTAAGGTGGATCAATGTCAGTAGCTCTTCTTCTGGAGTACTGATGTCCCGCTCACTTAGTGATTCCAACCATACTGAGTCTTACAAGGGTGTGTCTTTCTCTGGTCTGTTGCCTGTGGTAAGAACATAGCTGGAGTACCGTATTTATTCGAATAAGCGCCTACCCCCTTCCCCCTCCGACCCTCAAAAAATTTAGTGCACGAGAGAAGTATTGTTTATTATTTATTCACTGGCCTACAATCTCTAGATTCATCGTCTACGAGAATGTTGGAGTTTTCCTCAAAGTTTCACGTTTTGTTATTACCATTTATTGTTTTGTTGCAAAATAAACATACTACACTCGCTGAAAATGGTGAAAATTTTAATAAGCGCCCAGCCTCGAATAAGTGCCCAGGGCGGTTAATCGAATAAATACGGTTTTCTTCACTTTAATAACGAAAAAGGAACTGAGCCTAGTTAACGATCGCAAAGACTTCTGGCACTGTCACTAGGGACAAGTGAATGACAGGTGCGCCCGCCCCCAGTAACGATACCTGAAACAATTGCAGTACGCAGTTCGGTTCCCATTCACTTTTCTTTTCTACACTGGCGAATAGAACGGTAAAGTAAAATCTAGGGTCAAACTTGTTTGCGCCTTTTCGTGAGACAAAAACAAGGCAAGACTGAAGGGAACGTTTTGGCGAACTGCAGAAAAAAAAATTGTTCTCAAATTAATTTTCTTTATATATTCCACATCTGTCTGATAGGAAACATGGTTTACTTGTATTATTTTTAGCTAAGGCAAAATGATTCGTTCTTCAGAGCCAACTACTAATGACCAATAACATCGCGACGTAATTGACCAATTAGGTCAATAACTAGAATTTAATACCATCGTCTGACGTGATGCAACTCGCTTTTACTCTGAAGATGGGTACCGCACAGGTTGCCAAAACGTCAGTCACTGTCAACAACAACAGTCGTATTCAGGACTACGTTCACCCGGACGATTGGACGCCACCTGATTACGAAATGACTCCTGGGCTCATACCTTTCGCTGAATTAAAACTGCTATCTGACTGAATTTTGCAATATCTGATAGGTCTGCTTCACCGTTGTATGTTTTCAGGTCGAGCAAGGTATCCGATTCCTGGGTCAAAGTTACGCTGCCGTGGAACCTGGTCAGTCGCAAATGACGTCAATCTCATTGAAGTTTAAGACACTCTCTCCTACTGGTGTTTTGGTTTACAGTGGAGAGGTAACATAACTTAATTATTATTATTAATTATTACTATTATTATTTTTTATAAAAAGTATAGAAATGACTTAAAAACTGTTTAATAGCCTTTTAACTTCTCAGCTTTAAATACGCACTAAATAGTACGCAGTGTTGCTTTACGTGGAATGCAACCTTGTCTGCCTGGCTGTGTAACAGGCGCCAGGTAATTTTTTTAAAGGCCGCGCGAGGGGAGCACTCCTTTTCTCCCTACTGGCGTCCTCGAATTTTCTCTTTTCGCCCTTAAAAAATACCGGCGCCTGCTACGCAGGCTATTGTCTGCCTTGAAAATCGTCTGCAACGATTCAGATTACGTTTTCCAATGAAATTACTGCTCAAGTTTTTGTGTTTAAACTAGGGGAATCGGCTTTAGTTAAATGGATTTCAATTTTAAGAAACAAATAGCAGTCATAACCTCTTTGAGTCAAGTGCCAGTGTTTTCATTCTTTACTTAATCCTTTTAAGTTTCAAGAGTGGTTAACATCAATTTTCTCCCAACAATATCGGTACAAAATCAACAGAAAGGGTCCTAAGAACTGGTACAATGATCACCAAGTGGAAATATTTTGATTTCTTAACAAATTCTCTCAACATCTTCTTAAAGGAAATTTATGGAGATCACTGGAGAATTTGTGAGTGGATATCGGAGCTTAAAGGAGTAACAGCATTTCTCTTATTTCAGGGTCCTTTCTTTTACTTGGCGCTTTTCCATGGCAACCTTTATTTAGTGTACCGTGCCAATCTAACAACCCCGTTCGTTCCCGTGATTAGCAGTGGAGAAACTTTGAATGACGGTGCTTATCATACTGTTAAAATTGAACTGGGAGGTAGTGGGTAAGTAAGTTTTCTATTTTTTAAATTTTACCGCCAGTGCGGTTTCTTTTACAGGTCACATTTCACTGGTCACTTGAAGAAACTTCTTTAGAGTGTTCCTGAACAAAAGCAGAGGGCTTTGCTGGCGAACTTGACAATAAAAATGTTATTGGTTCCAGAATACTAATGTCTTCCAACAGACACTTCTTTTCTTTTGTGTTAGAGATTGACGATGTACATTAAGTAAGGTATAAAGCCAAACCAAAACGACTACCCTTGTCTCCTGAGTTTTTCAGAGAGATACCAGTCAGTTTGCTTTCCTTTCTGTCATAAGCGTTTTCTATATAGCTTGAAGATTATTTTCTCATTTAGTTTGCTGAATACAAAAAAAAATCGCCGAAAATGTTGAAAAGATGGGGATATCAGTTTAAAGCCGCCGTTTTTATCTTAGTGTTCAGGTTACTTGCGCTTCAATCCATGTTCACCCTCCGAAGAAAAACAGAACAAGTGATTCAGCTGCTTTAATTCCTTTGTCTAACATTTGTGTTTGTGTTTTAGGAGCAATGTAAAACTTGATGACCGCGATTTGAGAATAGATCCGGGATTTCCCGCGGGTCCCGTGAGTCTGAATGGCAGTCTGTGGATTGGTGGGGTGGATGATCGTACAGTCATACCCAGGCTCTTCCCTGTTATTATTCCATTCGAAGGAGACATGAAGGACCTGACGCTGAATGGAGAGTAAGTTGCTACACTGGGTGCTAATCTAAAAAAGAAGATTTCATTGTTTTTAGACTTTTTGTCTCAACGCTCAAAGACTCAGCCGCTATTTGATCTTTTCACTCTTCCTTCTCCCACAAAAAAGTGAAATCATATCAGTTGCAGCGGCCAGGTTTAATTGTTGGAAGTGATATGCAGTATAAACATGCAACATCAGTGAAGAGTGTATATTTGTATAGTTTTACATCTGGAAATTTCAATGCAGTATTACATACTTCAAGTGAGAGAGTTCATATCTTACTAGATAAATTTAATCATGATAGGAAACTTTTATAACGATGACAGCGAGGACCCAATATTTCCTTTCTTGAAAATTTATAGCCTGCGTGGCAGGCGCTTGGAAGTAATACTTCGAGAATAAAACAGGGTGCGTCGTTACGGTTTTCTTTGTGTAGTATACTAAGGGATGTGTTTTGGTTTTCAGCCCAATAAACATCTTCTCTGGACGAAGCCAGTATGTATCACTAGCTGGAGTGCCGCCTGAACTTGTTGTAGTACCCACCGCTGAACCCACCACCCCTCCCCCCACGTTACCACCTCCTACCTGCGGTGCTCCGAACCCACCACTGCGGGTTGGATTAGCAGAGGAGCATGCGCGATTAGAGGGCTCTGAATATATCGCCTTTTCTTCAAGTGACAAAGTGTTAAACTACACTAGAGAACGGTAAGCACTTTTGATCGTTGTATGTACAACTCTTTTTGCTCTCGCAAAATTTACTTTTTTTGGTACTCTCAGGGCTGAAGATTTTTCCCTAAAAACATCCTTCTGATACGTAACCTTCTCCATAAAGCTTTTGCCCTTAGTTAGATTTGTTGACGAGGTTGTCTGCTACACATTATCGTTGAAGCTCTATTGGCACTCTATGAATTTCAGATGAACAAGATTTCTCTTAAGTAGGTTGAGCGAAGTACATGAATAGAACTGTTGTCGATAGTGACTGACGTTTCGACAGCCTGTGCGGTTGTCATCTTCAGAGTGAAAGATGACCACTGTCAACAGCAGTCCTATTCATTACTACGATCACACGGACGATCATGCTCAACCTACCTATGAAATGACTCCTGGATGATGACAAGATTTCTCTTGTTTGTTATTGATATGCCGCCGCAGCATATTGTGATCACTGATTGAAAGACTTATTATTTCAGGAAAGTAAAGTCAACTGGAACAACCATCAATAGGCTAGTACTGTAATACTAATAAATGTCTTGTTTTGTTGGTCAGGTTTGTGATTTCTGTTACGTTCCGGTCTCTTGTTCCGAATGGAGTTCTGTTGTATGCAGCTGATGACGTCATGAATCCCAGTCATTACATTAGCTTGGAGCTTGTCAATGGACAACTTGTGTTTAAACAAAATGCTGGCATCGGGGAAGTTAGAGTTGCAAGCAGATTCAGTAACTACTCCCATGGTGGGATTGAATATACGGTAGGGGAATTTCTTTGTTAAAATCGTTCAATAAGTAGAGCAGCCATGCAAATTTATGGCGACAAAAGAAAGCGTTTAATTCGACTCCTACAGGTCTAATTTAAGACACCAACATGGTCGACGTTTTAATGTTTTGGGGCAACATTATGGCCGACGTGACATGATATGGAAAGGCTCTATTGACCCCGTTAACTTATAACTTATTTTACAATATCAAAACGGAACCCGAGTGCCGTATATCTCATGTCAGACGAGAATTAACACTTGAAGATGTTGTTTGAATGCTCTGTCGGGGATCTTGTCAGCGGGCAAGGTTTTGTCACTTTGGGTTGCCTGTGGTAGAAATAGGGTTACTAAAGGCGATAACCATTCGGATTGCGGGTTTTAGTCACGTGGCTAAGGACCAAGGAGATGTTATTTTACCTCGATTGTCTCTGGTTTGTTACCTAACCTTGTGACGTCGTTCAATCAAATGTCTTCCTCGCCTCTAGCCTCGGCTACTTCGTTAACAGTTTGAAATAATATTAGTAAAAAACCACATCGTTCTACTGAAATAAGTAAAACTAAACGAAACAAAATCTTGTAAGTTGTGATTTGTCTTGTTGAACACTACTGCTATCTTCTTCACTTTGTGTATGGAAAAGATAAGGCCTTCAAGAATAATTCCTGTAATTCAGTGCCTTGTGTAGCAATCTAAAATGCACCATAACGCTGGTTAAATTGACGAAGCATTCTTATTTGGTCTTTGCAACAGGCTCGATTGTTGAGAATTAATCAGTTTGGTGCTCTTTTGGTGTCAAACACAAACGACTACAAGAATAAGAGGGTCGGCCATGGAACAGCTGCCCTGGTCATCAACAGTCCTTTCTTTTATGGGGGAGTACCCGCACATGTAAATATGTCAGTATTAGAGGTAAGCTTTAAGCATCGAAATTATTCACCATTCACCCATCTCCCATTATACACTTTGCTTTCTCCCGTTCCCCCCCCCCCCCCCAAAAAAAAAAAATTGCATAACCTTTGTTTTTCATTTCTCTTGGGGATTGTAGTCGTTTGAAGAGAAATTGAAGACCTACCTATGCAATTTTCTTTTTTGGGAGGGGGGGCATGGTCAGCCACGATTTTGTCAAAAATGATAGTCTTTGCTGTGATTTTGTATTTTACAGCCGATTGAAAATCGTCTATACATGTTTAATGTTTTACAGCAAACATTGTGTCTCCGTCCATTGTCAGACCAAGACGGTAGACCAAAGCAAAACTAATTTGGATATGGCATGTTACAACACTGAAAGTCACTGATGTTCGATCTGGCTATAATGATAGTCCGCGGGCTCATTTGTTACGCACTTACTGCTCAGTTAAATTTATCTGATCTGAATTTTCGTTTTTTTGCCGACAGTCTAAGGGAGTTGGTTTTATTGGTTGCCTTGGACCTCTCTCCATTCAGAACGCCAATTCTGAAACCAAGATCTTCAATCCGCGGTAAAGAGATAATAAAACCAACTTATAACTTGTAAACCCCTTATATCTCCAGACTGATCTCCATACATTTCCGTAGAGAATTAGTTGAGAGAATTTGATAAAAGATCAAAGCATTTTCCCTTTGGTGACCATTTTTTTTCTTGTCGTAACCTTTCTCTTGATGGTGTAAGGATATTATAAGGAGTAAAGAGATGTTAGTCACTCTGGGAACGGGTTAAAGTGTTAAAGCGGGCATAGACGTCTGAAATAATGTTTAGAAATAGTGATTTTAACGGCATTTCACGACAGCCATCATGAGTCATCTTTCTACATTTGAAGATGCATAAAAGCGGGGGTTCTCTGTTCGAGTGCCCTCATTTTCACTGTAACATTTTCTCTTGAGGTCGCATAGTAGTTTTTCGGTAATGGCGTTTTGTTTTACTGTGCAAAATTGTATGTTGAGTGTTAAAGTTCTTTATGCTTCATTTTTTTTAGCACTGACAGAGAAGATGCTAATTCTAGTTACACCTATAAACAGTGTTACAGTGAAATACAATCACAAGCTGGCTTCAATGGTGACGGCTACATTATTTATGGTAAGAAAACAGCGCTTGAACATCTAGTTTTTCCTATCAGCCGGAGCTCTGTTTCATTTGCCATTAGTTAAACGATTAACTATTTAGCTTGGAACGTAAAAGCTAGTGGCGTGAAAGAGATAAGCTGCTATATAACTCACAGTCCGTTTGCTCTGCTCTGTGTCGTGTTTAAATCTACCAAGGGCCGTACGCGTTTGATCCCCCTTTCGTTCCGTTTGGTTAGTTCATTCGTTTTTGGAAACTGCTGTGTAAACCAATAGTTTCCAGATGGAGACCACAACCCGTCCCGTATGTCAGCAATCTACCAGCAAATTGCTTTAAGCAGTCCAGCTTTTTCCACTTTAACTTCGTTGGCGAAATAAATTGTTTTTCCTGTTTGAACAAGACTGTTAACAAAGTGTTTTTTGTTTTCATTTTAAGATTCGGACTACTCGCTTCCTAATGGGACAGAAATAGAAATCACCTTCCGCGCCACAACTCGTTCCGGGCTCCTCGTGTCCATTACCAACAGAACGGGGCGTGGGTCCGTTACCTTGGAGCAGTTAGAGGGACAGGTAAGTGTGTGAGCCGAAGTGAAAAATAGATTCAATCCTTGAAACCTTTTCCAAGTGATCATTCAAAAGACTAGCGCGTTTGTCTTACCATCGTCTTCTGTTTGTTTCAGGTTGTTCTTATTTTCAATGGTGAGGGTACACAGGAAGTGATCAGGTGGACCGACCCTTCTATCCCGTCTGATGGACAGTATAATGCTTCATTCCATCTTTGTGATAACAAATTTCACAAAATAGTGGTAAGAAGGACTGGCAGTAATGTTGAATTGAAGGTGGATGATCATCAAGCTGTCAAGGGCTCTGTACCATCTGGATTTTCTCTCCAACCTGCCAACTTCTACATTGGTGGCGTACCAGGTAACTTTAAGAAGCCTATCTTTTTACACTCGTAATAATAAACATCAGAAAATTTCTTGAATGTGATTGGCTGAGAGCGATGCAGTTTTTCGTCAACGCGGTGCTAAAACGAGGAAATATCCGCAAATATCTCAGAGAATGAAGCACTGTGATTGGCTCATAATAAATATACAATAGAAATATAAAAGAACCAATCCGTTGCCGCAATAGACAGGAGAAGTCCTTACGTCACGTTACCATGGTTGCAAAATCCGTGGTAGCAACAAGCCTTGGTCATTCAATTATGGCAAAAAAACGAAGAAAGAGACATGTATGACTTTCCCGCGCATCATTGCACAAACGGTGGCCCATACTTTTCTTCCATCGTTCGATAATGCAAATGGCCGTCTCTGTCAAGAAAGATTTTTGAGATCCAGAAGTTCTGCTGCCATGGTAACGTGACGTCACACTTCTCTCTATCTTTATTGGCCAATTTGAGGTGACGAGTGAGACTGGGTCTGTGTCATGTCGAATTGTATGATGGGACCGTTTTGGGGATGAAATTTTATCAAGTTAATTTCTTCTTGTATATTATAAAAGGGTAATTAGTCCAAATATGTTTCTTACCGGTCGGAATGGTTTTCTCCCCATATATTTTGGATCGCATTATTCGTATTTGGCGCTGAGAAATGTCTCCTTTTGGTCCTTGGCCGGAACAATGGTATTTGATGTCACAAATAGGCCCTCTACAGCTAGCCATTCACGTGGTACAAAACCGCCGTGCTGGAGAGAAAAAGTCGCACTGGGAGAAGGCAAACAAAGAAAATTACCATTTCAAGTTATGTATGTCTTTTGTTTGTCTTGTCCCAGTGCGATTTTTGCTCCCCAGCGTGGCGGTTTTGTACCACGTGAATGGCTAGCTGCAAAGGGCCTATTGTTCAGAACACACGGATGTTGTAACGGACAAAAGATTGATGGTGTCGTCACCCAGGGATAAATTCGTCCCCCAATCACGGGCCCTATTTTGATGAAGATTGATGTTGTTAATGTTGTGTTTTTAGACGGATCTGGGTTCGAGACAGACAGTGGCTTGTCACATAAAGGACTCACAGGTTGTATACAGAGCCTGAAAATTGATGGACAGTCAGCTGGCGTCATAAGAAACACGCAGCTACATAACGTACAACAAGGCTGTAATGCTCCACGGGTTACATAGCTTTGAACTCTTTTACGCCTGCTTGCACTTAATTTTTCTGCATAGTAAATAAGTGTACCGCTAGTTGTGATTGTTTATAGAGGTTTCGTGCACATAGAGAACTAGAAGGGATACTTTTTACAGGATGATACAAGTATTGAATAAATTTTTGATAAAATGGATCCTTTCTCTGAAATAATAAATAAGGAGTGTGTTTTCTTCATTAATAATGAAACCTATCATCAAAATGAAAACTCAAGGTACTGGAAACTGAATAAGTTGAATTTTTTTTTTTGTATCAGCAAATTACAATTTTGTTTTTTCATTTTTGTATTCAAGAGAAACATTTTTGGTTGATTGATTCTTTATATATTTTTTTACAAGCTTTCAGTGTTATTTTCATTATCCGCCTATAGCTATATTTAGCCTTTGAATTGTAACGATCTCCAAATGATGTGATGGCACACGGTATTAATCATGTCAGTATTAAAAGGTGTGTAAAACGTATTTGAACATAAATAAAGCAACTTTTACAGAACGTTCTTGTTGTTTCTTGTGGTTTTATTAATTTTTGTCTTTAGATTTAGTTATGAAAAAGTTAAAAACGACAATTTAGGTCGAGAAGAATTCTTATTACACAATGAATTTGGCTGCACGCATGAAACAGACCAACATCGTGCTAAAAATTCTGCCGAAGTCAGGGGCGGATCCAGGATTTTTTTTAGGAGGGGGTGCACTCGTCTCTTGCTCTACTTCAACACCAATAAACCACATAGTTTTTTTTTTTTTTTTTTTTTACAGAATACCCTTTGTATTGGAAAACCGCAGGTCATCTCGGGTGGGGGGCACACCCCCTGCACCCTCCCCCTAGATCCGCCCATGGAAGTGGTTCTCATTTGATTGTTTTGTCCTCAGATTTTTCAGTGACAAGTCACCCCGTCATAACTTGAACCAGGAGAGAAAAGGTTTTGCTCGGCCCTGTGAGATAACATATAGTTTAATATCACAATCCTTTAAAAGTCTCTCTTGGTTCATTGGATTGACATTTATATTTAGACTGCGCTACATTTGAGTTATCTAAGTAGATCCGTCAAGGGCGTAAGGTTAGGCGTAAGGGCGACTTGACATAAACTCGACATATGATACACGAAAATGTTTCAAGAGAGAGACTGGGAACGATATGTGGGAACCAAAAGGGTTCTAAAACTCCAAAATGGCGGACAATGGGTAGTCAACAGGTAATAGTGAAATTTAACAAAGGGGTACTTTGATGGCTGGGATAACTGAGCTTTACACCGCTAAAGCTATGCTAGACAGTCAAATGATCTATGGAGGCAAACAAGGTGAGAACGTTTTCATTGTATTATAAAACCAGGGAACACGAATGCTTCAGCTAGCCAACTAGCTGCATTGAGATGGGCTCTCTGCTATGCTATTATTCTTTGAAATCCATACTCTAAATAAGGCCTGCATAAGGTATTACTGTTTTAATTAGCATTACTCAAATTCTAATTTGGCATGGATTTTTCCCAATACCTGAGGTTACTTTGCAGCAAATCAAGTATTTTTTCCAAATTTTTTATTAAGACATGGGTGGTTTGGAGTTCAGCAATCAAGAGACTGACTACAAATTAAGACGAGGTAAGATTAACTCTGTAAAGTAATAGTATTTTAGTATACATAACTCACTTTGATGTTGCATCTTCTCAAGTCTGTAGTTGTGAAACAAAATTACAGTCCCGCGTAAAAGTAAGTTCACAGTCACTCGCGTCTCGATCCTCGAGACTTGATTCTCAAAACTTTTGAGGATCAAGTCTTGCGTCTAAAGGATTGAGTCTTGACTTTCAATGATCGAGGATTGAGTCTCAAATTTCGAGTCGAGAAGTACAGTATAGTGTATACTGTATTTCTTGCTTGCCCATGTAATTGGTATATTGTTTATTTTGGTAGCTCTATGAAAGGGTGTTTACTGATTCAAATGCATTTCTCCAATTAATTTAAATACATTATTGTGTGACTTAGTTACAGAAAAATTCCTCGAAAACATTCATACAATGTTGAATGAGCCATCAGTTGGTCTTTATCGTGTGCAAGAACATGTCAGGCGATCACTTCCTCAACTTGTTGACAAGAAGGTAAACATTTTGGAAGACTTGTGTGTCCTTTATGCTAGACTGTTTAAACCTGCTATGAACAGAATGCTATCAGAGTCCTGAAATATGCCATAAAACATTTCGTCTTGTCCAGTTATTATTAATTCTTATATTATCGAACCGATTAATAAATGTATAATGCACATGATTTAGTGTTAATGAAAGATTACTTTTCTATTCTTAGATTGAAATGCAGAGCCTTCATAAAAAAGTGCAAGGAGTATCTTATGATGTTGAATATTCACTAAAGTATGTTGTAACCATTTTCTCTTTAAACTCTGGGCCATTTGTTTCCACCATCATAAGCAACAGAAGATATGGTTATGTAGATAAAACGTTGGAGTACTATTTCTGGTACTTACCTCCAACAATGTTTAACAAACATATTTCACTAGAAAAAGTTTGCGGTTCTCTTGGTTTTCATTTTATATATTTCTTATACTTTCTTTCTCGTTATACTTGTTTAAAATTTGACAGGTTGAATCTTTGAGTCAGTCTCACATTAATTTTTCACGAGGAATAATACGAGCAAATAATTATGTAGGGTCTAATTGTGTAAACATGAAATTAACAGGAAAAAAGAGTAAATTGTAAATGTTGCAGATCCTAAGAAAGTAATGGTAATTTTAATTGCCTTATAGAACTGTTCAGTCCATGCAGAATATTTCTCACTTCACTATTATACAGGTAACTTCTGCAGAGAGTATTTTTCATTTGGTGTCAGTAGATCTAAATTCATGTCGGTTTAAATGACTCAAGTCACAGCTAAGAACTTTAAAACCTTATTTATATACCATAAACTGCTGGTTAAGCCACACTATTGAGTGGATCCTTTTGTTACTAATTTTGTATGTATCTTCTTTGTCTTTTTTTAAGGAGTGCCTTAAGAGTGCAATTGCTTCAAAGAAAAACCTAGATAGAAGAAAATTGGAAAGGTATGACTTCATGAAGGCAACTTACAGTTTGTCTAACTAGTCCAAATTATCGTGCAGTGACAAAGTGTGATGAGATGCTCAGAAAAAATGGTCCTAGAAGCTTAAAAGGACATTACTGGATAACATTATATTTATTTAATGTACTTAAATTAATGTGAATGTGCTGTGTGCAGAGAATGTATGTTGATGCATCCTGATACTGTAAAATGAAAAAGATGATAATATTCTCGCTTTCTTAGAACCTGACAAAGTTGCATGATAGCCAAGGCTCTTCTGTTCAGTTACCCCAAAAGCCCTCTTAAAAAGCCACAGTGTATGAAATACCTGGGCGTCTAATACTAGTTATGTTTTGGGAACAAACAAAGTCTGATTGTGTGGTCACCTCACAGCAGAAGTAACTCGCTACTGACCACCAATATCCGCAAGAGCACAGCCCTCACTGACATCATTTTTTTGTGCGGGTGATTTGTGATTAATAAGAATTAGGTCTTGAAAGGCTGTGAGGAAATTTTGAACATTAATTGCTCCTATGTGTGGTAGACCGTAGAGAGAAATAAAAATAACTGTGCATGTACATGTCTTATATTGGCAACCTGAATAAGCAGTGATCTGTTTACGATCCACCTATAAACAGGAAAGATAAACCTACAGAGAGACCAATGGCTGCAGCAGAAGCTGGCACTGATGAGGAGCCTGAAGTTCTAGAGGCTGTTGAGGTGGGAAGGAAAAGCTACGCATGCTGTATCAGTGCACAATTTTATTTCTTTCATTCTTTTTTGCTGTTTTGAGCAATTGACTTTATTAACCCAGCACTGTAATGGTTTTAACTTTAAGGGACTTGCATGAAATAGTTCTTGCATGTTAAGAAGAGAAGAGTTTGGCAGTGTCATTTATCATGACATTTCTAGACTAGGAATGATGTCTACTTTTATTTCATTGTAATTTTCATTGTTGCACTTCTCTCACTGAAAACTGGTTAAAGTAAATACCGTAAATTTAATTTTGATTTAAAAGCTGTTTCTGAAACAATCACTTTGTATTTAGTAAGCTTCAAAATTGCACTTGTTAAACTAAATTTATTTTGCATATAAAATTACTATCTCATACTACATTAATTTTAGAATAGTCATTTATAAAATAATTATTTAAATTTAACAAATTAGACGTGTTAATCAAGACCATGCAAAATTTCTTAAGTCCAAAACTATTAAATAAATATAAATCTCCTAGGGTATGTACAACTCTTCTCTTGCTAAAGCTTAGCAGACTCTTTAAGATGGGCTTCTTTACCAAGACGTTTAATCCATTAAAATATTGAAACATCAAAATAAAGTATAAATTTTCCAAAGCAAATTAATAATATTTAGTTCTTTAAAATCCGTTCAGTATCCTTAAAACATACATTATTTTACTGGAAGCCTTGCAATGATTTGTCTTTTTATTAACCAGCACTAGTTGTTCAGTGTGGAAGGCCGATTTGCAAAGCTTGAATTGGTTCCCTTAACTCAACTGTTTCCTGTATGTTGAACATACACCTAATGATAAAAAAGAAATGGTTGAAGATCAGACTGCTGCAGGCATAATGATAGAGAGGAGAAGTTGTTTCTTCATGTTGCCATGGTAGCAAAATTTCTGTATCTCAATGAAAAAAATTGACATGTGTGCGGTTCCTGAGCATGATTGCACTCAGGAACAAAACAGAAGCCCATATTTTCCTTTTGTCGTTTGCAAATGCAAATAGCCATGTCTCTTTCACAAAAGATTGTTGAGATTCAGTAATCTTGCTACCAAGGTAACCTGACATTGCACTTCTCCTCTCTATTACTGATTTCTGCACTTCTTGATCTAAGTAAACTAAGAGCACAATAATTATTGTTTGTTTGTTTGTCAGATTTTGTTGGAGGAAATTTGCTCATACAACCCCAACTCAAAGAGAAACCAATAGTCTGTAAAGCAGCAGGCTGATTTTAGACCATTTCAAGAGATATTTGGACACATATAATGTGTGCTGTTTGCAAGCAAACACCACAAGGAAAAAAAATGATGAATTTTGCAAGCTGCATGCTAACCAACTAAAGGTGCTTATACCATCAGGGTTTCATCTGTCCAATCTGCATGCAAGCTTGGACTAACCAAGAAGAGCTTTTACAGCACTGGCAGTCGGCTCATGATCAACTTACTCTTCAGGTCTGCTACTGTCTTTTAACTCTTAATATTTTTTTTGTCTTTGGAAGCATTTGTTGAACTTATTCTTAAAACAATTTATTACTCACTACAGACATTTATGAATGTCTGGTTATGAAATTGCCTAATGGTTACCCTTCTTTCTTTTCCGTACTTTAAGATTTCTGTTCTGTTAAAAGGGATTGAAACAAGGTCTGTTCTGCATGTATTGCTCTTTCTTCCCTTCTGCGTAGTTGCTGCTAATGTCCTTTTACCTTGTGTCTGTGTTTTTAATAATAATGATTAAATTATTAATCTTATTTTCTTGGAACTGTAGGATATTGTGAATAAGACCCCACTAAACATTCTACTTTTAAAACCACTCTGTAAAGAAAGCAAAACTAAAATAATTATACCCATAGATGTCTTAATTTTTTCTCTTGGGCTGTCAGCCCCAAAAAGAATTTAGCTAAACTAGAGACCCTTTAACTTGCAGTTGATAGAGTTAACTAAAAAGACAGCATTCTAAAGCTTGCATGCTATTTGTAAGTTCTAAATAATATTATTGCAGTTGTACATTTGTCGGGAAGTAAACTTGACACAAAGGTAAAGTAAGCCAGTTACTTTAATACACAGTCAGTGTAATTTAAAAACCCAGTCAAGCATGTTATGGCAGGATGTAGTGTTTTGACCAGGGATTAATACCTCAGACCTTAAATCTAGGTCTGGTTGTTTAAAGGATGATAAAAACAAATCCAGATTTAGCTACCATGGCAATGCATTGTTCTAGCTAAAGTTACTCCTAAGCTTTGATCAACTCAGCCTTGGAGACCATGTTGTTATGTTTCCTCATCAAGTGGTATCCTGTTTAAGAAGGGTGGGGCAGGTGTGTGTGTAGGGGGGTGGTGCATTAGGTTTCTGGGAAACTGCACCCCTCCCCCTCCCTTAAGCCAAACTTTTACCCCAAGTGAGAGGTAAGTTTTAACGTTTAGTTAGGAGAAGGGCAGGGGGCCATTTTCCCAGAAACCTAAATTGATCTGCTGCTGCTGCTGCTGCATGACCCATTCTGCTGTTTGCAGCAAAAGTTATGAAAAGTTGTTGGTGTCTCCTTGGTTTCAGTTACCCCTTTCCCTTTTATCCTCTTCACACGCCACACCAAATAATTATGTTTGGACAACTGTATCAAAATAATGTACACTTTGTTGTCTGGCCTTGGTTATCATATGAATGAGAAGGTGTTGCTTTAGATTACGTTTACAGGAAGATTGTTCCATTGTCACGTGCAGGTGCCTCTTTAATTTTGCCCTCATTATTTCTCAGGGAGAACATTCCAAGGAATAAAATTGCAAACAAGCTTCATTGAGCTAATATTTGGATACTGAACAGAGGAAATGAAGATAGGCTGTTTGTAGCCGCCCTGTAGATACTGGGGACAGAAACACTAAAACAACTCTCTTGTCGTTGATTTTCAATTTATTACTACTGCTGTATTTGTTTCTAATAACATTAATGATCAAAATGAAGAACAATAAATCATATTTCATATTTACATGAGACATGCTCTCTTTGTTTTGCATTCATGACACCTATTTGACATTATCTTTTAATAATGATATTTCATGTATTATATTTTTCTTTTTTTTTTCTTGTACATTCTGTCTTTTTTTTCTCTGCTTATAACGTTTTCTTTATTTGTTTTTTTTTTTTGTATTTTAATGTTTTTGTTTTTGTTCTTCATTGTTTGGTCGATTTATTTGTAATTTATATTGTTATACTTTTGGTCTTCCTTTTATTCCAAATTTTAGCTTGTCTCTCTTGTGTTTCAGTAGATCATCTGTAGTCCAGGCTAAATTAAAAAAGTAGAACAAAGAAGTCAGTATTTTTTAGATTAAATGTTTTTTTTACACGTAATAACAAAGTGTCTTCCGTGTTTTCGCTGGTTGATCATCTCCGAAAGACATTAGTGGCTATCCGTACCAAATTAGGGGTGGAGTGAGCTTTTAAAAGCGATTATTTTAATTTTGTTACCGAGTAAGTACGACCAATTTTGGTGTTGCCTTTTCTCTGACATTCTCTTGCACAAGTTAATTGCTTAATTGTAAGTGTGCATGTTAATCATACATGTCGATGATAAATAAATAATAAACGATTTTTTTCCTGTATAGTTTCTTCGTTTGATTTCAACGTTTTTGAATGACGTCTTTTATTTTCTCACTGCGAGAGTGCGTGCCAGCAAACTGGATATGCAATTTTTTGTTTGTCTGTTTTTGTTTTTTCTGTTAAGCAATCTTACCTCATCCTCAAAGCTGCCTTTCTCATTGTCCTGTTTCCACCTCTTGTAAATCCAAACTCCCGCGCCAACCGCCACCCCAATAGTGACACAAGCGACGATCAATTTTCTCATCCTCCGGTCAGTTTTCGTTTTAAACTTTGAACGCAAATCTTGAAGCGCGCGACACTTCGACTGCTGATTGAAGATAGTAATGACGTAATAGATAATAAATTGGTTAATTAAAATAAATCAGACGGTGTGTGAGTTTAATCATTAATACATGTAGTTTCATATTGTATAATTTAAAATGGCTGTGAATATAAAAGGATATGTATCGGAATTCAGGTAAAAGATTTAAGTAGATAAATACTCGCTAGAATGTTCAATAAAATACAGCTTACCGTATTTACTTTGCTTGTTTTTTCTTGCTGTGTGGTTATTTTCCCGATCCATTGCGATTTAAGCGATTTCCTTTAACCCCGAGTTTCTACTGTAAGAGAAAGGACAAGGCTTCACAGTCCAGTTCGGGATGCCCAATGCGAGAGGCGAAAAATCCTCCGCTTGATATGTCCTTGTTTCATTTCATCTCATTAGCCGGGAAATCCGGTCCCCGCAACCAGCGCCAAGCGGCAGTTTGTTTTCCAAACTCCAAGCCAAAACGACATCGAAGGGGCCACAGGTAGCCCAAACTCTGTGGGAGTTCGTTGGACTTTGAATTTATAAGAGAATGTATGAAAATAAACAAAATACGTCCTAAATTCCTTTTTTTGACGAAACTAGAAATAGAAATGACTTACCTTGTGTTTTTGTTTTGTTTGTTACTGTCTCTTTGCCTCTAGAGCCATTTGGGTTAACCCATGATTTTGGTAAAAAGTTCGACATTTCTCCCAAGTTTGTTTTTCTTTAAAACAGGTAGCCTGCCACGCAGGCTATAAAACAGGCAAAGATAAATTGTTTGATGATGTTCTGGATAGAAAAAAAAATTGTCTAGATCGAAAAATTTGCATTTCCTCAATGGGCTTAACCCACAATTTTGGTCTAAAATTCGACATTATTTTCCAAGTTTGTTTTTCTTTAAAACAAGCCGAGATATGATATACTGTTTGATGATGTGCTGGATAGAAAAGAAGGTTTCTAGTTCACGGTCTTTAAACTGTTTATTCTTCATAAACATTATGTTAAATTCTGTCGCTTCTATTTGTGATCGTGACAGTTGCGGGCTTCCAAAATACCGATGCTTGCGTTTGGTACTTTCAAGCACGAGCTTAACGAAATTTCTGTAAGACAGATTTAAGAATTTATAAGGAACTTATTTTTGCTCCCCAACTTTAAGGTAATATGACTAATTTGGAGAAAATGAATGATAAACTTGTTCCTCCCAGTAGTATTTTTTTTTTTTTTAATACGCACTTGAAAAAGAACCTTACAAATTCACGCTTGAATAGGATCTTATACAGGGTCTATTGACTGGCTAATTGAGTTCTGACTAAACGGCAAATGAATCTGAGGATTACTTGGAGTCTGAATCAAATTCAAAATTAGCACCAATTAAAGAAGCAAGTGTCCCGTCAGTTTGTATCCATGACGATTAATGTTGCTAAGCAACAATCCGTTTTCAATGAGAGACTCGACCCGGGCGTAGAGTGTCTTTTAAAACGTGGCCTGTATGGAACGGGGTTCCTAATTCTTTGTAAGGATGACACAAATGGTGTATTAGCGGTTGATGAATGAACCAAGCTGAGCGGCCACAGCTGAGTCCAAGTATTCCATAAGATGTTGAAAAGTTTCATGTCCGTAAATCGAGTGGCACTCGTTTAACTTGTCTCGGACAAATTTCCACAATGGACAGCAGTGGATAGGGTCTGACAAACACAGCTGAAAAATAAAAACAAAAAACCAACAAAAAAATCAGTTTATTTGGTCTCTTCCGTATCCTGGTTCCCGTAGCAACAGAACGGGAACGTCAGTTGATGACGGCACGCGCAAATCAAACAACTGGTTTGACCAATGGCAGAGAGGCAAATTGGGCGCCAGAAGTCAAGTTTAGTCCTTTCCACGCGCTTTCCCGTCGTCAAATGACGTTCTCGTCCTGTTGCTAAATCAGCCTATTACCACTAAGGGATATCATCGTACTTCTCGTGGCATCTATCGTTGCAATCATTCACTCACTCATCTTCTCGTAACGTTTTTCTACCAAAGTAGCCGGGGCTAACGTTTACAGCCCTGTAGTATGGAAGACCTGCCGCGCAAATAACTACGGATACTGTAGCTTCGTTATGTTGCTTATCGACCAACAAACGTTGACCTTATTCAGTAGCAGCCGTTCGCGCTAGTTCACTAATTAAGTTGCATGTTACCTGTCGTTTCCTTTTATGCTCTTCAGTTTCCTGGCCAGTGTGTTCTTCATCATCACTGCTACCGCCAAGGAGCAATAAACAACTGTTAAGTGAAACAGAACCACACTCCACATCAAGGGTAATTATGTACAAAATCAGATATCCTTCAATTAAGACTATAATAATAAAGTGTCCTGTTAGAAGAGGGTGTGATCAAGTATATAAGTTGCCAAATGGTGTTTGCTTATACGGCTGTATGGAGTGTTTCAAAAAGCAGAAAAGTGGGAATAGTTGATTACGGTATGCAAACAAAAGCAAAATCAACAAGGCTGAGCTGCTAAGAATAAAATCGGGAATACAATTTTCAAACGTCTTTGAAGTTCAGCGATAGTTATAACCCAGACACTTCATGATAACGATTGGTTATCCTCTTCATTACCAAAATACCCAACAAGTTATAATGAAATCCAAGGCTGTGGGTCTGAATACCGGTGCTCAAACCAAGACCGTTAAGAGCTCCACCCTCGAACCTCCACACTATTCAGATATAACAAGTGAGGAAAAATTACAATTGGCACCAGTAAAATTTTATGATAAGGTAAACTTGCTTATGGGGAGAATATACAGCCTCGTCTCTTGGCCAGTTTGCGCTATTCGAGTGAGCAGAGGAGGCTTGGAACCGAGTGCGATAGCGCGACGGCGTCCCCGGCGAATTTTCCGGAAGACCTTAAATAACAATGAACTCAACCAGGTTGTGGCGTCCAGCGGTTTTAGTGAAAGCAAGGGTTTGGGTGGGTAGGATGCTCAGTCTCGCGGGCTCATAAAGCCTGGTCACGTTCATTCTTATTATCGAGTTTTCCCGCCAAGCTTGACAGGTGACGTGCATCCGAAATCGCCGAGGACGACTGGGAACGAGAATATACATAAGATTATAATTTAACAGAGATTTAATAGTTTGTTAGTGATTATTTCTTACTCTGTATGTGTACCATTGTCTTCAACTCTGTGGATCTCGTGTAGAACATCAACCGCAGCATCAACAATCAATGCAAACTTGTCCGTGACACAATTGCTATTTGAGCATAAAAAAGCGGAGGATTTATAACTCGGTCAGGACAAACAATTATTAAATGACAACTAACTTTAGATCCAAATTAGTATAAAACCTATTTGGACTTCCCTCTAAATGTTGTTTTGGCTTTTTGCAGCTTTGCTTGTTTTAATTTTAGCTACAAGAAATAGTGATGGCATTTAAAGTTTGTCACCAGTTACTTGTTTTGACTCGTCTGCTGAATCAACCGCGTAAATATATATGATTGAACCAATTAAAAAACTTGACGAAACAAACAACTTTACTGATTCCAAAAAAAGGCCACTTGTATCCTTGCAATACTACTCACGAAGGTTTAGAGGTTCCTTTCACTTCACTGGTTTGATAGTATATTTTCAAAGACGTACAGAAAGCTACGTAATTCTCACTGTTCAGAAAGAGAAATTGAAAGCAATGCTTAAGCAAAGTTAGAGGGGCAAACAAAGGTTGAGATGGGACGATATGAGAGTGGAGAATACTGCTGAAAAAACGCAAGTCCGTTGGGCAATGATCCTCGTGGTTTGAATTTAACAACTAATCTTTATGAAGTTAAGCAAAAACAGTTGTATCGTACTTGACATTCAAAGGCAACAAGGTGATCAGAGCTAGAACTGTTAGTTTTCTTCGTTCAAGCCGCGTCATGCAATCCATCTACACAGGAGAATGAAAGGAGAAAATCTACCTCATAGGCTGAAAAAACAAGTCGCAATTAAGCGATCAAGCTGACCTGAACGCCGTTGATTGTTTACGCCCATACTTTACAGCCTTGTTATCGCAACGAACAATGTTTTCAACAAGTCACTTTACTAAAACTGAGTATGGACAAATCGGCTTTGAATTTGATACACAAATTAATAAGTTCCAAAGCAATGAGTTAAGGTATTAAAAAAGCTACTGCTAGCCCTGTCCCCAGGTTTGAGTATCATTTAATCGCCAGGGACCAAATCTTATGCCGGACGCGAAACCTGCTGAAAACAATACTATACAATATTTCAGTCTTGAATAAAACGCAGCCACATTGTCACGCCCCTAATATTTAAAGGACCTGGTAAAACCAAGTTTTCAAACCTATTACATCGGTACTTACTTTTTCCAACCAAACGTCCAAGAGCTGCCCTAAAACATCAGTCACCTAGGAAGTAACGTGTACATTAAGCGGTCAAATAATCTGGAATTGGCCACTCCAGAAAATACCAAAGCATACCATAGTACTCTTTGTTGACCAGTCACCCCAAACTTTTGCATAAGCATTGCCTTTAGTTTCTCTCGGGAGTTAAAATGGACCCAAGAGAAACTGAAGACAATGTTTATGCAAAATTTTTGGAGCGACCAACAAAGAGTACTATGGTATGCTATGGTATTTTCTGGAGTGGTGAATTAATAGTGAGCCATGCCTGGGTGATCGGTAAATTAATTCATATCTTGACACGTCTTGCAAGCTAGCACCTCGCCGGGGTGGGAGACTAGGCTATGACGCCTAGCCTGCGTTGCAGACGTAATTTAACCTCGGTTAGTAACGTCTGCGAGGCAGCGCCGATATCCATGTTCCGGGCCCCCAATGCAACGGACTCAACGAATTACCGGAAGTGCGTGTCGAATTTCCTTTCATCTTGATTGACCAATTGGCAATGGCATTTTTAACAGGCCAATGATGGCGCGTACTCAAATCCGGGTACACAGGTGGGAACCCAGAACAAGGATGTTTCGCAGACGGACTTATGACCAGAGTTTAGTTTGGGCTGCGGCGCAGGTTATATGACGGCTAGACTATAACTATCCAAAGTACTAAATAAACTGTTGCTCATATAATCTTCTGTGTCTGGCAAGAGTGAAGCAGGTGTGGCCCTTTATAAATTTTCATAAAGAATGTGTATAATAGTCAATTACAAATACGACGGGGACTTAACACCAGCTTGCCACTGAAACTCTTCTCCATTATACAGACTAAGACAATAAATTAGTTGCTCGTTTCCTGTATTTTGTTACTTAAGGTTGTGCAGATATTATTATTCGCACCAATTATCTTATATTAATCTAAATTTTTATGGATGAAGAGCCACACCTTTCAGTGGAAATACTGTAATAGTCATTATTATTATTATTACTACTACCTGTTTGCCCAGCTGCTGTGCCACATTCTCAACAATGTGAACAAAAGCGGGATAATTGTGCAAGATTATTTCTCCAATAATGGACAGGTAGATGACCAGAAGAGGAGTGTATTCCTACGTACAAACAGATCTGTAAGTAAATACAGTACCTACACGATGTCCTGCACCAAGATGGAATACCGAGACAACATCAAAAATTTGGGACTGGACAAACTTTCCAAGTTTATCTCAGACCACGAGATTGTAATTTAATGGTTTGTTATAGACAATAGTCTTTAGTGACAAAGATTATGGAATAAATCTATTTTTGATTCTTCTTTCGTAGTCTCTTCTGATCAGGATAGACAAACTATATACACAGTACTTAACATTTAACACCATCTGTGTATACTTTGATAGAGGTATCGAATCTTTCATAAAAGAACTGGAAAAAAACAAACTAACTAAACATCGTATCAACAGACACACGTTACACTTAAAAAGAGTCTAGCAGTAAGATCCAGACAGTAAAATTACCTCTACTTCTAGAATCATGTGACATATTTTCAGCACGACCGGTGCAAACAGCTCAGTACCTCTCTGAGGAGAGACTTTTACTATTGTTTCTACAACCTGCAATAACGAAAAAAAAGCCAATTTACAGAGCATAACATGGTCCAAATTGTAGGTTTACTTTAGCACTAGGCTATCGACTGAAACATTAAAGTTTGTATACACAACAACGACCTGGAAGCGAGAATAGACGAGGTGATATTATAAACGGACAAGGGATTCAGTTATGTTAAGCGAAGGCTAGATAATTGAGGCAACAGGCTACGATCTGCGTATATAAATCTCCAATTCAATGTTGGAACAATATGATGGGGATCTTAACGTCTGCTTGATCCATTTTACTGGCCATATTAGGGGATACGATCCCCAAGCTCTTGTATTTGGAAAAACCTGTATAAGATAACTTCTCATTCCGATAATTAAGAAAAAGACTTCTCTCCTACCCGAGAAAGGATGATGCCACCTTCTGGCTTAACGTTCCCAAGCATTGTTAAACAAGCGTTAACCACAAGTGCGCTGAAATTCTGTAACACATAAAAATACACACATAGAATGTCAGTTCTTAGCTTACACACATCAGGGGCTTTTAGACTACAAGAACGACATTAAGTTCAGGTAGGAGTTTCAAACAAAGTTTTTGTGCTTTGGAAAAGCACTTGTCGCATCACTTTTTCTTTCAAATCTTCGTATCTGCTGGTCAAAAAAAAAAAAGAAGGAGCGTTTTGAAACCGCCACTGTCTTGAAATTCAAAACGCCCTGTAATAGTTAATAAATAAATAAATTGATAATAATAAATAATAAATGGGTAGCAGCACATCAAGAAATTGTTTACCTACCAACATCAACTAATTCAACCCAGAAATGACAAACTCTTCGCTATGAAAACAGTTTTTTCTCTTTCAAGTACAACTCGTTTCACATGAAAGGATTTACACTTAGCTTCGTTTCGACAGTGAGGGTTTGTGGAACTCGAAAAAAGTTATTTGAAGAGTGCTATTGTTACATCAGTCACGATGGGCGTTATCAGTAAGGCGGTGGGAAGAAGATAAGAGAAACGTAAGTACATGAAATTTGAGAGAGTTATAGGCATCTAAGAAAAGTCTACAGCTAACACACCTGAAGAAACTCCTTCTCATCTAACAGGACATATGATTCTATGATCGAAAAGCACTTCCTAAGATTCTCTGAGCCTAACTCTGCAAATAAAGAATGGGTATGGAGTGTTAATGGTCGTTTGCACTTGTACTAACAAGGTTCAGTTGTTCAAATATGGACTGCACTTTCTAGAGGATAAACAATGTTAGCAAAATCAACTCTTCTTTCAACTTTATAGAAATTTATACGGTAGATAACTGTATCTGTCTTACAAATGAACAAAACAGGTCACAGTGGGTTACAGAATTTTTTTACATACCCAACAACGACGGCATGTTGACAAACAATTGCAGTAATTCAGGAGTCATACAGGACGCATTCACCAACACATTGTGCCTTAAAACGCCCAGAAATGTTGTTAGTTGTATTTACATTTACGTATATGTTACAGGTCAAAATTAAATTCAGGTTAAAATTTTTTAACCTAGGTTGACTTTCAATTTCTTTTGTCTCCTAGCCCTAACCATGAATAATTAAGGCTAGGAGACAAAGAAGCTTGAGAATCAACAAGGTAAAAAAACTTAACCTGATTTTTAACCTGATTTTTTTACCTGTAACATAAACATTAAGTAGGAAAATTAAGAAGAAAGCTAGAGTATTGCAATAGGAAAGCTGGGAATCAAAAAATATGTCAAGTACTCGATGTTTCTGTCTTGAAGTGACAATGATTAAGGTACAGTTTTTAAAAAGACGTTTGAATGTTGAGCTTTAGTTCTAAGAGTTCTTACCAAAGGTCCAGTCCATCCTCCATCAAATAAACATGGGGAGGCTGAATAAAAATTAATAAATAGAAAGAAGAAAGAAAAAAAATGATAGAAACGTAAACGTATTAACGAAGGCAAACCCTTTAATTATAGACACCGCTCTATTAAGGCGAGTTTTCTTAATATCTACCCTGATGAAAAATACTCAGACCTTTACAAAGGGTACATCTCCCTCTTTTATGCGAATTATGAGTCCTTCCCCTTGATATCCGTATTACTATGAATATCTACAAGTATCTGCATCCTCTGCCTGGTTAGCTCAAATGATTGGGTACCTGACTCACAGCTTTACCAGCTCTACGGGACTTATGATAATCGGCTTAGGTTACAAGGTGCTATCTTTTCAGTAAGACCTTCTAGTATTCTCGATTGAGGTGGGAAAACTGTACCGATCTGGTTCTTGTATGACATAAAAACCATTAGGGATTTGAAATCTTTAATTAGTAGCTCCAGGCAGTAGTTTACTAGGAGCCAAGGTCTATAGACCCTTTCACGGTAATGTCAACTCTTGACTGGGACCAGTTACCTAAAATCCGTCAACACGACTGGGGCAAGTTTTCGTGCCCCACTTTACAAACGTCTCTAAAATTCCGCGACTTTACGGAGCCATATCCTCGTCTGCGTTCAAATCGAAATTTAAGTGCCTTAAGCACCACGAGAACTGTCTATACCTGAGGAGCGTCTGTCTGCATAGAGAGCTTTAAAGACTCATTGGCCAAGACAAGAGACAGTTTAAAGACTTGTTCCATTGAAACACCTTTTGTCTCTGTTGTTCTCTGACACAACAACACTATTCTTCAAAAACTAAAGTAAGTTTTACGTTTTCTGACCAACAAAGTTTCGGAAAAAGTAATCAGAATAAGTACACCCAAGCAACAAGATATACCTGCGTGATATCTGTGCTGAGATGAATAAGAGGCAGAAGGAACGAGTACATGTTACGACTTAAAACACCCAGACCCTGAAAGAAAGAAGCAAAATTACCACATGGAACTCAATCGAAATTAATTTGTATAAACGTACAGATAGAAAGAATTAGAACGGTGAAGTTAACTTGTATCCCACTTAAATAACAAAGTATCCAAAATAATTTGAAACCACAGACCCAACATGTTTCCTGGGGCAATTAGGGGAAGGGGTGACCCAGGACCAAGTTTTTACGGCAAGTGCAGTGCTCTTTCTCAAAGGACATCTCTAGTAATTCCCAGGGTTTCCGGTTTTCATGGGGTATAGTTAAGTACGGTTTAGTAGGGCAACCATGGAAAGGGGTTTGACCCAGGACCAAAGCTACACTGCAAATGCACTCAGCTCTTTCTCAAAAGATATATCTATAAAGTGATCCCGGGGGTAGTTCCGGTTTTCACAGCGAACAGTTTAGTCCTTTTAAAAATTAAAAGAGTTTGTTAACCTCCACAAGGTGCGTCATGGTAGAAACGATTGCACATCGCAGCATATTATGGTCACCAGACTCCTGCCATAGCTCAGGGAGGTACTGTGACAGTGAGGCGGCAAATGGCTTGACCTTGATGAAAACAATAAAATAACATCGTTCTAATTTATTACTCATGACAAGACGTACAGTGAATCGATACGTTCAAGTATTGGAGATCACGAGTTGTTTAAAATATAGATTGTTTTCCAGGTCAAGAGGAAGATAAAGAAATAACAAAGGCGTAATACTCACTTTGCCGCCTATTCTTTGAATTAGCAGAGACAACACATTAAGTACATGCATCTGAAAAAGAAAGCATTGGAAAAAAAGGATGAAAGAGCCTGAACAACAAAACAAAACCAAAGACAAAACAACAACAACAACATCTCTTAATCATAATAGAATAAAATTGTTTGTAACAGTACTTGACAGATGTGCTATGTTTGGGAAGATTTGTACGCGTAAGTGGTGAAATTTTGCATGCTATTCAACAAGCCTGACGAGAATACGTCACAAAAATATTTATGCCGCGGTCATCGTATTACGTTACCTTTGTGTCACAATCTTGGCTGCACTTGAGAAGATGAAACAGAGATCCAAAAGTTTCATCCAAAAACTAGGAAGATGAAAATACATAATATGTTAGAAAAGAGAAGAAAACAAATTAAAAAGCCGTAAAACGTAAGAACCTTGTAATTTGTAGGCCCGTTTTCAACGGGTTTTCAATACACTTGTTAAAATCTTAAGGCCTCTTTTTCCAAACAAGACTGGTAGCTACTAAGAAATCACTTCAAAGAATTTCTGTAAACTCTAACTTGAGGCAGTCAACGGTGCATTTTGAAACTTGAAAAGACAGCTCTTCAAAAACGTTTTTCACAAAGAGTACTTTTGAAACAGCATAACCTAAACGCAACATACCTGAAAAAAATCTTCAAGATTGAAGTCCACGTCATCTATGGTTAATTAACGTAAAGGAAACGACGGACAAAAAGGTTGAAACAACACTATTACAAATAAGTTGAAGTATTTATAAGGCAAAAAAGAGTAAAGATGTCATTGTAATCAGTTTAGAAAGGATATCAGTTTTAAGAGCATTTGCCGCAGTTAAACGAACCTGTAAAAAAGACAATGATGAAAAGACTTCAATGAGTCAGTGAGGGCTAAAGATTGCGAAAGACTAAAATTATTGGGATCATAAAAGACCTTCAGCCTGCGAGAATAGCTGCCTTTCGGGTGAAACAAGAGCCGAAAAAGGCCACTGCTCTCGCAGGCTAAAAGACCTTACAGTCATAAAGCAACTGATTAACTGAATCATTTATTGGGCCAACTTGGCAAAAGATCAGTACCGCCTAAGATCGTTACACTTAAAATGACATGTGAAAACTTACCACTAAATCCTCTTGGGCGCTCATCAGTTTAAGAACCACTTGATAAAATAAAGGCCTTGTTTGTCGTGCAAACTTGACATTAATCCACTGTCCTGTCATCCATATTATCCGCCTTCGAAGCACCTTATACCTGGTAAACAAACAAACAAACAAACATCAAAATTATAAAAGGCTGCCTTGGCTTGGTAGCCTACCTGCAGACGTCTTCTATTTCCTTTTTTGTTCAAAGCGGAGAACACTGAGGAGTCGTCTGCACGCAAGGCAATTCTTTCGCCCGCTATTTAAATTTAAAAAACATGTCCTGCATTTACGAAGGGTTGTTCTAATTGTGACATAATTCTAGTCGACTAATATCATCCAATAATGGCAGCATGCTTCCTATTTCATTTTTACCGAAAGACGTTTTTAAAACGCGAAAGTAACGTTAGCAAGAGGTGAGCTGCTACTCAGTTATGATAACAATAATAAACTCTTTGCATACGTCTGTACGTTGAAAGCAGAAAACATGTCAGGGTCCTCAGTCCATTAAAAAAAGAGATAAGAAACGCTTTATTCGATTTTTAAAGCATATGTTTTAAGAGCATGGCAATTTTACCCCCTAATTATCTGAGTCCTCCTTTCTTTGCGTCCCAATCCTTAAAATATTCGCTAAACTAGAGAATATACGAAATTAAAAGTACACACATGGTTAAAAATTCTTCACCCTTATTCACTTTGTTTCTTTCAGAAGTCATTAGGTTTTTAACAAAATTTTAAAGTTCTCAAAATAATTCAGTTCGAGTTACGGCAGGGCCATAAATTTTATTAGTGCTTGTACAACCAGTTTTGTTTAACTCAAGGTGAGTGAAAACTACTAAAAAAGAACAAAGTTAATTACCTAGAAGATGTGTTGTTTAATTCCCTAATTAACTGGTTTGTAAACCAATGATCGAAGTCTACTTCATCAAAGAGGTCATATGAGGCAAGTCCGCAAGCATTGTAAACTAAGGATATAAAAAAGAATTAGATATTTGTAAAATCCTTGTCATGGACAAAAACGACAATGCAGACTCTTCCCTTGGGCAGGGAGAAAAAATTTTCCTTACAATTTGCCAGCCAAATTTGCTTGGTTTCTCAGTACTTATGTATCTCTAGTCCGTTTGACAGAGTTGCTATCAGTTAGCTTGATTTAAAAGATTTCTTTGGTCTTTAGAAGTAGTTTACAAAGGTCACTTTTCAACACACAAACGTGATGAAGAAACAACAGCGAGTATATAAAAACAGGAACTTCCGGATTTTTCTGCGTAAGTGGGTCAATAGTCTGTTTTTTTTTCCGTCCGCCTTTTTGCCTAATACTACATTCTTTTTCCGCTAATTCTTTATTATAGTAATTCATAAAAAGCTAAGAAACAGAAACCTACCAGCATCTTTTTGCAATAAAACTGTCATATCCTCCGACGGAGGCGATCCTAAAAAATTGAAAGTCAAGAAAAACACCTCACTGTTATTTTGTCTTCGACAGAGCTAACAAAAGTACAACGCAAGATCAGCCGAAATGTGACAACATTGAACTACACAAATTCTATTCCAAAATGTGAACGCTTCAGGACCACAATCGTTATATAAGTATTAGAATTAATATCCATCATAGGCTTACCTTGAACTAACGTAATCATTTCAGTGACAACTGGGGTTACTGTGCTGCGGAACTCACTCAATAGACTTAGAAATAAGACCTCTGTACAGTACTAAACAAAAGCGCACATTCTTAGTAATCATTTCAGTGACAACTGGGGTTACTGTGCTGCGGAACTCACTAAATAACCTTAGAAATAAAAGCTCCATACAGGCCCAAACAAAAGGGTAAATTTTTACATCAGCGACTAAATCAAGAGCAATTGTACACTTTCAGTCTGGGCAGTTTTAGTCAAGAGCACAATAGTTATGACTGCTAAGTTTCTGAACACTGTGCTATCAGAATTAAGTGTCCGCATTTGATGACTCGCTATATAAAGACTATAAATAAAAAGAGTTTAGATACCTATAACAAGTGAGTGAGGTAAAAAAGAAATTGCATACCCTCAGATTATACCTCCACGATTCACCAACTTCCTCGTTGACTATGAAAAGACAAAAAAGTGGTTAATAAATAGGCACATCCATCCTCGGAGACCCAGGGGCAGATAAAGGGGGCGAGAGAAAGTCTAAACGGGCGGAAAAATATATATGGAACGAAGAAAAGTAAAGAACGGCGAGAAGAGTTCCTGGGGACAATATCTTACCAGACCAGTTCCAAACGGTCGCCGCCGTTCTGGCTTCTGATTGGTGCCAGAAAAACACAAGTTTTCTGGTACCAACTTGTTTTGCTTGCTAAAGATTGCAATAGTTTTTGGAAGCTTGTGATCGTTTGTCCCCCAGCCTGGCGATAATGATATTGGTGATGAAGCATAAACTTACCAAAATTCTCAGGCTCTGATTCCCAACTCTCTAAATCCTAGGGTGTTGAGGGATAAATAAAATAGAGTAACTACATTGTATCATTTTCTTCTTTATACCATTTAATACCATCTTTACAGTATATTACCCCAGATGCTACAGGGTTTACAATAGACCTGTATGACATTTAAAGCTCAGTTATGCCTTATAGCGTAGCCTCCATTAACACAGAAACTGGAAACCTATGGATGTGAAAAATTTGGTTATGACATCACCGTATCCCATCCATATATCCGTGCAGACTTTCGGGGAGGGGCGTGAGAGACACTGCAAGGGAGGGGATGGGGGAGTCCAACACAGGAAGCCTGCATGAAGCATAGTGAGCAAGTACACATACAAGTACACTTACATCTGTACATTTCAAAGAATTTTGCATGAATTCATAAAGTTTGAATAAGCTTCTGTAAATAGACAGAAATTCCATACTTACCTCTGATGTTAAAGGGAAATAGCGAAGAACAAGTTGTTTAATAATCTCTGATAAAATTGTTGGTGTAAAGAAGGACATCTTGATCTACAGAAAACAATGGGAAGCAAAATGAAAATGTCTTGGAAACAGATAAAGGTACAGTTTCAGTGTATGACATTTAAATTTTTAGACAACAGAAATAAGGAATCCCATCCTGGTAACATTGCAATCGATTCTTATAGTAAAAGAAAATTGCTCCTACGAAAATGAAGAGCCATGCAGAGACTGGACTGTTTGACCAAAACAGACCTGATGTGCTTGTACAATCTCTGGACGAGTTGTATCTGAAAAATAAATAATGGTGCATTTCAGGTAAAATAAAGTGAAATGTACCAAATTTTTAATATTTTGCTTCTTTTTGTGTCTGTCACTGTCATCTTTGTTTCCATATGACCGATTAAAATAGTCTGGTGCAGTCTGAATGATCATAGCAATCGTAAGTAAACTAGCCTTAAAAAAGAACTGAAGTGTACCTCAGCAATAGTACTAGGAACGATTACTGAGATTGCTATGATGTGCTGTCACCGAAGAGTCATTTGATCAGGCTACAATCACTGAACTTTTTTTAGTGACCGTAGTATGAAATAGCCCTTACCTTTGATTTCTCTTGGGGGTTTGTACTTGTCACACTTGACAATCACTTTCATAAGTTTACAGCACTGCAATGCGAAGTTTTGGAAAATATCTTCTAAAATAGAAAATTAAATTAAAATTAAAAAATTGAATTAATAAATACATTCTCCATTGCACCTGTGTCATTGCACAAACCTCATGACAGTTTTAGAAGAGGAGGGAAAGGTTATTTCTACTCCCATATTTGTCACTTCTTGCCACACCTTACCCTGCTTATAATAGGTTGATGATCAGTAACTGTAATGAGTAATCCGTACTCAATAGGCAACCAACGAAAAAAAGGTTGATTGAATTGTACAACTAAACCAATAAGCAGTATTACAACAAAGTTTGTAAAACTGACTTGTGCATGTTTCATCAACTATTTATAGGCTTATTATATGACGAAGGAGTAGCATAATAATGTGTGAAAATTTACTTGTAAAGTCAACTTTCTCTTAACGGACATGGACACCTCACTAAAATGGACACCTGACATTGATCCCTACCTTTCACTACTCCATTTAGTTGACTCTATATTACGATGGACACATACACGTACTATAGGGCTGGTCCAAAAGGTGTCCATATTAAAGAGAGTTGACTTTATATTATACAATCATGCATGATATGTTTATCTTTGGCTCCAAGTGGCAGGAATAAACCATAAAATGTACACTCTACCTTGTCCTTGACTGGTGAATAAATATGTGTAGCACAGCTGTAGAGTGTGTTGAAGCAGCGGTAAATAAGACAGTGAATGGTGCTCTTGAGTATCAATTAACTGAAACATAATATTATTAGAGTTGCCTGAGGGTGGGTTTAAAGATTTTTTATGCGACTTTTGATTTGTTCTCAGACATACACTTTGATGTAAATGTAAATGAACAACTGAAAAAAACCCAGCCCTATAATTTCACAAGTAAATTAACTTGCCTCATGATTCAATTTTGTTCTAACAAAAGAAAGACTGGAAGAAGCATGGGTTAAATTTATGACTGACTTCCTCGACTGGATAATTAAGTACTTGTATAAGATTTTGGCAAACTGCCCACTTACTCCTTCCCTAATGTAAACACTGACTTCTAACTTAGGGAAAAATGTCGGATTAAGGGATGGATAGGTGTGGTTTTACAGATTCGACTGACTGACCCTCATGACCCCCCCTTCTGATGCCCATAGAAGCGAAAAACGAGCATGGAAAAACACATTGCGATTAACTAAATTACCTTTAATTACCCCTGGCAGTATTAATAACAGAAAGAAACAGAAAAAGATTAAGAATCGCAACTGCAGGTGTAGGCAAAGCATTTGGCTAATTCAAGCGTGGTCGAACATTTAAACTCAGGACTACCCAAAATTTAAAGTTATTGGTTTATAGAGTTAAGATTGTGAGTCCAGCACTCTGGTGGCTAGGTCACACAGTTTTTTGTTGTTTGCTTGTTCCTAAATTTCCAAAATTTTATTATACCACCAATGCTACTTACCACTTTTGTCATCAATATCAAATATTTCTCTAATTTTTCTTGTAGACTATGATTTCCTGATTCCTCTTTTCCTGTTGAGAGAAAAAAATTCAGTTCAAACTACATAAGTTGATAACCACATGAAAGTTACAAGAAATCCATTGTTGAAGAAAGCATGAGAAATGATATAAAAAGGCTTCATTTTTCTCTTATTTGAACTCAACAACTGATGAAACCACTTACGATACTGTAAAATGATCTTTATTTTATCAAGGATTGCTTGAAGGAGAAACTGTGGACAAAAATGAAATTGAAATTACCGATAAAATTCTGTTAAGTACTGTTTAAAAAATGAGCAGGAGTGTATTATCAGGTTTAAAAACTCGAGGCGAAGCTGAAAGTTTTTAAACCTGATAATACACGACTGTGAGTTTTTTGCATGGCTTCAAAATCTCTCATATAGGGTTATTTCGGTCGAAAAAAATTGGACATAAAGTTTAGCCGTGTCTTTATCAGACACAAAGACAATCATTAAACATTAATAACATTTCTTTTCTTTTTCTTAATGAATTATTAATGAGTATTTGAATCTTTGTTTTGTGTCTGAAAATATCATACCACTGGTTGAGATGAAGGATCAAACTCCTTGAATCCATAAACTACCAGCTTCCTTAAAACTGCAAAACCAAAAACATGCAAAAATTTTTATCTGGTTGAATGAGAAGAAAACAAGAGCCCGTATTTCTGTTTTAGCCACAGAACAATGCTCGATACAACAATGTTTGAAGAAACCCTACAACAGTGGTATAAAAAAAATCAATGATAGATGTTGAACTAATTATATGAAAATTTTTGGGGGTAGAAGCTGAGAAATTTTGCCACACTTCTCTATCCATATTAGGTCAAAGGACAAAAATATTATTAATTGCGAACCTTGGCTTACACGAGTATTTGTGAAAGAGCTCATTAATTCTTGATTTATTTCGCAAAAAATTACACAGTGTTTTCTTTGTACTTGCAAGTAAGTACTGTTATAATCAAACCAAATTTAGATCAAAAAAGACCTGGAGTACCGTAGTTAAAAAGTTCATTTCATTTAATGACCATATCCCTAAAGGTTGGAAATAGGAACTTTCTTAATCTGATAATAAATGGACATGAACAAATTTAGCGAATATTTAGCTGCAGACAGGTTATCATAAGAATGAAATACCGGAAAATTAATAACATTATTACTCTTTCTGGTGAAAGTGTACAGAGTCTGCAATTAAATTATTTACCCTTAAGTGTTAAGGTGCTGAGCTCCAGGGAAGCCAAGACTCTCATGTCCTTAAAAAAAGAATAAGGTAACATCCTCAACATACTACATGAGTATGTCTATGGTTCAAATAAGCATTATAGCTTCATGGCAATATGTTGTCCCTTAATGTTGTCTCAAACCTAAGACCTCAAATAAGAAGCATACTGTTATTATTATTGAAAATCATTTTAGAAAAATATGGACTGTGGCATTAGTTAAAATGAGTTACAAAAGTTGTGGCAATTTGAAGGTTAAGGAAAAATCAACAGATTCCCTTTATATACCCAGCCAGCCATTCACAGTTGTGACTAGTCAGAATCATGGATACCCCCAATATAATTCAGGTTGTCATTGGCACTTAAAATACATGACACCATCAAGCCCTAACTACGCACTAACATTGGTTACTTTCAACATACTTTACATGGCATTGCTCATTACATTATTTGAAAGCTGACCATCTACCGGTAAGTTCAAACTGTAGTTAGCCCTAATTATTGCTATTAAGTGCTAAAGTACCCATTCTCTTCTCTAGCTAGCTAGCTTTAATTTCACTTTTTTTCTCTAGCAGAATTATTGCTAAATGTGTAAAAATCATGAGGGGTACAGTGACATGAGTTTGTGGTACCCATTCTAGTCACTACTGAATATATACCGTTAATTTGATCTGTTAGTTTGATCATACACTGTTTATATTATTACTATTAAACAATATAGTCATTGATTACCTTCATCTGATACAATTCCACAAGGGTAGATGTACTATTTTGCCATAATTGCAGAATAAAGCCAAAAATATCAGCTGTAATCTAGAAAAAAAATTTTTTTCAGTTGATTAATTTGAATTGAGTTTTTTTAATTTGATTGTACCACGTAAAGACAAAAAAAGTCCCAAGTTAACCCATGTTAAATCCGTAAAGCTGCAAAATAACTACAAAATAAATGGATTAAATTCAAAAGAGTTTCTTCCATTTCTTTTCTTTTCCCCTTTGTACAAGTATTTTAATAGTAGTCTAGCCATCCAGTTCTTTTCCATTATGGTAAGTTCCCTTGGCAGTTTGACCTGCTCCATTCAGAAATGGACAAAGTGCATTACTTATATAATATAAGTTTGAATAGGCAAATAAAATATTGTCAGGTTTGGGATTGCAGAAAATTACTATTTGCATCTCACTGGATGATAACAGAGGGTAATTTTCTTTTCTTTATTTCAAAAGGCAACAGTAAAGGCTTAATAAATTTTTTGCAACAGTGCACCTTGCTCTACACAATTAATCTAGGTAACAGCACCTGTCTAAACAGTCGCTGATCAGTCATTAACCTCTTGGATGCCAACATTTTAATCACATGATTAAACACCAACAATCTGCGCTGTTGATGCAATGCATCTTCACTCTGAACCTCCTGTGGAAGATCACAGTTACAAAATTAAACAGTTTTACAAAGATAACAGACTTGACATTATACAATCAACACAGCCTTGTTATTTTCTTGATGCAGACTTATTTAAGCATCCTGACCACACTCCTTGTACTCTTCTTTGACACTATCATTATTTTGCACAATTTGAAGAAATACAAGTTTATATAAGAAAATAGAGGACTGTAAAAGCTTTAACTATAAGTAATGTATCTGGTTTACTCTGTCTACATGCATACATATATAAACAAACCTTTAACAGGGTTGGTAAAAGTTCTGGCCATTCTCTGAGTTCCATCCGTGCTATTTTAGAAATCAGCACAGCTACCTGAGTTGCTACCTGAAAATAAAATAGACACCTTGTAAAAACAAATAATATAATTGTCACAAAAAAGATACTGATTGAAACTACTAAAACCATTTTGTGAAAAACAACTCGGCACAAAGACGCTCTGAAAGCTACCAGTGTTTGCAGTTTGACATAAGTAAAATGCACCTTTTTCTGGTGCAATCATATGAGGATGAAAACAAAGTCACATTTCAATGAAAAATGAAGAGAAAACTTTACTGTACCAAAATATTTACCTGATTAACAGGTTCATCGAATGACAAAATTAGATTTTGTTTCATATAACTCTTTTCTTCCTCTGAAATAGCACTGAAAATAAATAATGTTACAGTAGATTGATAAAAAATCAAAATCAGTGGACTGAGATTTAAAACCTCGTGACAGTTTATAATTATATGGCTGTAATAGTACACATGCTCTGATTGGTTGTTTTCTTGTAATGACAAGGCATTACAAGTTAGGTGTCCAAGGCAAATACAATCTGTGTTTAACTTGATGGTGGACATCCATGTTATGGTCAATTGACAGCTGTCAAACATGGTATCCACTGACCATGTCACCTGACTGTATTGCGAATCAAGTATACAACTCATTGAGGTGATGTGTTTTTTTAAGTTATCCACGGACCAGTTGTTAGTTTTAATTGATCGCAGGCTCACATCCATAATCAATAAATGTCATACTTTATGATAAATAACTTACCAGTATTAACCTTGTCTATTCGGTCATTCAAGAAAAATTTCAGACTGAAGTCTGAGATTTCCCTGTAATGACCTCACTCTCAGTTAATAAGTATTGTGTAATCACAATACTAAACATATTTATGGGTGGTAAAAGTCACCTACATAATATTGAGGGGCTCATTGATCACAATATCTCAAATAAATTTGTGATGGATCACAAGGTTTTGTTTTTGTGTGTTTATTTCCATGATAGTGGAGAGTTAAACTAATCCTACCCAAGATCTTGGATTTTCAAGCAAGGTGAGAAGTGGATTCACACCGGTTTCCTCGAATTCATGAAAATTGGTCAGATTTTTCATAACAAGTATATTTTTAATAACAATAAAAAAAACCTTTCAAGTTTAAGTCTGGAAAATGGTTTAGACTCGCCTTGCTTCATATCCACTACAATATATAAATTGACCTTGATGAAATAATCCGCCAATTTGCAAGGCTTCATCTGCGGAAAATGGAACTGGCCAATATCCTGTCTGAATGACACAGAAACCCAGCAGAGGTGACTTTAGGGAGTTCAAATCCAAAAAAAATTCCTGGGGAAACATGCCCCCCCACTGGACCCCCCTAGAAACTTGCGCCTTTGGCACTCATTTAGGAAACTGGCCTGTATTTATCCTAGATCCACACCTGAAGGTGTTAACATGTCAGCAATTATCAAAATTTATGTACACAATCTCAATAAATAGTATCTCAAATTAACAACTCATCTCCTAAAAAAAAATACTTACTGGGGAGCTGTTTTTCTCCAATAGCGATCCACACCATTTTTGATGCACAGAATTGCCATCCAGCGAACCTTGACATCAAGTGATTCATTTTTAAAAACAAACTGCAAAGAACAGAGATGCTGTAGTCAAACCTCCTTCAAATGTCTACTTTTGTTATAAGCCAAATATAATACAGGCTGTATTCATATTGTTACCAGGGGTTGATTAAGCATTTACTAACTTTTGCCCATTTTTTCTTGAAGGATCTACCCACAAGAGCTCTACAGAACTCAACCATGTAATAGGATATGCTGTATTGTAATGTACAGTTATTATCAGCTGAGGGGGATTTACCCTGCAAGCAGTTTCTCTTTGCTCCATAAAATCTGTGAAATGATGCAAAAAAGCAAGTGCAATACGTGAGCCCCAAGCGGCACAGCCCCAAGCCATGAGTTACTTGCGAAATGTACTGACATCCACACAACTTGCGTATCATGTTTGTTTTTATGCTTGATTCCACACCTGCAAATAATTCGATCTTACACTTCTAGCTCTCTGAGATATTAAAGTACAAAAAACATGGGCCCTGTCTCACTATCATTTCACTGACAAGTGATTGCCTCTAAAACTCGATCATTGTGGTATCTGGGGCCAGGCCCTGGCTTGGATTGAAGCATGGCAGGTAAACCGGACTCCACAGGTGGCCAGTGAAGGGGTTCTAAGTAAAATATCAGTGGTAAAATCTGGTGTCCCTCAAGGGACAGTCCTGGTCCCACTTTGTATTCTACTGTACGTTAATGACATGGATGATGATATATCATCACAACTGAAATTATTCGCAGGCAACAGCCTCTCATACAGTGTCATCCACAATGTTTTGGATCTTCTTACAGTCCAACATGACTTGGAAAAACTCATATCATGGGCTCAAATCAAGCAAATGCAATTCAACCCTTCCAAGTGTTATATCCTCAGGATTCATAGAGCACTAAGTCCTATTACACATTCAATATACTCAAACCCTGGAAGCAGTGGATCATCAGCCTTACTTAGGTGTTACCCTGTCTGAGTCTCTGAACTGGAAGGAACATACCCTGCATGTCAAGAACAAAGCTACCGTAATACCTCACTACGGGTCTCGCTAGGGTTTATTAAACCTAGGAACTTTCATTCATGCTCTGAGAGAGATAAGGAGTAAGCATATTTCACCCTAGTTAGACTGATCCTCGAGTATGGCAGCACTGCCTGGGACTTGTATAGGAATTACCAGATAAACTGGCTTAAAGGTGTACAGAGATGTGCCCCACGATTTGTCGGAAGGACATAGAGCCATGAGAAAGGCTGTGTTAGCGTGCCCTGAAACGTCTTCATTGGCAATCCCTGCAACACAGGTCAGGCGAATGACAAGACTGGGCCTGCTTCACAAAGCCGTACATAACAGAGCTGCTATCACCATTCCATCCCATGTCCAATACAAGTCCAGCTCTGCAACTCGAAATATTTCCATCTGCTTAAATTCACTCGTGTCCAGACTTCATGAGATACTTGCAAAATTCAGTTTCTGGCCACGTAAAATTAACGATTGGAACTCTTTACCACCTAATATTTTAGAAATTGACCCAACTGACAATTTTAAGCCTGCTTCAAATGCTTTTTTTACTTAATATGGCTGATCCGCTGATATTTAACTTTGTATTATATTTTTATTTATGTCAGTTTTGTTTTATCTTATTTTTTGTTTGGAAACTTGCGACGCGTCCCCTTGGGGGTGAACATTACAATTCGTGCGTATAGATGTACATGTAGATGGATGTAGATGGGATGGGATCTTGCTCATTCTTAAGCGGCTGTAATCCCGCCCAGTAATGCCTACATGTAACATTGATGCGAATACCTTGAGCTGAAATAGCGAAGATTCTCAAAGATTTTCAAGCGATGTAGCACTTTTTAGGACATACATTATAAAAATAAAAGACAAGCTTTTCAAAACAGTGTACACGTGTGACATAGCATGTACCCTTACCATAAGAAGGCTGTAGAATCCAGCTTCAGTCTCCCATGCTTTAAGTTTTTTCTCCGCTTCTTTAATAAGCCCGGGATCCTGACTACATGCTTGGTTTAATGCAAGTAACACTTCATCTCTCCATGCTTCATTCATGTCGTTTAAAAAGTAAATTTTTCAATTCGCCATTTCCTTACCAAGTTTTCAGGTTCCATCATGTAAGTACAAATGAAAAATGCCCGAGAGATATCATGTTCATCATACATCAGGTACTGAATAGCGTGGTCAGTTGTTCTAAAAAATGGCGGTAAATTCGCACACTGAACCAGAACAGTCAAACCTTACATTAAATTTATCGCCAAAAGAAGAACGTCTCCCATTTGTGTTCCAATGCAAAGGATGTAACAACATAATCGGAGATTCCTCTGCTTTTACTTCGTCCGACCAAGAGCTAGAAGTAATTTGTCTAAATGGTAAGTGCCGAAAGTGTGTACATCAGCGATCCATGTTTGCAATGTAACTTGCATGTACTCACTTTATTAATATTGATATAAGCTTATGTAGGTGTTTTTACCGCTTTATATTAGCTTACTTTATTAGGAAATTGATTCTAAATCTACAAAACCCATTGCCGAAAGAGCCCCTTGGATTTACTTTCTTTCTTGAACGTTCTTGAGGAAAAAATAGTAAAGCTCCGGTTTGGGTGGGGTGGGAGGGGGCAGGTTTCTTTTACAGGTCACCGAATAATTTCCGCTCGATCAAAAACAACATTTTGGATAAGAATTAGAGTTAGGAGACACTTTTAGTCTTGTTTATTTATCTGTAGCACAGTGACCTGTATTCTGACCTGTAGAATGTGACCTGTTGAAAATACCTGCCATGGGAGGGGGGGAGACTAATAGGCTCTAGTAAGTAAAGGAAGATTCCACAATCCTGGACAATGCACAATTCCTCACCTCTAAGCAGCCCTGACAAAAAAAACACTCCCAAGGGAACTTAATTAGACATGACAAATATCCATATGAGGAGAGGGGAGGGGTCATAATTGCTAGAAAATGTACACAACCCCCTTTATATCCTTGCTATTATTTGTATACAGCTATTTCGAGAAAGGTTGTTGGAAAAAAGAGCGCGCGCCAATCCTGAAAGCTATTGTGGGTGGTTTTGAGTTCACTGTTCTTCAAAGAAATTTGAAGGAATGGCATGAGAGGCCATTAAAGTATGTTTTCAAGTTTTAAAGTAAAGCAACAAAAGTAGGTTCGACAGCTACAGTGTCAGGAACAGTGTATTGATCATGTCCCATATTACCTTTCGGGATTGTCGCGTGCACATTTTTTCCAACAGCCTTTCTTGAAATAGCTGTAAATTTGTGCAAAATGTTTAACAGCCATTGGGTTTGAAATTTTTATCTCTCATAGCAGTAACATCACTTGTAAGCTCTCAAGAGTGTCTGGAAACATCCACTGAAGGACCAGATATGGGAAGGTAAAATTCTGAGGTGTATATGTTGCAGGTCAAAATAGAATTTAGGTTTAAATTTTTTAACCTACAATCACCTACAAAAAGGGTAACTTAGGAGAACAAAAGAATCCGTGCCCCTCCCCTGTCCCCTTCATTCAAAGTTGGGGTGTTTGTTGTTTTCTATAGGTAACTTGAACATCGGCTCAACATTGCATGTAGGGGATGGGAGAGGAAAAGCTACATTTCCTCTTTTAGAAGTTAGTAAAACATAAAATAGCCCAGTTTTGGGTGAAGTGTCTCAACTAGTTTTGTCGCTGATTATAGGACGATTCACAGTTTTCTTTCTCCTAGCCCTAATTCATGAATAATTAGGGCTCGGAGACAAAGGAAATAAAAATTATTGAGAGTCAACCTAGGTTAAAAAATTTTAACCTTAATTTACTTTTGACCTGTTATACATATTTCCTGAAGGTCCAAAGATTGTCACTTTGGAGTAACATATTTTCCTTGAATCTCCTATGCAGCACATTTAGGCCTCTACAATGCATGTCCTGCAAGTCAGTTATTGGACGAGTCTATCGAACTACTCCGCGAGAATTGGATCACTTCAGGTATAGATATACGTCTTAGAGGTAACTCAGTTTGCATTCAGAATTAGCTACTGTACATCTGTATCACATTATGATTTGGGTGAAACTCATAGTGAGTAATTACTAACAATAAAGAATTTTTTTCTTGCATTTCATTCTTAGGGATATGTTTTGCTTAGATGTGGAACATATACGAAGGTAAAAATCTGTTTGAAGTTGGTGTCCAGTCATGCATCTTGCAACTAGGGGTTATTTATTTCACCACTAAACAAGCTCCTTGTTGATACAGATTATAAAGCTAAATGTTTATCTTCCAGTTATCAAGTGGGATCTGGAAGTGAAACACAGAGCATTGCAGGAGAATCTGATGATTTTCTTGATGTACCATCAGCTAAGGCCCTTCAAAATCGAATTACCAAGGTACACATTTATTTTTCTGGTCAGATTCAGCAGTATTTCTTTTTCTTCATTGAAATTATTTAACGTATGGGTTGGGCTAGCTCATGGTGTACTGTGGATTTACGTTTGATAACAAAAGTCAGATAATTTATATTTATGAAGAAACTTTTGTGGTAATTATAATCTGATGTCCAAACCTTTTCACCATAGTGATTTCCTTTGTTTTGTCGTATGGATTATTAACCCATTCACACCTGAAACTCTCGTTACCACTTATGCAGTTCCTCATTCCGCGTACCATTTGTGATGTCATCAGTTTTAACAGTCATAGACAAATTTGATCAAAACTCGTCATAGGGGAAGAGATCTTTGGAACAATACCCAATTTAGAACAATAATCTTTTGCTCTCTGTGCAAGAGCATACTTTGGAAGGTATTACTAACCTTATAGAATCAAGAACCAAAGGCCACATAATGCTCAACTTTAAATATAAACAACGTTTTGCGCAGTTCTTTTTTGCCAGACAGTGACCAGAAAATGATTTAACTAGCTTCGAAAGGCATTTGGAAGCTAGTCACTTGAAGTGGCTGCAAAAACTTCTAAAAGGCTTGAGCACTGTCCAGATAAGACCCTTGTCATGAATGTCTGATATAGCTTCTTTTGCCATCAGTAATTCTCTATAGTTATTAATTATTCTGATTACTGCATTGAACAGATTGAATGTGTGATATTAATGCTAATGGAAAGGATGGGCCTCCAGGATTTGACTGGTAAAGAAAACAACAGCACCATGTCTACAAACAGCCATGTTACAGCAGAAGAACATGACAACGAGAAGCCAGAATACAAGCCAAGCAAAAAGAAAAGAAAGTAGATTGTTCTAACTTGATTCTGTGCATGATAACTACAGGCTATAGTTTATATCAAATACTCTAAATATCCGTTTGGTTAATGTTACTAATAGTTTGAAAATGGCAAAATGGAATGCCAAACTACATAAGCAGAAAAAGACTTAGATAAAGTCAAAAAATAAGTAAAGATACAAAAAGTTTATGCTACAATGTAGCTGTTTGCATGATCTGGTATTGGTAAATGAATTGGATAATAAACAAAGTAAAGTGCCATGTGAAGTTAAGAAAATGTCCCTGAAGATAAAAGTTAACTAAACAGACGTGTGTGTAGCTATATTCGTCTCTGAACTGAATGATATGGTTTCTTCAGAGTTTTTGTTGCTTTCAAGTTTTATTTACTGCGAAAGGACATTTTAAGCAGCCTGCACATCTGAACGAATTAATGTTTATTTCAAATACAAAAAGACTATCGGCGTTCATTTCGATTCATCAGTGTTACGAAGATCATGATGATACATCGGTTAATGTTAGATCATGTTACGTGTAAGTACATGCACCGAATTGTGTAAGATATTTTGAAAATAAAATTCTCACAAGAAAATTGTTTTCGAATGTTCATGCAGTTGTCATGGTGTAATTTCTAGAAAAAGGACTAGGGAAACTGAACAAAGACAAACAGGTTGACATGCACTGTAATAAAAAACGAGTGGTTTAGTTCTTCAAACATACGAACAGAACCCAGGGTTGGATGATGCTCTCGGCCAAAAAAAAAATGCTGAAATCAGTGTTTGGGCTTATTTCAAAGTAAAAAATATTTACCGGACATACCGTAAATGATTCAATTTACACCCCTGCTGCCCCCTTCTCGAAGTAAACGCTTCTTGTCTGACAAGCGCCACTTCTACGATGTTAAGTTTGTGTCAGACGCCCAACTCTAATGAGTGCCCCCCCCCCCCCCCCAATGACAGTTACTTCAACATATTAGGAATTTCAAAAAAGAAGCATAATCATTCAATTTATTCAGTTTCTTGCTCGATTAACAAGAGTTTACGCATTGCATCTTGTTTAAAGTGAGAATACTGTAAGGATGACAACAGAATGACCCTTGGCGAGCATTCTGACATCGATGTTGAGATTTGAACGAGCGATATACCGTATTTATTCGAATAAGCGCCCAACCTCGAATTAGCGGCCACCTCAAATAAGCGCCCATCCTAAAGGCATAAAAAGTTAATAAGCGCCCAGCCTCGAATAAGCGCCCACCCCACCCTACTCCCTCCCACAAAAACTCCAATAAAAGATAATAAGAGACCCTCCCGAAGACGGAGCTTTCTTCAGCGTATTTTACAGAAACCTTGCTTTGTTACATCTTAGCTTTTTGTTATTAGCATTTACTGTTTTGTTGCAAAATATACCACTACACTTGCTGAGAATGGTGAAAATTTAATAAGCGCCCAACCTCGAATAAGCGCCCACCTCGAATAAGCGCCCACTCTCAAGGTCCAAAAATTTAATAAGCGCCCAGGGTGGTCAATCGAATAAATACGGTAGATCTCAACACAGCCTAGATGTATCAAGTGATGAACTGAATATTCCGCTATTTTTAAACTGTTTTTTGGACCCCTAAAATTAAATAAACGCTCCGGGTGTTTATCAGATAATTTACTTTTGTCATTTTAGGTTTTTTTTTTCCTCTTGGCTGTAAATTTTGTCAAAAAAGCCGCAGAACTTGAGAATAACAGGCAAGCAGAAAACAAGCCGAAGAAAAACTAGGATGTTAAACCTGAGATCAAGCTTTCTTTTTGTTTCGCTTGGTAAATTTCAGTCCAGCAGGAAATGCAAAACAAAAAGAAAGCCTGACCCCAGGAGAACATGTAGTATTCTATACTAACTAAAACCCTAGTTTTTACTCCTACACTTTAGCGCGACCGTGGATGAAAGAACTTATGAGAGCTACTAAAATGTGGCCTTATTTCACCGTCAGCGAGAAAAAATAGCTTCCGCTCGAAGAGCGGTATTAATTACACCGTAACTATGCATTTTTTAACATACAGGTGGTCTGTCATCTCATTGATAAGCAGGGCAGCGTTTGTTTGTTATTCTATTTTTTCATAATACTCGTACCTGTTTTGAGTATGCTTGTGATAAACACTGGCCAAAGTTTATACTGGCTTCCGTTGTAAAGCGTGCCCGCCCTGCGTGCCGCAATGAAACCTCGACTGTTAATATAGAATTACCCCCATTGGTAAATTAAAATCGACAATCAGGTCGCCAATCCTTGTCACTATTAACTTGAAAATGATGTATAAAATCAATTTTAATAGCTCGCTGTCCATCATTTTGGACAAATTACGATCTTGGTATCTTAAAATTTCATGATATATACTTAATACAACTAGGCTTACTCATGTACTCCTATCAAAACCATACTCTACCTCTAAAATTGCCTTGTAAATTTACCTTACAAAGTCAAATTCATTCGTATAATACAAGAAACTCGTGTAAATTTCGTCTGCCTTTCTGTCGTACTCGAACCAAACAATTTTCCGTTTTTTATCAAGGACCTAAATTTTACAACACCTTAAACACCAACATCATCAACGCTTCCTCACCTTTCTCCTTTAAAAGAGCACTTAAGGCATTTATTTGTAATAATTATTAGTATACTCCAACAAAAATCTTGGGAAAAAACCCTCTATTATTCAACATTTGTAAACTTCCGTAATGTTGATTGTTATTTTAATTTTCCACCTTATATTATTTTGTATCCGTCGCCGTCATTTTTATGCCATCTTCGAAAAATTGTAATTGAGGAGGCCTAATTAACATAAGCTTTATGGTTTCCTTTAGGCCTCCTCGCCATTTCTTCCTACATTTTTTTTTTGGCATCTTTTTGTAGTTGTAATCGTGTGGCAAATAAATAAATACAAATACAAATTCAAATAGATATGCAGAATGAGTGATCTAATGGAGGCGAGACTATTATAACTAAAGCCGGTCAAACGGTACATCTATTACCACAACTATTCATCCCAAAAAAGCCTCGGGTATTTTAAGTCAATTTTAAAAACACTACTTCGTGCTCTCCACTTCCTTAAAAAATTCATTCCGTTAATTAACGCCATTCCCTGCTTTACACTTTCCCCTGTTCTAACTAAAGGAACTAAACCAAGTCAGTCCGAGTTCTTACAGGTGTTGCCATTGCGCAAAAAAGAGGTTAAGAAAACCTAATCCTTTTCTGAATAAATATGTTATGTTAAGTCTCCTACCAATAATTAAAAGTCATTTTACTGACCGAACTGTTAATTTTTTTTGTCCTCCCTCTTCTGAATGAGACTGTGTCTAAATGTGAAATATTTTCATCAATGTACCATTTATTATTGCACGGAGTTCTCCATATCGCCAGTAGCAAACGAGGGGATTTAAAGATGAATTTAGTAGAAGTAAAAATAGTGAGATGTGTTCAACTACCAGAAACGATAACTGGGAACTGTTTGCTATTAACAATATTACAGAGCACAGGTGTGGAAAATAACATGCTGTAAAAACAATGTAGACAAACAAAGCATTAAACGTGGATTTCTTTTCGCGCAGGTAGTTCAGGTCTTGAGCATTCGTTATCTGATGCTGATGATGTATTTGATTGCGATGATACTTTACAACTTTGTAAATAAGAATATAAGCTATAGTTGTCAAGGAAAGGCCAGTGAATAGAATAATGGCAGTAACGATTTGGTTAAGTGTAGGAACAGAAATAAGTATCGAGGCAGCGATGGCACTTGTTAACCATAAACACACCAAGGATATGACAACTCGCTCTGATGTTACAAGTTCATGGTATCGCAGATGGAGAAAAATAGCAAGAATTCTGTCTACTGTGATGACAGCTATAGTCAGGAACGATGCGCATCCGAGGAGAAAAAAGGTGAAATAACCTACATTTAGAATAACTGGACATAAGAAGTCAAAGTTATAGTTTGAATTCGCTGCCATTCTTAACATCATAGCGACGATTACTGCAAACATTGGTTGGGGAAACAAACCCACGGCAAGATCAGAGAAGGCGAGGTTTAAAAGAAGTTTTCTCAAATTTGTAGGTATCGATGAGGCTTTCCTAAGGGCACGAATAACGAGAAGGTTTCCAAAAGTTGCCACAACGGCGAACACAAGGTTTAAAACACAAAACGCGCAAACCAAATTTCCGTAAACTTGAACAAGCTGTGATACTCCTTTCAATCTCTGAATGCAGTACTGGGCAGTCATAGTGAACTTGCTAACTTTGTGATAACTCACACTTGTAAGCGCCTCGATTTAAAAAGTATCGGTGGGGTTTCATTGTCACGTGCATTTTACGTGCTTATTGACTTTACCTTTAATACGTATGATAATCATACAGGCTGTAAGTGTTACCACGTAATTAATGCCGACAATGTGTGTGGCACCTGCGTAAATGCTTAAAAAAGCGTCGCAAAGATCGGACAGTCTAACTGCGTTTTAGAGAATTCCCTCTCAAGACAAGCGACATAAAGGCGGCAATGAATGTTATTAGGAGTAGGATCTTTATAAGGCTAGAAGAAACCTAAGCTCTTCTCTAGAAAGCAATGGACGTAATCATTAGGAAGACAATCAATATGCAAACAATTGGCTAGCCTGAGGAAACAGCCGATACTGGTTTTCCAGCGGGGACAGTGCGAAATGTCGGCTGTTTTCTAAGCCTAACAAGTGGCCGGTAGCTGTGTCTTTAATGTGATCCGCAGCACCAGGCAATTCCTTTCATCAAGATCAAGAAGCTTATTCGAGGGCGGACCTTGCAACAAAAAAAGGTATAACCAAAAAAAAAAATGTCCAAAAACAACAAACAAACCAAACAAAACATGCAAGTTACAGAGTATTAAATATTTCTTTCTCTTTCTTTCTTTTTTTTTTATCCAAAAATGATAAATGGGAGAGTATAAGTTCTGTTCTTCATTCAGCTTAAAGCAAATACTGACAAAAAAATTCAGTAAATAGAACGGTAAGTACAGTATGTTGCCCTGTATGTTGCCCACTTAAAGCAAAAACTCAATTTTTGCAGCGCGCTTTTCGGTTTTCGGTAAACAAAGTATTTTGAATGGAGGATGAAGATTTCAGCTTTAAAATGCAAGTTTTGGCGGGTTTACAGCTTGAGAAACAGTTGTAGAAGGCGCCGTTCTGTTCAGGTGGGTAAACTTTTCATGGCTAATATTTAGGCTGTTCACTGCGCAGTAGAACCAGTTATTTTTAAAGAAACTGTTTTATATTTAAGTAATGATCCGGGTAAGGTGGATAGCAATTTCTTTTGTTATGCGGCAACGGTGCTTTCCCCACATAGGAATGTTCTCATTTTTACACAGAGAATGCATAAACCTACATGAAGGCCGTTTACGCAATAAAATGCATTTACACTCCACTTTGAAAGGGTGTTTTTTTGTGCCAAAAGATTTTGACCTATCACAAGGGTTGAAAACAATAGGCAAGAAAAGTTTATAATTTTACATGTTCCCCACATCGGATTTCTTTGTTATTCAAACTGCGACCAGATTTTGCTATATGGAAGATGGTTGGAAAGTAAGGATGAATATATGTATACTGCTTTATGAAGTTTTGATAACTTTTGCTGTTGAAGCCAATCAGAAGTAAGTACAGACAAAAGAAAAGCTAGCACCTTTTTTGCATTCCAACATGTTCGTTGCCGTTCAGTGCTATCGTTCTTATCTAGACCGTTTCCTAAAGTGAAGATACTTAAAGAAGTCAGGTTGTCAGAAAATTCATTAATTCTTCTTGAATTTCAATTTGTTTGGAATAACTGAGGCCAGAAACATTGACTAAGTATTGATGTCAGGTGCCCAGTATCCTGCCAGTTTTTTCTTTGCTGTGCACAATCTATGAATAAGCTGGGTACATTATCCGGGCAAAATTTATGTCATATCCATAACAATAGTTAAAGCTTAGGGTATATAGTATAATCTGTATAATGTTATTCTACTCAACTCCTTTATGGAAATTCAGAGGCGAACTGATTTCGTGTGCACTGCTTGTTTCCCGTGACTGCATTTTCTATATATAACCGGTACCGTCGAAGTTGAACCGAAAATTCTCATACAAATCCCCCAGTTGTGACTGCTAGAATGGGATTGCAACAGACTGAAAAAAATTCTCAAAGGGATTGAGAGATATGAAAGTCAAGAAGGAGGAATTAGTGCTGGAAAACAGCAGCCCAAATGTGGGGACTGAGCACGAAGAAATTAACAGTCTAGGTCAGACTAAATGGGAGAGTGACCTTTCACCGTTCGAAGGGCCCAAAAAATGAAAAAAAACCCCGCCGGTTTGCAAATTGGCTAAATGAAGCTTGTATTTCATGGAAAAAAAAAACAGAATTTTGTCTTTTTTGTTAGTTTCTTTTTTCATTTTTCTCTCTATATTTCCAACCTTGATTAGCCGCTCTCGTAGTTTTCCCCACCATACCCCAGCTATTAATGATGTTTTGTTTCGTGATGCCAGGTTCCCAGGTCGATTTATATTTTTGGAATCGAATGCCAGTCTACTTTGCAAGTGCAAGAGGAGCTTATAAGTCTATTGCCTCTATTTTATATACGCGCGTAAAATTTACCTGCGTTCGAACGTAAAAATTACGCGACAGTGGAAATCCACCCCTACAAAGACAATCAGACAAGGGTTTCCTATGAGACTTGGCGGTGATTTTTCGGTAGTTTAAATCCTTTCATTTTCTTTAACCAAAGCTGATTTACACTCGCGTTACGTTCTGTCCTCCTCCCGTAAGGGATTTTCAATCTATTTCTATGTCTCATTTTCCTCATACGAATTCGCGTTCTTCAGTGTACTTTATTGTAGATGTCTGGATGCCCATGACATTTTCTGTGCTACAAGATGCTTCAAGCCCTTTAGTGCGTCGTGTTTTGTTCACACAAAACCTTTGCGCTTAAAAACACAACAATCAGAGATTTCGTATTTATTGCACCATATTTTTTAATAGTAGCAAATATATTGAAATAAAATAAAATAAATTATTTCTCTGGACATAGATTATTAATATATGTAATTAATTACGTTTTAATTACCCTATTACCTACTACAATAGTAGGAAAATTTCTGTGGTCTAGACACAGAGATCCTAATCTTAAGCATGTTTGGCGTCAAGTCTCCTATTAACAACAATACGCCATTCGCAAAATTACTCCTTTCTGCCATTTAGAGGGCCATTTATAAAAAAAAACCAAGAGACGTATTTGGTAAAACGAACATTACTTAAGTTTTCTAATTACTTTATAGGTTCAATGAAACTATTTACGGTAGAGCTACGCCTTGAACGAAGATAAAGATTAAAAAAATACCACTTGAAAAGTTAACTGATATTTTCAGGTTGTGTCATCGTGTCGCGGACAATTGCTTTTGCTGTTGCATTCCAGCGCATTAAACACAGTCTTTGTTATGAGACAATTTATTGAGTCGACAGGACGAGAAGTTGCTTTCGCGCTGCATCTTTTCCAACTTGATTGTAAGTAAGAGCCATAAACTTTGCTTTGTTATTATTTTCTCTTGAGCTTGTAAACAGGAAGCCAGCGGTTTGTTCCTTAATTCCAGCTACACACACCACTTCATGGCACCATCACGTCTCTTAAAAAGGCACCTCCATCACCTTCAAGAATACTAGTACCCAGATCACGGAAGTTCAGGTCAGTAGCTAGTTTGTAACGCATGCGCAAATCATTTACAAATCCCAAGAGTTTTTTCATGTTGGTTGCAGCTTGTGATGAACGATAAGTTTCATTCTTGTACCTAAGAGATGAGGAAATTACATTAAGACTTACGGCCGAATTCGTGGAATAGTCTAGGGCGGTAGGTTGTCACATACACTTATGACCAATTAAAAAGCAAAAGCAATTCCGTTGTTTTTATATGTTGAATATGGTATTTTGGGAGGTACAATGTATGCTCTACTTATAGGGATCGAAGTATTGACAAGGAATGAAATTTCAGGAGTTTTCTAGGTTAGAAAAGTGACAACTTCAGGACCCAAAGAGGAAAATTTTGATGCTAATAAAGTGCGTTTGATGCAAAAAGGTCCATCCAATTTTCATGCCAATTAAGTGCTTTTAATGCGTTATGTTAAAACTTAGCTATTGAATTCAACAGCCTCTATTTCTCCATAACATACTGTCACAATTATCCAATAAAATTATAAAATTCCAGTTTTCCAGAAAAAAGAGGATTTCCCAGGAGTAGTAAGAACTCTACTCAGTTTGGACAAGTTTTAACCTCTTTTCAAACCAACTATGTAGAACTTAACACGCGCCGAACCGATAGATAATTACCGTGCGCTCAATTAATCACAAGAAAAAAGAAAAGAAAATGAAATTACCAACTCTTTAGCTGGTACAACATGCATGTGACTTACTTGTGAGCGACATCAACATAAAGATTGTTAGTGATAGGCAAGGCCGAACGCATGTCTTGAAGATAGTTAAAATTGCCTTTAACAACCACTTGATTGTAGACAGCGTCAACCCAAACACATATATCACGCTTCTTGTACGCGTCAGCAACCAAAAGAGACTGCGGGAAATAAATAACCGAATGATCGGTCCGTTAACAAGATTTTTAGTCGAAATTTTAGACTTAGGTATCTTAGCCTAAATAGCAAGCGGGTTTTTTGGTGTGTTTTTCCTTCATGTGTCGCAAAGTAAGAGATGAAACGAGAAAACGAAGGTGGGAGGGGACGAGGGAAAGAATGCAGAGAGTGTCTTCTGTCTCGTTTACATGATGCCGTTGCGAGATTTCGTCTCGGGGTAAAATTCTCGCCCCGGTACAACAACGGGGGTGAACTCACGCCGGGATGACTCGCGCCGGCATGAACAAATATAGTGCTATGAGAGGGAACCGGAGTGAACTCGTGCAGGCGCGAAAGTCGCCCCGGTGTTATGTAAACACTCCCTAAGTTGTGAAAATAATCAGCTTTACACAAAAGGCACGAAATGGCTGGGTGTTGTTTGTGGAAACTTCTGTTGGTTGTCCTATTGGTTAATTACTGGGTCAGGGTGGTGTGAGTACTGTTAGTAAGCCTCGTGATCCGTCAATCCGTGGCTGTAGCTTGAAAAAAACGCCAAGAATCTTACCTGGAAAAAGTTACCATGGTTAGCAAGGAACCTCTTAAGAGAATGTTCATCAAGATTGACCACAGTCACACCAGTGGGAAGAATCTGGATTTGGAGATGAACCAACCGAGCCATCCTGAGACAAACCTGTGAATGCCGCCAGCAGTTCTCCTGTGAATTGCCAACCGAATCTTAAGTATCAATGCTACGTCAGTCTAACAAAATAGCACTTTTATTTGAAGATTGAAAAGGGCACCAAAAAAAAATTAGAAGAAGAATTGAATGTTATGTTGTGTTTGTATTGCATTTCTCCCTCAAGCGTGTGCCCCGGATGCTTTTAAAAATCCAAGTGTGAATCTCCTGGGCTTTACCTGAGGTTATAATTCCTGTCATAATTAACATAGGAAGATGAAAAAATTGCACGGAAAATTTGGCCTTTTTTAACATTTTAGTGGTTCGTTGTCATTCAGCAAAGGTGACGCTAACATGTGACAAGTAACGTACTTACCTTAGCACGCAAGAAGTCACGCGTTAACATGTCACATGTCACGCACTCAACCTAACAAGTGACATGACACGCACTCACCTTGGTGTAGTTATCCGAGGCATAACAGAAACACTTCTTAATGGAGTTCAGTTCGTAAAACACCTCAGCACCTGACAAATAAACAAGTTACCCAGTGAAAAGTACTTGAGAAGGATGTATTGCTAATGATATTCCCTGCGCGGGACAAAGAAAAATGATAGTCACCAACGAGATTCATTTGATGACCTCAAGACACCGGGGTGGGAAGTGAGGAGTTCACGCCATAGAGCTGAGAGAGTAAGCCATTTATAAGCTTCCATTGTAGCACACCTCCTGTGTTCGTTTTCCATTGATAACGCTGTGCGTGAGTGGAATAATATCAAGAATTTTGGCACAGTATGACGGTTACAGCAACAACTAAATACGTAACGAATGGCCACTTTACTATCGTGTGAAATATTACTACTCACCTTTATCTGTTAACCCCTGACCGCTCCTTTTCTCTAAGGTATAAAAAATGATGCAGTCAAAATGATAATTGTTTCATGGAAAGGTAGGAGCTGGGAGAATGGCAGCAGCAAAATCCGAGTGTATACATGAACAGGCTCACAACCGAGAAGCACTGTTATTGACAGCAGCTTTAATTCTGACCAATAAGAGGGGAATGCTGCCAATCAATCAATCACTCAATCAATATAAGCTCTTTGTTCGTTACATATAAGTAAAAATATTTGCGTGGGTGGCTACTGACTCGATACCTGGAAAGCAATCTCCTAAGTTAGCAAGTTGTTTAAGAGCTGTCTCTTCCAGAGTCTGGGCGATCTCTCGATGCATGCTAAAGTGATGAGCCACCATGGAAAACTTGTCTGTGTCATCTGGGTGTTGTCTTCGCAGATATTCGAGAAGGGCAACTTTAAGCTTATTTTCCTGGAACGAAAACGATTTAAATGTAATTTGTTATCTACGATACACCAAAGGCTTTAAAGAACTTTTTAACAGGTGCCGTTCTTTCGAACTTAAATTGGTGGCACGCGTCGTGTTTTGAGGAGATGGGAAAACAGGGCTACCCGTAAATAGAAAACTGGGCCACATTGGTAAGAAGCGAGTGCGCCACTTTTGCTATCACTGTTAAGTTTGGAAAGTGGCGTCTACTCAAAGCAAATAAGGAGCTTACGCAACGATGACGGCGATGTCAACAAGAACGTCAAAAAAGCAATAGGTTTAGATAACCTAAACAACAACTCTGCACGTGCATCACGCTTTCTGGTACATTTCTTTACCGTCACCGTACGACTACGACATGAAATTTCCTAATTTCACTTTTTGTAGAGGACGTGAAGACAAGGGAACGATTATCTGTTTCCTTGTCGGAACTTAGGTACGGTTCTTAAGAATTCAGCTCCAAACAAATTTCACTACCTTTGCCAAATTGAACCAAATGGTATAAAAGCGATGAACTCTGAAACAGCGAGAATTCACCTTTTATCTGACGTTTCCGCTGTTATCGCTGTCCTGGTTGCGTAAGCTACCTACTGTTTTCCCCCAAACGCAACGTTAAATATCGATGCCTGCTGATAAAATCAGAAATCAACGACCCTTTTCTACAGAAGTAACGACCAAAATGGATTCTATTCTTTTTAAACTCGTTATTAACTACTATTATTTGTGGAACGAAGCACCAAAGTTTTTCGAGAAACTCATTTTTAAACAAAAAACCAGCTGACGAGGCCCGCACACTAGCCTGCCTCGCAGATGTTATCTAACCGCAGAAGGTAACGTCTGCGCCGAAAGTAGCGCCGCCGAGATCCGTGTTCTGGACCGCCAACGGACTCAAAAAATTAACAGAAGTGCGAATTTCCCTTCAACATTATTGGCAAATTGACAATGGCTCTTTTAACAGGCCAATCATGGCCCGTCATTACATTCAAGCCAGGTCAAGCATACCCCCCAAGATTCCAAATTCCAAATTTGAAGTTCCTAGCTACAATACCCGAAGTTTTTATTTCATGCAGGCTTCATGAATGGATAAAGCTTAATTCAATGTGCTATCTCTCTGGTCAAAGAGCCGTGTTTGATCGTTTTGTGTGTCGCCTAAAGTTTTGCCCCACTAGACCACTACTGAGTGAAAAAATGTCACACCGAAAATTTACCGATCATACCCGATTAAAGGTCGAACGCCACTTATCGAAACACAAAAGAATGTGAGAAACAAAAGCACTATTGTCTTCCAAAAATGCAACCCTAACAATAGGCAAAGTTTGATACGCGTTGGGAGTTGTAAATTTCAGATTCATCTCTGCATTCTTGCATGCGTAATTGCCATTAATCAACACGCGAGGCAGTTATGGAATTTCTACCAGCTCAGTTTTATCTGAATTGACTTAAAGGCCTTAGAAGTAATTTTATCCATTCAAAGATTTTCAATCTGACCAAATACAGAGAAGATCTCGTAAAATATTCACTGCTCATTACGCATGCAGGAATGCCGATGTGAATTTGACACCAGTTACGGGAACGACTAACGGATTCATTTTTCTAATAATCAATTCACTGAAAGAATATTGAGGGGTACGCTTGACCTGCCTTGACTGTAAATCCTGATACACAGGTGGGGATCCAGGACAAGGATTTCAGCTCTGGCTCGCAGACGGACTTAACCAGAGGTTGAGGTTCGTCTACGGCGCAAGCTACCAACCCACAAAAGACTAAAATGGATGAAAAGACGAAAAAAACGACTTAAAACATTTTTCAATAAAAAGCAAGAAGTTACCTTTTCTATCCCCTTGCGGCAGAGCAGTTCAAAGTACTCATGTTCAAACAGCGTGTCAAAGATGTAAGACATCTCATTGAATCGACCAACACCAGTCAACAAACGAACCTACAACAAGCAAAACATTACCATGGAACTTCCTGTTTGCAACAACTAAGAAAGAAAAAACCTTCGAAGTCGTTAATTGTGGGGTAATTACCATGAGCATATAATCTCCGCTTTCTGCCAGCGCTGAAGTGAGAACTCGTCCATTCCGGAGCACAGTTGCAATGCCTTCCATGTTACAGGCTAAGGTGTGACACTCGTGAGCCCGTACTAGCAGCTCCACTTCTAAGCTCAACCCTGTTTAGATTAGCAAATACCTTTATATAATCATAAACATTCTGAAAAACAGGGTGTTAAGATCGAGCTTCCCTAGTCCACAAATCCTGCTAGCTTTTAAATATAGCCATAAGCTTATACCTTTTAAGATTTGGAGCGTTTTCACTCACGTTACCAGCAGCAAGATAAATTTATTGGAACCCGAAGATGTGTTTATACGAGAAAAAGGTTCAGCTGTCACAGGAGTAGTTTGGGTCACCATCTCGGCCGCTGTTTTAATGTTTTGGGACACCGATATGGCGGACGTGTTGTCACGTGAAAACGCAGGGTCCACAGGAGACACCAACCTCGCTCCCAGAGTTCTTCTCAAGAGAGGAAAACAGAGAATCCTGGGAACGAGGATAAGGAAGAATGGACACACTGTTTACTCCTGTATTCTGAGACACCTCCAAGTCGGTCTAAAAAAACCTCGCCTGCTTCTCGTTTATCAACCAACTTCTTAGTGTTTGGATATCGGATAAAACACTGCGTCTCGTGTTGAATGAATTACTTAAACTGCGCCTCACTCTCGAGTAATTGTTACTGGTAGTTCGCATAACATCGTCATGATGCGATGAAAGTGAAACGCATAAATAACTAATAATAATAATAACTAAAACGTACCGCCACGGGGTGCTGTTCCTGCCATACGATCACTGACCAACGCTGTAGCAGCGTTCAACAAGCGGCTACCAAGCAGAGAGTAGTCTGGGCACAAGCGGATCATATGACTTATGTCTTCACATGAGGGTGCTGCATTCACTGTAAGGTCACTGTACTCTCTTCCCGATATGTCTGCAAAAAAAAAAAAAACGCACAAAAACACACATATTCACTTTGTCCGTTAGTTACCCGTTTGCAACACAGACCAACACTGTGTTAAAACGCCTAAGATAATCAGCAAAGGTATTCCGTGGTAACTGCATTTGAGGCAAAACACCCCTTTTATTAAAACAGGGAAGACAATGACTTGATAATAAGCGCAAAAGGAAGTCCAAATCAACCAGTGAATGGGACTCCCAATGAGCGACTTAGAACGTGAGAGACTTACAGAACCAGAAACATTGTTTACCTGTACGCAAATAAACAGATGCAAAAACGAGATGAAATGGATAACATTACAGTCAAGTCCTGAAAGACTAAGGCTGTCGCCAGACTTCATAGTTAGCTTTTTATTGAATGGTTACACTTAGGCTTTTACGACTAGCAGCATCCAGATTTAAGAACAACACATACCTTCACCTGTGCTATGAACTCGGAGGGAATTCAAGATGATGTCGGCTAAAAATTGAGTCACCTGAGGAAAAACATACAAGTGACAGATTTCGGTTTAACATCAGTCTCAGTTACCGAGGGAGACCATGCAATTCGTACCGCGAAGCCTCACGAGTGATCTTATGATGGACCACTAATATCATTGAGATTGAAAAGTAGTGGTTTGCTCTGTTGTTATTTTTTGTAATTACTATAACAACTGCGATATTTTCAATGTTTGATATGTGATGAAACACGGTCACTCGTGTTTAGTGGTAGTACATTAACAATAGCCTACCTCCTCAGTGTTCATTTGAATAGCTTTAATATAGACGTCCATAAGTTTATATCGGTTGTCAAATCCAGACAGCAACAGCGCCTGAAGCACGCTCAAGGGTTTCTTTTTCACAATAGTCTCATACTCTTGACCCAAAGTCTGTAATAAACAAGTAATCATTTCAGTGAATTCTTATCGCGTTCATGTCCTTCAGTAAACCAGTAAACACATGTTCACACAGAAACCTGGTCTAGCACGGGAGGATCAAGTTAGCGAATGTGGAATATTAAATCCACTTCCTCTTAACGGACACCTATATAAGACAGACATTTCTAAAATGGACACCAAGTGTTGGCCCCTGCTGTTCCTCAGTCATTTACTTAGGCTCTCTATGAGCCAGACACCTCTTCAAGACGACAAATGAATTTTATACCTCAAATCTCGTTTTTGCATGCTTTTAAAAATCATTCAAAAAGTGCTGTCTTATTTATACGGGTTTCATTACTCCGAGTGGTTTTTCTCCGGCTACTCCAGTTTGCTTCTTTTCACAAAAATCAACATTTCCGAATTCAAATTGGATCTGCGGGATGTGGTAAAAGAAGACCCACTCTATGGATGTACTAGTATTTCTTACCTGAGCAACCTTGTAGCATACAATGATGCAGTTGCAGCATCTCTTTGCCTGCTTAGAGTGAAATGCCAGACTTTCCATGGTGGTGATGATATCTTCAACTTCCACCCAGGACACAGAGGACATGGAAGACACCGAGGAAACAGAGTCACGGCGATCACCAGGGGAAGTAAAAACAAAACTTCCGCTGCGTTGAAATGAGCCTGGGCGATTGAGACTATTGCTTGCTCTTCTGTTTGGTTTGATTAGTGCCTGGATGTGATCATCTAAGGTGTCCACGGAGCGTGTCCCTTGAGCCATATAAATACACGACTGTTGCAGAGAAATACACAATTAATCAATATATTCCTAAAAATTACAAGCAAGTAAAACTGCTGTATTTTACAATAGCAATGTGAATAAATGTTCGGTAAGCTTAGAAATGTTCGTTTGCCTTTGCTCCGAAATAAAAATACAGCTAACTCATATTGGTAACGAAAGCAGAGGAGAGGGCATTTGTCTCCCACCAGAAAATCCAACAATTTTAAAGCCTCACCATGACAATGTCCAAATCCAAACAACTGTGAGAAAATAAGTTTGCCAGCCAACGTGCCTGAGTCACGTGACAGCTCTCTATCAAGTTACCAATCACATTCTCCAAGGCGAAGAACTCCTACATTTAAGCAATAAAAGAGGTAAGTGTTATACATCGCACGAGGGCTCAATTTATAGCAACAGGAAAACTTGCGACAGATACACGTGATCGTACAACCTTTTCTGTTGATAACGGGCAGTCAGAGTCTAATTCAAAGACAGCAGCATCATCTTGGACAAATTCTTTAAGGTTGACGGTCTTATAAGAAACCAAATCAAGGTTGCTTGGCTTGATGTCGCTTAGTAACTCCACCTCCGTTTCGTGGGAAAGAAATTCCAGGTGGCTTACAGATCGTGTCAGTCTACTCTGGAAAATTAAAAGACAGAGAAAAGAAAATGACGCTACTCGGAACGTTAAGAAACTTGTAAATAGGTTGGTTAAAGGGTCTAACCCGCTGTCTTACAATCTTTGAAATGGGTCCCAGTCAAGAACTCAGAAAATCTCTGTTTTATAGTTTCCTATTTTTTTTCTCTACTTTCGGTCAAGTCGCCCAAAAGTCAGTTTCGCCCGAAGTTATGTCGCCTGAAACCAAGTTGTATCGCTCGAAATTATAAGTCAACTCGCCCGGAATGCTGAGTAATGTCGCCAGAAATTTTTGTAAAAAGTGCATGTAATAAATCTCGTTCTTTAAGCGATAACGAGACGAAACAAGCGCGATAAATGTATAATAGATCTTGTTCTGTAAGCGATGATGAAACGAAACAAGCGCGATAAATGAGTAATACATCTAGTTCTTTACGCCTTGATGAGACGAAACAAGCGCGATAAAGATGTTAGGATGTTGTTGAACATGATAAAATTTCCGGCGAAATAACTCTGGTTACAGGCGACATAGTAACAGGGCGTAGCAACAGGGAACATTACTCCTCTTACCTCGTAGTCTTTCTCTATCTCTGCTCGTATTTTGAACAGCCACCGGTTCTTTTGAAGTTCCTTTAGTTCCGCTGGTGTTTTCTGCAGCTGGCTGTCAGTAGAGTTTGAAAACCACTTCACTGCTATCCCAAGGAGCATTGCGCGTTCAGTAAATGTGAGATGTTCATCTTTAGCTTGGCTCTGTAACAAAAAAGAAAAGAAACAACCAATTTCATCATGTTACGGGCAGGGGACAAGCGACAAATTGAGATCACATTCTATAAAAGTACGTATTTGATCTCACAACTAGGCTTAACATTCGCCGAAACAAAAATGAAAAACTGTGTGGTTTCTTCCAATTGACTTTGTGCACGTCAATAGTGAGCTTACGCAACAGGGCTGAGTTGCTCAAAGCATGGTTAGCTTTGACCATTGGTTAAGCAGTATCAAAACCAATACGTTGTCAAGGTATTAAACGATGGTTAACGCTAACCATGCTTCGAGCAACCGGGCCCAGGACGGTACAAAGAAGAGATCGACAAAACGCTTGTGTGTGACAAACATAACAGGCCTATTACCTAAGTGTAAGTTGCGATGTTCAATTAATATAACTGTGTTTTGATCATTCACAAAAGATCTTTTAAAAGGACGGTGAAGTTTGGCGGAAATTATCTTCAAACAGAATTATTGTCCCGCTTGTCACGTAAGGTTTGCTGTCTTCCTCCCTCTGCCGTCCCTTTGCGTAAGTTCAATAACAGCTCATGTTAAGATATAGTTTTACCACATGCCATCAAGATGACCTCTTGATGTCATATAGCATGAAACGGCTTGTCTTTCCTCGAAGATAATCTAAATCGCTCTGTTGATCACAGTAGTATAGAGGGAAATGTTCACTACCGTTTTTATTTTGCAGAGAACCTAATTGCTGTAATGCATAATTCATAACCTTCCATGACGTCATAGGTATTGTCTTTATCTCAGGAGTCTATGACGTCATCATGTTAAGGCATTTCTCTGCATGACTATGAATGAGGTCAATCATTTATGTCCTCAGGCGCAAATTTATGAGATACTTGCCCAAAAAAGGAGTTCTAGGACCCTACCATACTACTCATATAGTAAAGACCTTTTTTCAGATTTAGAGTGGGTTAAGATTATAAACTAAAAAAAATAAAAAAGCTGCTTTTCGGCAGTGACCTTTTTACTTGAGAAGATACAATCAATACCATAATATTCATGGCTGATTGAATGTTACTTTACAAGGTTACCTCAAAGAATGATCCTACAGTGCTTTCTTTACAGTTGTTGCTTCTAAAGCATATTTCAGCCTTGTGCCAGAATGCTAATCGCCCTTGTTCGATTTCCCACAACATGGAATTTTTGGCACCTTCCAACTCTGCTTCGACCTGAGAATCATTAAAAAGTTGACATGAGCTCCAACAATTTGATTCTTGTGAAACGAAAAGTACTCACTAAAATTCTACGATTTCCTGACCTCCTTCAGTGTAATGTGATCATCAGCCAAGCCAACCATCTCAGCAAACTTTCGCGCTTGTGCAAAGTGTTTGTCGTTCAGCAATGCTACCAAAACCCTGTGTTTTTCATCGTCAATGTCTTTAACAATCGGTGACAGCATCACATCAAGCCGGATGGTAGTGCTACTGGCGTGAAGAACTTTGCAAACTTCATGCAATTCAAAGTAATCAGGCACTGTAAACATGAATAAAAATTACAACTTGACTTATCATCTACTCGTTAAAATCTGCCACCACCGTACAACCATCATAGTTTTCGTCCAGTGTTAAACATATACTATTTTCTCCGTCTTCTTTATTGTTACCAAGCGTTGCGGTTCCAAATCACAAACGTGACCTTCAGTCAGAACAGTTGTCTTAACTCAGATGTTCGTCTAGAATTCTTTAGTATGGGAAGCAAGGGTGGCGCAGTGGTGAGAGCACTCGCCTCCCACCAATGTGACCCGGCTTCAACTCCCGGCGTCGACACCATGTGTGGGTTGAGTTTGTTGTTGGTTCTCTCCCTTGCTCCAAGAGGTTTTTCTCCGGGTACTCCGGTTTTCCCCTCTCCTCAAAAACCAACATTTCCAAATTCCAATTCGACCAGGAATCAGGTAGACGAAGAACCACTATGTGGATGTGCTACCTGCAAATCGTTATTTTATTTATTTATTTATCTATTTGTTCATTTAGTGTCTCTCCACCAGGTCTCACGGCTTCTCGTGTTTGAGACAATCTCTACAACTCAAAGTTTCCAACGCAATTTTGTACTAACCTTGGCAAGAAAAGTTTTTTCCAAACATGGCTTTGGCCAAAATCTCTAGGAGATGTCTCTGTTGGTAGGTGCTTTCGGAATGTGTCAACATCTGCTTTGTGACTTGACTTGTAAGCTTTTCCAGCCACTCTACACTACCAATCTTGATCTCATTCTTGCTTTTGTCTGCCCCAACTTTCAAAGACTGCTGATGAAGTAAATAAGTGTACTTCAAATGTTAGAACAAAATTATGCAGCAGTGCATTGATTCGAACTTTATTTCCCCTTTTGTGATTATGGATGGTAATTTTATGTCGCTGAAATAAACTCCGATTTATAATCGAGCTACACTTCTGCTAAAACGCAAAAAAAGCTGCTGAAAAGACATGCGGTAGTCTGTGCACAAGCGTCCCCTTCCCTCGGAAAAAATATTGGAGGGTGGCTGTACACAGGCTAACCATCCTCCTAGACCCATTAGAAGCTAGTTGGGTCGGAATGTTCATGATAGAAAGGTTATATGGAAAACGGGAAAGCCACCGGGCGGTCATTCTTACCGAGCTAGCTAAGGGGGCATTTGAAGCAGGAACTAGTTAAGTTAGGCCACGTGCAAACGGCTTGAACATTGTTGGATGTGACATGTTTCGTCCGTTTACACACCCTGTTGCATGTTGTTGCACAAAGTTTGAAACCGGTCAAACTTTTAGCCCCGTCCAAACGGACGCAACATTGTTGGCCAGCAACTCCCAAAATTGTTGGGAGTCGTTGCGTCCGTTTGCACGTAACTCTCCAAAAGTGATTCAGGAGCTCTACCATTCTCTTTATCATTTCTTAGGTATATTATATTCCGTCTCAATAACAGCTGTCACATGGTCGCCCAGAATGGCGATGACCTCTGTAGTCAAAGTTGCACCTTATTATCGGCTTTATGTTTCGGTGTTTCGTACCTTGTTGTAATATATTTTAAATGACTTCAAATGTTCCTTGCAAGCCTCATAATCTGAATGCACCAAAAACGTCTCATGGAAACGGAAAAAATGTACCAAAGGACTCTCCTACGAAAGATAGAAAAAGTCGGTTGCCATTTGGTCTTCCGATAGAGGACAACAACGTTCATATAAAATTGAACAGCAATAAAATCTTAAATTGAAAGTTAATGACCGCATATCTTCAGGTAAAATATACTTCGTTTATTTTTTTTGTTGTTGACGCTGAGAGCATAATTTGTTGATGTGCCCAAAGACAATTCCTTCGTTGCAAACTTCTCTGTGGTATTCTTCTGGGTGAAAAGCAAAGAAAAAATGAACCCCACCAGCCTAATTTTTCCATTTGAACGAACTTACCGGATCAAAAATATAAAAGGCCTTAACGAGGGTGTGCGCAAACTTGTCACGTTTGTCAACAAGCGCCATGATGAGAGCTGTCAGGTCCTCTTTGGTCCATTGGTGCCACTGCAGCTCTGTTTTCAAGTAATAAAACAGGACATATTTTCAGGACTACGAAGTTGCCACTTTTCTGGAATAACCGTTTATGTTTATACCTTTAGAGGAGTATTTTACGGAGCAATTCTAGGACATTTCCCTCAACAAGCCTAGGTAGAACATTTCAGACGAAAAATGATTTACAGTCGCTTTTGTGAAAGATGAAAAATAAAGGGTAAATGGAAAGAAAGAAAGCTTGTAGTTCATGTTTTTTAGGTGTCAAGAATGTCTGGACAGGTTCCAAAATTGGGGTTAAAATACTGGAAATTAAGAACGCGAAACTTAACGCGGCACTTAATTTACGTCGCAGAAATTAACGTTCAACAAAATTAACGCGACTTAAATTAACGCGAATTTTAACGATTCGGGTTAATTTCGTGGAGCGTTAATTTCCTATAATAAGGTACACTGTATTATTACATGCGACTCAATGCATGTTCAGGTGTGACCACATTGCACTTTCAAGCGCAACTATGCATTTTCCTGTGCAACCACAACGCATTTTTATGTGCAACTACTATGTATTTTTAGGTGGAACTATGACTCGTTTTTATTATATAAACACCAATGAAATACCACGTGAGCTTTCGCGCGAAAACTTGATATCTTCACACGTGAAAATAACATGTTATCTTCACGTGTGAAAATATCACCGTTGCTATGGCTACATAATAAATCGCGCCTTTCACACCAAAAAACTATTAAAGTGAAATGGTTTGGTATTTCATTGGTGTTTATATAATAAATAGAACATTACATGGCCGCTTGGAGATACGAAATTTCTTTTCTCGTGTTGAAAAAATATTTTTCAACACTCGAAGAGAAATTTCGCATCTCCGAGTGGTCATGTAATATCCTCTATTTATGCACCATAACAATGCATATTTATCCACAAATACAATGCATAAAAAGGGTTATGCTAAGAACACGCAGCTTTGTAGAAGATTAAATCTCAGACATAATAATATAAAACCATACTTTGCACGTTCCAAGAATCTGTTTGACGACTCCCTGTTGAACGTTATAATTAGACATCATTAGCCACTTTAATAAATTAGTCACTAAAATCGACATGGCTTGTACTATATTAAGATAATTATCTGTTATCTGCACAAGGTCATGGTCATTTTAAACGAAAAATTAACGATAAGAATATTTATGTCATCATTATCTATCCTTCGATCATTAGTAAAAGTTAAAACAACATTTGATTTCATGTTATACAATATTCGTATCACCATAAGCAGGGAATATAGACACCTGGGATGTTTTCCAAGGCAGGTTCTAACACAGAGGGATGTACTGTGGAGCATATCCAGGCACATACACAATCCAGAGGCTTGGCATCCTGTTGAAGTAGATAAAAAAAAAGTGCAATGAATATAGAAATCCACAGCCTAACAACAAACCTAAATCAAACGACATTCACAGCTGAATTCATAAGTGTTGTCTTTTTTAATACAAGCTTTGAATTTTAAAACATACTCTAGGTCATTCCGTTCTTCATGTAAAGAATACTTAGTGGTTCCAAGAAGCAGATTGAAAACATATGGAGACAGAGCTTTCTCTATTGCAGGACCTAAATTGTGGAACGATTTACCTCTAGAGATTAGGAAATGTGCTTCAGTGGCAACTTTTAAGCAATCCCTTAAAACTTTTTTATTTAAGTTAGCATATAGGTTATGAGATTCCTTTTGTTTTGAGATGTTTTTGATTTATATAGTAGATGTCTTAGGCTATATTTGAATTATATTGTATATTGTAGATATTTTATATTTTTTATATTTTATTTTGTAATTAGGTGGCGCTTTGGACAATTATTGGATTTTAGCGCTATATAAATAAAATTATTATTATTATTATTATTACAAGTGTAACGTGGTTCTGAATTTGCTTGCTCAGTGTATGGAGCCCATCGAAAGGCCTCTCAGCTTTTGGTTTCTGTGAGGCATTTGCTTGTTTAAATTTGTAGAAACCATAATTAGTCAATGAGATCAACGACGCAATTTATATATACGCCTATGCCAAGCGCGTCCTTAAAGGGAATAACATCGACGTAAGCTGAAGGAGAAGCAGAAGAACAAATGCAAGATTCTAATAGTCTTAATTAAGCTCCAGGGCTGGGTTGTTCGAAGCTAGGTTAAGATAACCCAGGGTTAGTGCGAAATTTGAACTCAGATATGAGAGCTTAAAAAGCAAATTCAGTATAATTCTCTTAGCCTTCAATTTGATGATTGGTTACTATAAAAAGAATGGAGAAAATTATCCTAGAGAGTACTTTTGATAAAAAAAATTAAGAAACCCGGATTAAAATGTAACCCCAGGGTTAGCGCTTTTTCCACCTGTGTTGTTGGTGAGGACCAGGCTTGATTGCTAACTGCATCAGCTCTATGGAATGATGTACACATGAAAAATAACTAACCTGAAAGCATGCGGCCAAAACTGACAGAAGGGATCGGTGAAGACTTATCGAGTACGCGAGCAACTTCCTCCACGGAACGTCAACTGACTGACACTTGAACAGGATGTCAAATAGATTTTGCGGGACCTCATCCGCGTCAAGAAGAATTTCTTTAAAAATAAATTGGAACATTAAATTCTGTGAGAAATGACACCACGGAAACAAGTTAAGAAAGAAGTAATGAATGTAACACTCCTTAGAATAGATACAACCTAGTGTGTGACTGGTTCTATATTCTTTTATTAATTGTTTATACTGTAATATTTTTTCCTCCACTTTTGCCCGTCTCGACTAGTTCAGAAGCCAATTATTGCCTTCTATAACTGAAAGACTTAAATAAAGTTGTTGTTATTGCTTTTCTTTCACCAATTGCTGAGAGATGACCTACCCTCATAGTCATTAGCAATTCTATTAGTAGAGCCATATCGTCGTTTAGTGGTCTCCAAGTCCTTGTCTTTGGCTAGTTTCGCTCTTTGTCTAGAAACCTCCTCGTCCTCTGCACTACTGCTGCATGATGGAATAACAACTTGTTCTTCAGTCGCAGTCTGAGAAGGCTGTGGGACTGTTGCTGCGACGAGACCCATGCGCGAATAAAATTGAGCTCGCACATCACGGGAGGGCGTTACAACCTGAAGTGATAATGAAAAGACCACACATTCAATTTTTTTTCTTGTGGACACGGGCTTTCCTTATAATATGGATAGCTCTCTAAGAAAAGTCCCAGAAAAAAGTCCCAGGGACCAGAAACGTGTTAGCTACAAGGGTACGTTGTAGAGAGTGTTTTCTATTCCATAAACATTTCTCTATTACTGAGGGAAGGATGTTCCTTATAACTCTATTCTCGTCCGCACAGCTACGATCCTCTTGACCAGCGGCACTGATCGAGAGCTCTGGCTGCTTCCAGAGATGTTCATCTGTGCCATCTGGTCAAGCGGACCGCATCTCTGGGGACGAGAATAGGTTAACCTTTACAAGCCACACCTGTTCCGGTTTCTTAGTAGACTTCCTTTTTCTGCTTCGTTTTCTGCTGGAATCATCAATGGGGGTATTTTCCACTTTAATGATTGGGACATTGTCAAATGCTAGATGCAGATGTTCTTGAATGTGAGGATTGCAGAAATCATGTTCAATAACGTACACCACCTGAAAATAACACAGCTAAATTTGAATTGTCCCTTACGACACAGATGAAACTTTCTTTTCCGTAACCATTACAACAGATTAGAGACCTTCAGATTCGACGACAAAGACGACTAGGAGGACGAGGTTAAACTTAAAGTTTTTTCGTTTATTCTCAAAGAATAAATACCCCGGAAAGCTTCACTGTACGTTTTTCTCACCAGAAAAGTTGGCACTCTTATTTTTATTGAAGGAGGTTAAGCCCTCTCCCGATCCTATAACGATAAAACTTCTTACATTTGATAACTTGTTTCCGCCAATACGACATTCTCGCTAAAACACGTAATAGAATGACGACGGCTATCACGTTTTCCCGCCAAAATGAGGCAATTTCACGTGCGTGCACTACTAAGTATTGTGGAAATCTCATACTCGTAGTCGTACTCGTCTTAGAATCTAAAGATCTCTGCTTTTTTTTCTCTTCCTTCGAACTTAAACCTTCTGAGTTGGAGAGTCTGTCTGTGGGTGAAATGCTGTGGTGCGAGCCATTCAAATGAAACTTTTCAGTAGTACTTTCACACGCGGGTGCTATTTGTACGTAAGTACAGTTCTTTTGGTGGAACCATTCAAATGAAACCTCTTAATCAGCAGCAGCACTTTCATGTACTATGTCCTGGACTTTCTAGGAGACACTTTTGGGAGTTGTTCTTCCCAAAGTAATATATGCCATACTCACTATCTATATGCACTTAAGGTTTGTCCATTCGGGGAGCGTCGATCAAAACATGACTTGAGACATAACTGTTAAAAACAAACCACTTACAACATTTCCCTTACAACCCTGGGTACCAAACGTTTTCGTAACTGTGTATGGCTGGATGCTTCGTTGTCGGCAGCAAGACTTTTCGCCCGGGTTACTATTAAGACTCGGGCGACCCAAGGCGGAAACCGCGGATGAAAAGTTTCTGGATCACACGGTAACTTTTCCTGCGTTTGAAGATCTAAACTAGTTAAATGTGTTACGTTCCAGATTCATTACCAAACTCCAAGACAAAGGGAAAATTAAACATGTTCAAGCCGAAACAAGAATTACACTGCAGCAAATACCTGTTCCTTTGGAAACTGACAAGCCTGTGCATGACAAACAAATGGCAGCCATTTGTCTTCCCTGGCACAATCCTGAAGAAAGGAAACGGGAAGTTCCATCTTGTGAACTCGACAAAATAAAACAACAAGATTCCAATGCTGGCCAGCCTCAAAAGATGTCCTGAAATGGAAATGTCAGCAATAGCAATTCAATATAAAATAGAAACAAACTTCATACCTGCAAATTATATGATAGTTACATCCTTGTGCCAGGAAAGAACGTGAGAGCAAGATAGTTGAGAAAAACAAAATAAACAAATTTATTTTTAATGCAATGAAAACTGACAGCGGCGTTACTAAAAAATACCTCGAATTCCAAGTAGCACTGGAATTGAAAAGAAAATTCTGGACGTTCACATTATAACCTCTTCGAAGCAATAAAGAGACCCAGAAACAAATTCAATTTAAACCAGTTGAAAAACTGTTCAGACAAGGAGGTCAATGGAACATAAACTCGCATGCTCCGCCGTGTCTTTAACAAAAGTTGGCGAGACCGAGTCACAAACTACGAACTGTACGGTGACATTCCAACTATGTCAGACACAACCTCCTTCTCAGGGTCCTCTCCTATCAATTCCTGTGGAGCAAGAGAGGGGACGTAAAGGACCAAATGAACGAGGTTTTGTCAGACACAGGATCGAACTGAATTACGAAGGCTTTTTCTTGCTGGCCACGGTCATTGCGAATTGCCAGCAAGCAAGCTTGTCCTGTGGCGGCCAGCGCCAGGACACCTACGACGAGGCCGCCTGAATAGAAGAATGAAATGGGGAGGGGGAATCACAAGTACAAGATCATGGACAGGTGATTTAATTCAAATAAGGCACAGTGTCTCAAGTATTTTGCAACTGGTTGTAGCTACATGTGATACAGTGTCAGTGGTCATTGCAAAGTTGTTGTCCTTCCGAAATCACGACCACTATTGGAATATTAAAAAACTAGTACAATTAACATTTGTCGTCAGTTACCTTCCTTTATGTGCATCCAGCCTTACTGTGATTGATTAAGTCGTTTTGTAGCGCTGGATTTGTTGTACGCAAAAGTGCAACAAAAAGTGCTTAACTGAAACGGTCCAACAATGCTGAGATCTAAATAGCCAAAACCCTAAGGGTTTGTGTGATAAGAAACCACTTTTTGTGTTTTCTTAACCAAACACAATAAAAGTAATAGACGAAACTTACTTGTCTAAGCATTCTCTACTGATTAAGTTCCTGGTTGCACTTTGTAAAGCAGCTAAGAGTCTTTCTGGTTTTTGGTTGCTCTTTCCGACACATGACAGCAACTCAGAAGCTAAGTAAACAAAAATGAACTTTTACGATATTGTTTTAGCTTATAACTGGAAACAGCCAAAAAGACCAAATATTCAGTCTTAGAGACTGATAACTCAATATGCATGTCAATTTCTCCACATCTCTTCAGTATCCATTTTGACCCAAAGTTTGTCGAAGTTCCACAAAACAATATAGAGAAGGATATATTGGAAGGCAATTTGACTTTTTTGGGGAAAAAGTGTTGTATTTCAATATAACGTCATTTTAGTATGAGAAGCACCTCACCGCAATAACAACACTTTTTATGGATCGCCCGATAGTGTTTGACCTTAGAACTTAAAATGTTTATACTCTAGCCGAAAAGCCTACAATTCGAAATACTAAACACGTTGTTTTGAGCAACCATCACAAGTACTCTTCTTAAAAAATAAAAGGATGCGCAGAGTTTAAATGAAATAAAATAAAATGTAGTTACAAACGGCTTCCTCCAATGTAATGTCTTCCTTGTTATCATCTGCTAGTAGATCGTCCAAGGTAGCATGTGCTATCACTCTGCTGGCAGCCTGAATATCCACCCTCAGTGAAGTGCTATCCAAACCAAGCATCTCTGTGAAGGCAACACACGCTGCACACACAGAAGGATTCGATAAATGTTGAACAGCAACTCTGTATGCCTTACATGCTGCTTGCTGTATTCTGAAAAGACAAAAGGAACAGAGCCATCATTATCTCAGATTCACCAAAACCATAATGGAGTACGATGACGTCAAGAGCGTGCAACAAAGACAACACCTGAGACAATGACGAGATCTGAACCAATGACAGCCCAGACACCAATCGGTAGTCAGGTTCTCTGACTAATGAGCTACGGAGAGACTCAATAGGGCCTGATTTATACGGGGTATATGAGACACGTTATGCATGAGACACGAACTGTACCATTTATATGACCTTATAAGGTGCGTCTTAGATAAGTCACGAGGACATTTTCTGAGCCAATTATGTGAGAAGTTAGCATCTTACTAAAGACAGGATGGTCGTTTACTAGGTTTATGTTTGATAAGTACCCTACATATTTTCTGTTTCTCGAATCTTAAATGATGAAAGATGGAGAAATGAAAGTTTCTTAAATACATCACACAGAACAAATTGACTGACCAATATTTGACTTACTTTGATTTGGACACAGTAGCATCTTTGAGTCTTTCACTGACAAAAGATACGAACGCAAATGAAGGTCTTCCGTGTCGCAGATAGTAAGAAAATGTTAAATTTTCAACGTGCGCACGTTGGGAAACTAAGAGCTCATTAGAGAAATGTGGCATATCAGTTCCGGGTGAATCTGTTACGGAAAAAAAGAACAAATAATAATAATAATAATAATAATAACTTCAGATAAGACATTTTAGCCGTTTTGAAGTAGGCCAATTCAAACTCAAATAACAAATTACTAATTTTCGCAAAAAGACCTTGAACCTCTTCAAGTTTCATGAAAAGTGATGAGGAAAATGTGATATCAAGTTAACCCTTGAGATTATGTTGAAGTGCAAGTTGATTTAACCGACCCACTTAGGTTCATTTAGAAAATCCACACAAAACCAAAGAAAATGTCAGGTTGTTTATTTAGCTGATGAAAAGTAGTGAAACTCCTAAATAAAAACCGGAACAAAATAAACAGAAAAACTTTAAACTAAACTAACCTCCTTTGGTAGCAAGCTCGTTTGTTGGCTGCCATCCGAATAACCGAGATATTTCAAAAGGAGAGTTTCCCTGTAAGAAATAATAATGGTTTACCGTATCCTCACTCCAGACAGAACCACGAAGGGGACCTTTGGCTGTAATGCAAGTGTGTTCCTTTTACCCACACGGGGTACTCCCTATGATAACCTATACAGGAGGGCTCCGCCCGAAAGGGGTACCCTATTCAGGCTTAAGGATACAAAACGGTAGGGATTTCGTGAGTTAAAGTATATGAAAGGGTAGGGAAATTATTATTTAGGCGTTCAAAAAGGCCTGAACTAAAATAGTCTCGCACCTTATCGCTGTATCAAATTAATTTACTAAACGCAACATGAAATGACAAGAATGCTTACTGTTAGTAAGTATGTGAAAAGGGAACCATTTTTCAGTTGAAGGTATACAAAAGGAGGACCTTTTCTGTCAAAAATGGCATATAAAATGGTTAAGAGGTTGGACCTCAGGCGGAGCCTGTCCACATAAAACGCTGTTGTGAGTAGTCCCCCCCGGAGCATTTTGCTGTTTTTAAGAAGAAAGACAGACTACCATAGGTGGCATATTAACTAACGAGAAAAAGAAAAGCATAAATCAAAGCATATATGGTTCACAGTGGTTTGGTACCCGCGCTAAGTAAACGTAGTTTGACTAATTGTATTACTCAAAAACTAGAGAAATTTCGAGGGTTTTCTTTGCGTTTATTATTTTGAAACTATTTACTTCAACCTTGAAACGATGCGCCAAGCACACCCCTTCCGAAAGTTTAAAATGACAGAAAACAAACCTGTAAAAGTTTATAAACAGAGACATCTTGACGTTCCATTCCAAGCGAACCCCATGTGATAGGGAAGAGTGCTGACTGCAGCTTGGGAAATCTCATTAGCGACGTGTAAAGGAGCTTTTCATCCACTTGGTAGACTGGAACGTTGGGTTGAGATTCGGAAGAAATAATGGCCTAAATGTTTAAACAAAAAAAACAGGGCTTTCTAAAGTGCTGTCGTGGAGAAGCCTGTTTTCAGTTCGAACAAAATCTCCCAACTTGTATGTTTATGCCGTACAACTGAAAAGCATACAAGCGACGACGTCGTAACTGCGAATAGCGTTGTACAACTACACATTAAGGAATTTACTAACCGCAGCAAAATTTCATTTCTAAAACTTTGTTATTATTGATTTCACTCGCGGTTTGGTCTTTTTACAAAATTTAGTTAGTTTCATCATGTTTACGTTCTATATCTGCTTGAGATGAGGAATACCTCAACAGTAAGCTGCAGATCCTTACCTGACTAAGTGTATTAGGACCATACAGAAGGCTGCTTAGGGCCATAACAGGGCGTCCTGCCTGCAGCATGTGTGTGACAGAAGGCAACTCAGTATTTAAAAGAAAGCTTGCCATTGATAAACTGGCTTGAAAAACAGCACCATGATCTAAAGAGAGCAGTCATGATGGTCAATAACTTACTACATGTGTTATTTATTAGTACGTTTAAGCCAGTCCTACATGCCACAATGTATTTTAAAGCTTCACAAGCCTGGAATGGGTACTATATCCTACACCAATAGCGTTGGTGTATTTTGTGAATGCTTTGTGGTTCTAACGGGTTCTCTTGACTGTCGTCAGTCATAACATCCTGACTTTTACTCGTATTTCACAGTCAAGGTTCCTTTATGGTAACTTTTAACTGGATAGCAATCTGCGTGATCCGTGGAAGAGACGTACGATTTTATTGGTAATCGAAGGTCTAGTTGATGCAAAAATCCGGTAAAATCATTCGTAACTAGAACCAAAATGCCTCATGTGTTCTGTTGGTACTGTAAGTTGCTAATCTAGACAAGAAGCCTTTTTTCTCGACCACTGTCTCCAAACATTATAACTAAGTCGTAAACTGAGAACAGAATACCCTCAGAGTTCCGTCCAAGGAGTCTACATTTTATGAGCATGTCAACCCAAGCTGGTATCTCCTTATTTAATCCAAGTTCCTTCACGCTGCCTTCACTTTCACAAAGCCTAAACATGAAAAGTATATCAACATTTAGATGACACAATTCACACATCACATTCCTACATCTGTTATCCTCTTCAAATAGAGTACTGTACGTGCGTGTGTAGATATCTCCTCACTACTAGGGTCTTTAATTGGGCCAAGTACTGTAACTATAACTTTTGGGGCTGAGGACAAACTCCTGTGAACTCTTTTGAGAAGTACTTTCACATGGTACTAATTGTTCCCCAAAAATGTTATTGAAGTAAAGTGTGGTAATTTTTGTGACTTAAAAGAGAAAAATAGTTTCAGAGGTAAAACAAACCTGTAGAAATCCACGTAATAATACAACAAGTTGGCAAGTTTTAGCCTTATACAGTAGTCAATAAAACTCCGATGAAACTGCAACACAGACACAAGACATCCTTCTGTATTAGCCGACACTTTGCCTTCACTCGCACGAGGGTTTTCCAGATATGATATCGGCGGGTTGTCCCCAAACAGTGACTGTGTTACGCACAAATAGTGAAGTAGAAGAGAAAAGCTGGATAGCTGAGATGTTGTAAACATTCCATTCCTAGAAAGAAAATACAAAGGCAACGGTGGTACAAATTTGCCAACGACATAGTTAGTTTAGATGGAACAATCTAAGAACTATCTCCTATTACTGAGAGACGTGATCAGTGAAACCGATACAAAATTTGTACCAGTTATTGAGAGAATAAGTTTCTGACAAACTCCCTACCTACCCCTTCCCTAATTTAATATTTTGCCCTACGTCAGAATTTAGTGCTAAAGTTGAGTAGGGGGAGGGGTAGGTGGGCAGTTAAATTGTACCTGGTTAGCTCTTCTAAAATCATTTCTTTTACAACTTTGTGGCAGCCATCAATTTGACTGAAGACACCACGACTCAGCTGTGGCAGGACGACGTTCCCTTTCTGAACATAGAGGCTGGCGTTCTCATGAGATCCATCCAAATCAGAGGCCATGGATCTGATCCAGTCGAGTAGTGCTTGCCAGTTTGTGTGTGATAATAAGTAGTTCCAAATAGCTTCGGCACCAATCTTTACCTCTTCAGATACACAGGTGTAATCCCCAGCTGTAATGAAATGTTCATCATCACCATTCACAGTTTTGTCAAAAAAACACATCGATAACCAAGGTTAGTAACGTCTTTAAGCAACTTAACAACTGATCGAAAAAAAACTGTACGATGGTTATAAAGTTCAAAACAAGGATATTTCAGCAGAAAATCTCTTGAACCTTCAACTTTCGTTTTTGGAAGACCTTAAAACTGCAAAAGTCCCTTTCAATTACCTTCACAAGGAAGCACTGCTTCAGCCAAAATTCGTTGTCTGGAGAGGTGATCCCAGGTGCATCCCCAAGCGAGAGGTAATTCAACATATCTACTGGAGCTTGAAGGAGCCTGTGGAACAACAATTTAGTTCAGTTTCAGCCGTTGAATGGGCCTTTCCCACTGACCTCCACAGGTCCACGTTTCCCACGACACGGTGCCAGCGTGAAACAACAGGTTTGACAATATGAGAAAGCGTTTCGCTTTATGTTAAAAAAATTTCTTTTTTCAGTGTTAATCTATCCAAGAGGTTGTTGACAATTCTTACCTGCTCTTTGATTGCCACTTCCAACAGACTTCCAGTCTGGATGTACGTATCAAGGATTTGCGTAGATCCAAGATTGAACGAACTTCTAAGCAATCCGAGATCTCTCCAGCTGAGAAATAGAAAATAAAAATTGATCCGTTTTAAGAACATTTAAAACAACAACAACAAAAAAGATGGCTTGTAGCGGTGGGCAAGAAAGGACAAATAAACAAAAGACAAGCCAGGCCGGTAAACTACGAATCTTACGATGTAGCAATTAAGTGACTTTCAAAAACCTGTCATCCTCGTCGTTGTTCCTTGTGTTACGTTTTGCCTCTAAGAACGATTGTTGACTGTATGTGTTTTCCAAGGTATGGACAAATCCAACCAGATCCTTTTCCTCAGACGATAAAAAGCCTCTGGATTCCAATTCAGTTGCCTAAAACATACAATGCCTTTATAAACCTTTGCTTTGGGTTAGCTGTAGTTACTTTTCAGTTTAAATAGACCGACTACACTTTTCCCTCTTTGTCCGAAATCTACGCATATCTCACGAGAGTGTGGTTTTGCGTGTTGTACCTTTCAAGGCAGGGTGAAGATCAAATATTTTGTCAAACTTTAATAAACTTGTTACCTACTCTATTTTTGTTCCTAAACGTTTAAGAGAACATTCCTCAAATGAAAACATCATATGAAGAAAACACAGGATATAACAAAGGTAAAGGAGGTTAGGAAAAGGTATTCTAATTACCACAATGTTTTGTCTTAATTCAGTCATTAACTACCATTTGAGATGACTTGTCACGCAGTCATACACCTTGAAGTCGGTTAAAGAAGAAAACTCGGCCGTCTCTTGTGTTTTTTGTCTTCAAGCCACTACTTGTTGTTTAGACATTGACCAAAACACTATTTCTATATTTTACTAATCTTGGCTTACCAGGAAATCTCTCAAGGGTCTGTGAAGTGTGTACAGGCAAATCGTGTGCAATTGTCGCAAAACATCCCGTCCCTGCAAACAGAAGAGATTGTTTATTCGAAGGAGCAGATGATCTAGTAAATATAGGATGAGAAGTAGGATGCCTAAGATGATGTCCAATTACCCAACCGATTTCGGCTCCATTGTCAACTATTAGAATCGCATAACATTTAGGAGGAGCCACCCTCATGCTGCTTTTTATAGTACTTCATTATCTAAAAGACCACAAGGCTCGCGTTGAAATACCTATTTTTCTCTAGTCTACAACCATAAAATCCGACTCCACCTTCAGAAAACCAAACGATTTTGTACATTATTGGTGGGAAGAGGTGGGTGAAGATCACAGTTTTTTATGGTAACGTGTACTGTTACATTTTCGTACTTTCATATTTCACCTACCAGGTTTGTTAGCAATATCACCACAGTATCCATGTCATGGTCCAAGAGTTTCTGAAGAACCACTTTAAGACCAATTTTAATGAAGCTTGACAGCGACCCATCACAATGAACATCTTTGACCCCTGTTGACTGAACGTTACTTAGTAATTACAACGCTAGAAAAGTGGCTCTAGAAAAAGTAATTGGTGATGTCCACTGTTTAATGCCAGGATTATGATAACGAGGCTTTTGAATTTTTTTAGATTATAGTAGCCGCAGAATACGACTTTTATTTGGACCAGACCAAAAAAAATCGTCCTTGAGTGGCTGAAAAAGTCTTGAGTCGTTTGTTAAACCAAAGGGAAACGGGCGACCTTTATTATCACTGAATTCAGTCTAGTGAGTCATCTGCCTGAGTACTTACAACTAGAGCTAGTTACTGTAAGGGATGAAAAACAAGAGAATTGTGTCCTCAGATACTTAAATTCAGGTTTTTGATAAGGTTTCTGTCTTTTACTTAATATGCTGGTATTGAAATATATTTATCTTTCCTTAAGACATGACCAAAGTAGTTGCATTAGAGCCACTGAAACATACCAGGTTCGTTCGTAAAACCAAAGGGGAATAGATGACTTCCATTATCATTGATGAACATGATGCTACAATAAACGGAAGTTTCGGGTAATGCATCAAAGGGGACGAAAGGAACACATCTAAAAGCAACGTGTTGCAAAATAGAGATGAAAAGGTTTAATATGAATTTCTGTTGCCACTTGTCACTTTGGTTCTTCACACGGTCAAACCAATCTTACAGGACCGTTAAAAAATGGAAGTCAAGAATCACGGTGATTTAGGGGAGACCAGGAGCATAGAATGGCGTTTTGACACATTTCATTGACAACATCAACAAAGGCATCATTTAACAGTTTTGACTCTCATCCTACCACGTCTTCTTTGTTCCTGCTCTGGAAAAACGTCTGTGCAGAGGAAATCTGTCTGTTTATAATAGCATCCTCGACAATCTCCTGCAAAGTAAAGTAACAGTGGTTAAGGCTGAATCAGAAACGATAAATAAATAGTGTACATGGCTAAAGCATCATTTAATTTCTGAAATTTAAAACAAGAAAGGCAAGTGACAAATGGCTCTTGATCAGTTGGTGTCTGTTGATGGGCCGGTAAATACTTGCGAGCAAAACGTGACAAGTGCTTCAAGCAATCAAAAGAAATGCAATGTACATCAAAGAAATCAGTTAATTTGTTTTACCAATCAACTGAATGTTTAATCTTTCTATACATACTCGGAACATAACCACCACCACTGTGATTTGCTGCCAACGCCTCATAAAGCCCTCCTGTCTTTAGTTAGCCTGTTTGCACAATAACTTTTTTTCACCAAACACAATTACACTAGTGTCTTTGTTTCCGTTTTCTAATTGTATGTCCCCCTTTAAATTGTAAACCCACATTTTCCACTGATAATGCACCTATCAATGTAATGCCGGCGGGGCGAAGGCAGGGCATAGGGTGGGGATTTGAGTTTTTTCAAAAATTTGCAATCAAATTCCCTGCCCACGGGCAAATCATTCCAGTCAAATGCAACCAAATTTCCCCACCCCAGGCTGCACATTGCTGTCAATCCCAAGGCAGAACCTAAGAAAGGTACAATAAAAATATCTCCAAATAAAACTCTGCAATCTTTTATAAACGTTCTGCATCACCAAAGATACATGTTCCTGTTACAGCTGCAATTATACGTTTTAACCATAATCCGTGTTACTCTGCGTAGAATACATAAACCTTTAGGAGAAAGTTCTTAGTAAAGGGTACAAAGACAGTCACTTTTATAAGTTTACAGTGATTGTAGCGAATGAGCCATACACTAATCAATTGAACTTGCAAAAATTGACTTGGTTTCTCTTTACTTCCGTTTACTTTGATACCACAGTATGTTAAGAGGTTCAATTGATCAAAAACACACTAAAACAAACTAAATTTGAAGACAAAACAGTGAAATCCCCTCAGCCTTCGCTTGTTCTCATTGGCCTCCATGAATTCCTGATCTTTTCAAACCGTACGGCGCATGCGTGAAGCGTGGAAGCGGGAAACATATGTTCGGTCTCAGTCTTTTTCGTCCGAGTCGGCAGTCAAATATCTCCACGTCGGGCGAAGAAAGATTCAAATATCCCCTCCCCCGGGAGAACAAGATCAGTCAAATGCCCTACCCCAGGGACAACAGAGACAATCAAATCCCCACCCCATGCCCTACCTCCCCCCCCCCGCCGGCTTTACATTGATAGGTGCATAAATATCACCAAGAAAAATAGTACCGGCTATGTTACCTCATCTGTCATTTGGATCCATTGTTTTGTTAACCTATCTGCTTCTTCTGCTTTAATACATGGAAAAGACATTTGATTTCCATCAACAGTTTCCCGTTTCTCTGTAACATCGACAGGCATGTTGCTGAGATGACAACGAAGTTCTACAGTGCTCTGAGTGAGAAATTCAAGACACTCTTTTATCTCTTGGAAAAATAGAGACCATTCACTCTCTGTCGTGTTAGAGGAGTCTTCAGCTTCTAAAAGTTTTGCTCCATCTTCCATCAAGTTGTGGAGGTAGCTCAAAGTCATTTGTGCAAGTTGCTGGGTAAAGTGTTGGTAGTGTTGCTCTAGAAGAAAAGGTACAAAAGTGAGAATTGGCAAGGTAAAAAGGTTTGCTACACTAGCTTATTTGTTACGTCAGTGAATTGTGATATTTTTTCAAGAGAGAAAACCGCGTCTCACCAAACAAAAAAGGAGTACTCTTATCTTGAGAAGAGGAAAGCTATTCACATCTCCATAAAACTACCAACAACTGTTTAAGCTGTAATAATGGCATAATGTGCCTTCAGTTATTATATCTATTTCCTTAATGAAAACCTAAAAACAGTGTAATGATAATGATTTTGCAGACACTTCTGATGAAACCACAAATATGAACGACTTTAATGATGAGGAAACTACCAACAAAGCACAGAAATGTGATAAAAATAGAAAATCATATTGCATTTATGACGATAAAGATAATTATATTAAAATTGAGGATATAGATAACGACAACACCAGCCAAGCTGTTGTTCTGGAGCAGAATGGTGATCTAAAGGAGACAACAATGGCAACTGATGATGACGATGATAAAGCTTCATTTGATTCCTGAAATTTGAAACAAGGAAGGCTACTAACAAACGGCTCTTGATCAGTTGGTGTCTGTTGATGGGCCAAGCTGCACAATGTACTAAGGGCAAAATGTAAGTTAACATTAGACCACTGAGGTTCAAAACAACTTACGCTGCATGTTGTACTTGACAGCTGCGACAAGAGCCTTGGTAACTGCTTTCACATCTGTGGTACCCAAAGCAAGCTCACTTTGTGATGATGATGGGGACGAACTTGCGCCTGAAGACAAAGAAACTGAGGAGGTGGCTACAGAACACCTGTTGGTAAACGCTGAAAAACACAGAAAGTGCCATAAATTGTTGGCTTTCAGTCACTTCAGTTACTGGATTTATTGATGACGCAACATCAGATTTTGACCTTTGGTTGGTCTGGTCTAAAGCTTTAAGTAAGCTCTTGTTATCTTTCCTTCAGGTACACTGATACTTAAGCATCTGGGCTGGACAGGGAGAAACGACTTTAACACTCTTCATGCAATTCAAAACCTAAGGAGCTCCAAAGAGCTATTACTCATCCCCACACTTCTGTTTAGTCGACATCTTAAAAAGGGCTGATCCATTAATGGCAACGGTTCTTGTAAGTAATCGCTTTTCCCAATAGGTAATCTAAATAACAAACTGAACCCTCAATATGCAGCTCTACTTCACTCCATTAATTTCCGCATCAAGAATCAAGAGATCAAAGAATCAAGCTATCATAATGTTATTGGAGCACTTGTAAAGCCAAAGGGGAAAAGGCACAATTACAGCTTTGCAATACACTGCCCTAAGATTTAAACGAGTATTAAATGCATCTTACAGCTTTTAATAAAGCCAAGTTTTGACATTTTTTGCAAAGCACTAGTTGAAAAGTAATGCAAAAATCATCAAGCAGGAGCTAACTAAGCTACAGCTTGCTGGATTCTTCATACCCATGCAGCATTACCTTTGTCCTGGTTCTTTAAAAAGAAGGCAACAGTGTCAAGTTGTCGTAGTTTCAAGGCCACTTCTAAAGCATGAATTGGAATGGTACAGTGATCCCACTGATTTGCAAAGCACAATGAGTCAGCTAGGCCCGCATTTTCATACATAATTACCTAAAACAAGACCAGTGATAAAATGAGGAAGGTACTTTCTCTGCAATTTAACCAATTTTGTATTTATACTTTGGTACAAGTTCCAAGATCTGACTAACCGACACTGTTATGATGTTGAATTGGTGGAATTTGACTATGGCGATAAAATGTTTCGTGTTTTTGCATGATAATTTTGCCCATCCAAAGTGAGTTTTAAGCTTCCTTGAATATATAATTGTGTAGGCTTATATTTATGTCTTATGTCACACTTCTTTGAGCCAGTTAAGAGATACATCACCTTGTGTACAAGTTGATCTTGCGTGATATCAAATACAGGTACAGCAAGTGATTTGCTTGTCAGCAGTAATGGTGGGTAGGTTGTTTCACAACATCGCACGATCAGGGAAGATTCTGACAACCTGTGATAAACATACTCCTTTGTGTTGAACAGGTAGAGACATAGCATTCCATACGAGTCATCATAAGACTGTTCTTCTGTTTCACTCAGTTGCTTTGACTTAAAGTTCAACAAAAATGATGCTGGGGTGATGAAAATTCCATCTAAGTCGAACACTTCCATCCAGGCCTCATGACGAAAGAAGAGCACTTTCTGGCGGCATTCAGTGTTAGTTTCACCTTCAAGAGCTGCAGCTGCAGCTTCTGCTTGTTTTCCTCTAAACCCTGACACTCTGCTGCAACTTGTGAATGGCAGTTTATGACATGATGTGAATGTACCCAAGAGATGTCCATCTCCAGGACCCACTAAATGAGAAAACCATCGATTCTTCTCAGCTGAATCACACACTGGACTGTTGTCTGTATGTAATGGAAACAAAAACAACAATCATTAAAATAATACTAAGTTAAGTGGTGAGAGTGCTCGCCTCCCACCAGTACGGCCCGGGTTCAAATCCCAGTGTCGAGGCCAAATGAAGGCTGAGTTTGTTGTTGGTTCTCTCCTTTGCTCCGAGAGGTTTTTCTCCGGGTACTCCGGTTTTCCCCTCTCCTCAAGAACCAACATTTCCAAATTCCAGTTTGACCAGGAATCAGGTAGAAGAAGAACCACTTTGTGTATGTGCTACCTCCAAATCATTATTTATATATTTATTTATTTTTAAACCATTATGTCAGTGTTCTGCACAAAACGTTGCTCTACATTGACTCTTTCCATCCTTGTCAATACATGGACATAATAGTGGGGTGTCCTGTAAAGACTGGGCGAAGTTCTGGTGTAGCTATCTCTTATTGCTTTTCTGGGACTAAACCCATACCTCAAATCCCTGTCGCTAACCACATAGCCTCACGCTAGTTTACTTATTGGTAATATTATACAGCAGATGAATCATAAAGATTCATGGAAATAGTAACACTGCTGCTCGTTTTTCAATAAATCCAGATTTTCAGAGAAATGATATCTTTATAATAAACATGAAACTGAAAGTCAAACACTAAATTAGACAATGTTAATGCAAAAAATTCAAAGAGGAGGAAGGAGTTAACGTAATAATGGAAAGGGTCTGGAATTTAACACACACAACAAAATTAATTAGGCTAGAGGTATAATTGTAACCTGAAACGCTGCTCAAGCATCCTTGTTTCTTTGCATCACTTCTAAAGGCCAGTAACTCAGTTTTCCACACTCTGTCACCGTATATTATCCCGGACATGTGAGAAACCCGGGCAACTGCATCTTCATCATCAGGTTCATACTGAAACTTAACATTTCCTATTGACGAAGACAGGTTTCCAACAAAGCCAGCAGAAACAAGCTGAGAAGGAGAATCTTTAAAATACACATCAAGGTTTATTAAATAGATGTTGTTTGCTTCATCAGCACACACAAGAAAGGAAAGATCATCAGCGACTTCCAGGTGAGAAAATACTGGTCTTGGATGAATTTTTGCAGAATCTGAAATAAAACAGAATATGTCATTCACTTCAAAGGCTACTGTAAGTTCCTTTTACATCAGCTGGATCAAAATGTAAGATTTTGTGACCATTTTAAGTGCATTACTATTTCATTCAGCCCCATGGCTGCATGTTACATGTAGCTAAAATAAGCTATCTAACTTATTGATAGTTGTATATTGAAGGCATAAAAACTTTAAAACAATATATCTTAATGCTAAGCCACCTTTCCCAGTTTTAGTGACTATTTAATAACTATAACCTGAACAGTATGGTTATGTTTTCTTTTTCCAGCAATAAAATTCAGTTAAAAATTCATCATCTCATCTTTATCAAAATACTTTTAGCTACTTTTAAACTGATTGGTGGTAACTATTATGGGAAGTATTAAAAGCCAACAAAATCTTTCGTCTTATAACAAAGTGTTACAGTCAGCTACAAACCTTGCATAATAAAATTGTCAGGCATCCACACATCAACTGAACCAATAAAAATATTCAAGTTGTGAATTACTTTAAATGTCAAGAACACATAAAACAGAAGATACATCAGGTACCAAAAGGCACATTTTCGCCCAAAAATAAATATCTACATTTTACAACCACAAAATAGTACATTCAATACAACTGTCCCTGGGACACAGCATGGCCAAGTGCAACCTAGTTCTCAGGGTTCACTCAGGTTCCCTGCTTACAAGGAGAAGCCTGGGAACCAGGATGGGCCAAGCGACCAGAGCCTGAACCAGCAATCTAGAAGGCCTGTGTTCAATTTCTTCTCTGACTGCTAGCTGGATTTGTTCTTGATAATGCCAAGTTCAAATCCTCTTCCATACTTGTAAATAGCCAACTGGTTGGCATCCCACCAGCTAGGAGAGATTACTAATATTGCTACACTCTTTCAATATTCAAGGATGTTATTCTCATGGTTTGATCCTCTAGAGAATGATAAGCATATTCTAAACGAGGCAAAAAAATACAGACAAAGATTTGCCTATGCACTCAATAATTCCCTGATCTTTGCTTTAATTATTTCTCTTTTCAATTTCAGACTGTAAAATTAGTGGTAGTAAAAGGATACGCACAACACCATTGGACAGTAGAGTGAAAATGAACTTGTGACTCCTCCTAACTACTTTAACCAGCCCTGACTGGACAATGTCTGTGTTTCTCACAGATTGTTTTATATCAAAGCAAACTGATACGGCAGTGATGCTCTTGGTCAAAGACAACACAGCCACAAATGTCTTATCTAGCAGTAGAGTTATCTCATGTCTCACTGGTTCCACGCTTGTGCTTACGAAAACAAGGTCTACTTCATCACCAAGCCAATCTGTCAACAACAAAGAAACCCCTTTAAGTAGAGGTATTTGCAGACCTGTTTACATAGCTCACAACAGCTTTCCATACAGCGATTATTTTAAAACAGAGATTTCTGACATATTGCCCGATCAGGAAAAGCTCGCTCTCAAGAAGCAGTCAATCTTGCTCCCAGGGCCCCCTCTTGGTCCTCCACTGAGAGGACCATGGGAACAAGGTTGAGAAAGCAGTAAGGGCAAAAATTAATATTTTGTATCTAGTGGCACTCGAGAGGAACTGAGAATTTCAGACTGTCGATAATATTCTTACATCATATAAATGTTATTTACAGATTACCTTTCCAAACCCTGGAACGTATTTTTTGTATGATAATGAGAATAAAAGAGGAGAAAAAAGAAAAATGTCCCATTTCCCTCGCTTAATGTGGCTACAAAATTGTGACTTTCTTGACATAAAAATCTGTTAATGTCAATAACATTATTTTTAATCCACAGATTTTCATACCTTTTCCTCTATCATGTAGAAGCCCTTTCAGCAGGTCTTTAGCAACAACAGCATCACAGGTAACCGATAAATCCTCAAAAGCTTTAGAAATGGAATATAATTCTATACTGGCATCTGACTTTACTGCAGCAAAATGGTCTTCTGATAAGTCAGGCTGAACACTTTCATTCACACAGTCTTGACACAAACTCCACCTAAATCTTCACAAAAGGTGAATAATTAGCGCTTAAAAAAAGTCCCATCTGTTAGCCTAGGATAAGAAGGTTTTCTTGCTGTGCAAGAAACTTTCAAAGCTAGTTACTTGCCCTATGGGAAAGGGTCCAGGCAAGTCATCTCTAAAGCCTGGTTTCCATACATGTATGATTGCTGTGATCACTGCGATTGCTAGAAAAAAAGGTTCAGCAATAGTAGCAATCATATCGAAACCACTCTCCAGTTATCGTAGCGATCACAGCCATCGTAGCAACAACGATCACTGAGATGTCTGAGATAGAGAAAGTTCTTTCTCAGCAATCATGGTGATCACAGTGATTATAGGGAAACCACTCTCCAGCGATCATAGCAATTGCAGCGACAGCAAAAAGACCAGTATGCAATGCGTACGCTCACCCGTTTCAAGATGGCTGCCACCATGAGAACCTGATCAGGCCGAGAAAAAAGTTAAAAACACAAGAACAGGCTATGGGAGATTTTTAAAGAAATCTGTGCCATCTGGTTCTGGATGAGAGGTAGTACCAGTGTTGAATTTGAAGAATGGTGTAAACGATGTTGTCAGACCCAGGTCCCCTCAATACTTTCTCAGTGATCACATAGCAGCCATTATATGGAAACCATCAATTGCAACGATTGCTGAAACTATTTTTTCAGTGATCGCAGTGATCATATGGAAACCGAGCTTAATAAAGTCATTAACTAAGTCTAGCAAAAAGTGGCCCTGGGCCAGGAAAATGTGATCGCTGCTTGCTCAAAGGACAAGCTGGAATTCAAGTTTTTTTCAAGTTCTGATTAGTGAGCAAATGCTGTTTGTCTTGTACCAGGGGCAATAAGGCAAGACTTCCCTGTTGTTTTCCTTCATTATTAACTTTATAAAATTCTTGTAAATCACACTGCATATGGTATTACAACTAAAAATACAGCCTGGGTCATAAAAATGAGGTTCAAGCAAGCTGCAAAGGGCTGCTGATTCCACTACAGTTTGAACCTTGTAATTGACGTGCTACTTCCAACCATCTCATAGTGGCACACCCCCTCCCCTGGTGTTGCTGGACAACCTATCCCAGTTTCAAATGATCTATGAATCATGGGTTGCAGCTACACAGGGTACTCAGAGACACTTTTAGTGATCACGCTGCCCATTTCTCTCTTCCTTTCTGTCTTTTCTTCCTTTTTTTATCATTTACTACTTCATATCTCAGTATACCCAGCTGGTATCTTACTTTAATAATTTTCATGAGCAATTTTCTAGATAAGATTGCCGCGAAGCATAATATTATACATTTAAGCTTATTACATATTAACTTATTCGTACGAGATAGTAACATAGTGCTGCGCGCATAACAAATGAGGCTGTACGCAAATTTTACCAAATAAAGTATCATTACTAAAGATATCCTGAGTTATCAAAAACATAGCTTACTGTTTGACACTCGGAAGGGCGCATTTTGCATCGCTCTTCAGGTTCCAAAGCTGTAGTGTTTGATCAAAGCCAAGGAATGCCAACACTCGACATCTGCGTGACACTTCAGCGGTTTTTAGCGACCACGGATCGACGCTTCTATCGAATTTTTTGAAGATGACAGGAAGACTCCTTCCAGTCGCCATCTTGTTTTTGTCGCCTGTATACTACGTGATGAGATACATGGCGTACATGACAAGTCTTATTTCTCATCAGGAAATCCCATGATGACTCGCGTGTTAGAAAAACTTTAATGGCGCAGGAATGATTTCCGGTGGAATAACCTTATAAATTGAAGAATTAGCCAGATATGAGAGTAATTCATCGCGTAAATTAGAATTTAAATGTCCAGTCAAAGTAACGGACGCTTTGTGTCTTTACCAGACAGCGAAAATGATTCAAAGGTAAGAATATCGTCGTGCTAATAACACGTCTTTGATCTTGCCTTGCTTTGTTTATAGATGTATTTTGTTGAGTGGTGTTGATTTAATTTCTGGCGTGACTCATCATTATTTTATTTCTAGGTCATAACAAAGGAAGATGTTAGTCTTTCAAGACTGATAAAGCCGTCACCTCTACAAAAAAGACTAGGTTAGCCGGGCATTTTCGTAAATTAAGACTTAACCTTATTAATTTCGATTCGTATTTAGAATGATCCTTTTTGGGGAGTGTTGCAATAGATTAAAATTTTATCTATCGCAGGTCATCCACCCTGTTTAAATCCTAATCTACGTCTTCTTTATTTGACTTTAACAAAACCAAAATAAGAAAATTTTTGTGAGAACAAAATTTCTTTTTATTATTTGAGCTTATCAAAGCTCACTTAAGTGCTTCATGTCGAGTGATGATGAATTATTTAAGCTTACATACAGTTGTTTTATGTATACTGGAGTCATATATTTTCATGAAGCCATCATTTATATCGTATTATAAAATAACTTTTTTGCAAACGTTTCCCTGCTGTTACTGAAACAATTCTCGGGGCAGTATTAATTTTATATCTTATTATCTTTAAGATGACTTCTCAAATCTAGCCAATGAGTTTTAATCAGCCGATATTAAAGCTCAGTTGGGTATTATACAGAGTGGTGAATGGCCACAGAACACCACACGACTCTGAAGTTTAGTTATTAAGGTTAGAAAACTGGGTGAATCAATTTCCAGTGAGGGTTATTATATTGGGCAAACTAAACTGGAACTTGACTCACTCAGTTTTCTAACCCGATAATTGCTGCACTTTAGTTATTCACTGTGCAGATTTAAGCCTTATAAGCATTGGCAGGGAAGGGGAAGTGATCATTCAGTAGTACGGTCACATTAATTCACATTAAATCTAAAAGATGATAAGAATTTCAAGATATTCTTTGAGAAGCCACGATCCTGTTGAAATAAGCTGTTCATTTTGCCAACAAGTTTTTGACAGTCAAATGGCTTTTGTTACTTTTAGGGGACTGTCGCTCTATAGAGGAAATAAGCAAAAACATTTCAGCAAATAATATTTACCTGTGATGTTTCAAAGAATTGGGATATCATTTTTCAACCCAAAATTTGCATTGTTGCACATCAAATTCCAAGCTGATTAAATATGTCACTGTGAATTTTCTTTACTTTTTGTTTGACATGTAGAAGAACAGCTTCAAAAATCAAGAAAATCAACCACCTCAAATGGAACTCTTCGAAAAGGACATACAAATGGGTAGGTTACAAGTTTACTGCACAAGGGGTTTAAGGCCAGAGGTATGTTCAGAGAATGTGATTAATTGACAGTAATCTCTTGCTGGGGTTCCTAGAACAGTGTTAATTTTTCCCCAAAAGTATAGTCTGCGAACTGCAGATGTTTCTCCTTGCTCATTGCCACTGAGGGACATTTCGTGCTCAGTGCCAATGAGCGAGGAGAAACGTCTGCTGTTCGCAGGCTACCAAAAGTAAATCTTGAGCTTGAGGTGTTTTGTGCTTTTACATTTAATTATGATCACGTGACATTCCATGTGACCAAAAATTGAAAATGAAGGAAATTGGTGAATTGGTGGCAAATAATTATACTTTGTTTGGATAAATAAATTGGAAAAAATAAATTGGTGTTTCTAAACATGCAGTACCAAAGCTTGTACGTGTACATACATTGTATGTGTGTTCTAAGAGGTTTTTTCGCATGTAAACATTCCAAATTCCCTGAAGATAAAATGAAATCTGCCTCATTCTTATTATTCATTAGACTTTGCAACAGATGAGCATTTTCATATGTAACTCATTTATTTTATAACAACATTTCCAGACCAGCAAGCCATCAAGACTATTTTAAATCCCGTTGACTATGTGTACTTGTCCTGAGGCAGACTCTAATTTTCCGACTTTCTTGCTTTTATTTTAATAGGGTTTCGTCAAGCAAAAATGGTACAATAAGACATAGTAGTAATTCAGATGAAAGACCTTTATTTCAAATAGAATCTGACAGGTACTGTAAGTCAAATGAATACAATGTTGCAGTGATGTTAATAGCTGAGAAGCTTAAGAAGTAAAAGTTATTAATTGACAGAATTATAGTATTCTCTTCAGTCATTAGTTAATGAATGACTATAGTTAATAATTATTCGGCTGGTTGTTTTGTTTTTTTTTAACAGTGACGAGGAGCTAAATGTCACCCATTTTACCAAGCCACCTAATGTTTCTGTGACACAGAACTCTAAGGTAATTGGAGGTATTCAAAATGGTAGCCCTGACTTCAAAATTTGTTTTACATCACATTCATTTGAACAAATAATTAATTATTGTTATATTCTTTTGCATTCAACCTTTTTTTATTAGCTTCCTCTAATATCACTGACATCGACAAACACTTTTCTTTTCATCTTATTAGAATCTCGCAGACTGTACACAGCAGCTTTTAAAAGATGGATACAGGTTAGAGTGGCTATTATTTATGTGTAACTTGTGGAAAAAATGTATTAAAGTGATCATTTTCTGGTGTACAAATGTAGTTAGTCCTAAAACTTAAAGTATAATAATTATGTCTTCACTGGCTATTAATACCTGAAACCACAAATGCTGAGCCATGCATGATCATTGTATCAGTTCCCATTGTTTTAACATTTGATCATGAGGTTGAAACTTGTATACAACTTGTACTGTCTGTCCAAGGCTCGAAAGGAACTTTAATTCCTACTTGTCCAGTGGTTGCACTTATTGCTTGCCCATAGCCACTTCCTGCTTATCTTAGTCAATGAGTTTTTTAGAGGATGACCAGGCTGTATCCTTACCCCAGTAAGAAAGTCTACTTGTCCAGGACAACTAGACTGCATGGGACTTTTTTCTAGCCCTGTTGTAACTAAAACGTCATGTAAATAATAAATAATTATTGTAACTGTATACTTAGCCTAGGTGGACCCTGACTTACTTTCTAATGATCAAAGAGATAGGTTTCACTTTTTAAGGACGTGTGCATGTTACATCTTGGATGCAGTCATTGGGTTGGTTCAGTCAATGAAAATAATTTATTGCCACTTTTGTTTCCTAACTGACAACAGAAAGGCTCAATTTCCAGGCATCTTTTCCAGAAACAGTTGGATCACTGGTCTGTGCTGCTTCCACCCTTTTTTAATTTGTAGTGATCCTTAGCCATGTTGTGTCTTAAGAAACATGCAAAATGGCTGGTAATCAACCCCTAAGAAACCACAGTGTGTAATTTTTCTTGGTTGTGGTCCTATTCATTTTTGGAGAAATGATTTGTTTTTATTCACAGACTAGATGAAATATCTGATGAAGAAGACTTAGATCTTATACCACCACGGCCTGTTGATGATAGATGTCAATGCTGTGGAGCTGTGACGTTGCAGGGCTGTGTCATTTCCTGATCATCATTTCAAATTTAAGAGAATTTTTTAAGATAATAAAGGATGTAGTTTTATATTAAGATTTGAAACACACATAGCCAGTACTAGTGTAACAACCATTCTCCACAATTTTTATTCGCTGTGTCCAAGTCTACACAGTTAAGATTATTCACACTTAAACTTCCTATAATTCTTTTTATTTTAAAAATTATACCTGGTTCAATATTTGATTAGCCTCATACACAGATTTTCTTTTGGCTCATTATGCCCTGCACGTGTGGGGAGGGTGTGTGTCCCATACTGAAAAGAAGGGGATGCATTTCCATCTTGGGTGTTCAGGATAGAAAGCTAATATTTTTAACCATAAAGGCATCGCTTAACATTACATGTGAAAAATTATCTGTGTTAAACAAACGAAGTGTCATCATACTGCAGTGTTGAACATAGCATTTGAAGTCAACATCTAACAAAAAGCCCTTTTTAGTGATGCCTCCTTTAGAGATCAAACAATTGCCGAGTTACACCAATGATAAATTCTAATTTTCCAAGGAGCATCCTGGTCACATTCATATGGAAGTTGCCTCCCCTAGATTATGTACTCCTTCTCCAGATTGGTGCATGATAGGCTCTTCTTCTCTTTATTGTAATGGTTACACTGGCTGTGAGGGGTCTGAGAACCAGAAAAGGTGAAAAGAAAGAGGAGGAGTCACTGTCACCCCTTTTCTCTCCCCATTCTCCCACCTGTACTCGAAAACAGGACAGTGATGCCTGCAGACGAGGCTAGGTTCATGGGGAGCCAAGGGAATGACCATATTTGACCAGGCAGTAAACCAAAAAAGATAAGAGTGAGGTCTAATTGGAGGTGGAATGGAATAAATTTTAGTGTTTGATCTTAGAACTCATACCCAGAACTGATGGCAATTCAGTTAAAGAGGTTACAAGTTATAGCTGGGTTTGAGTAGGCATTTGATGTACAGTTAGCTAGTCAGTATGATGTTCTCTGTAGTTAGCAATAATAGAGCAAATTAATCTTTTGAAAACTTAAACTGATTGGTAGGTTCTCTGAAGAAGTTTATACTGGGAGTTTCCAAAAACAAAACTGGGAAGAAAGAATAAGATGGTTTTTAAAAAATTCCTTTAGAAAATGTCTGTGACTGATCGCGATACTGGTGCCTCAGTTCCTCAGAATTTACAAGTGGCTCATTTTCATCACATGCTTTTGAGTTCCTTGAAATGTTCTGATTTCTTTTTTTTTAAATACTTTTATTCATGTAAATGCAGTTTTGGTTCTTTCCATGACAGTATAAAACTTTCACACTTCTTTCAGGGCTTTTATTTGTTTTATAATGTCTGTTTGTTTAATTTTGTTTTACTTTCTTGTTTGTTTGTTTTTCAGGCTGAGTTATTATTGGTTTAAATTGAGATCAAGTCATTTTCCCTTGTCTACACTTATATAGTTCTTATCATTGATGTCATAATTATTGTTCAAAACTAAAGAAAAACAATAGCAAAGTTTTGGACACTAATATTATTAATTATTTTTTGAGTCACCATTTTAGTTGTTTATGAGCTAGAGTGTAGCCAATTAGGAAAATACTGGTGGGTAATTCAACTGAAATATGATTAACATTATTTAAAAAAGATTAAAGTATTTAATAAAACTGATAGTCTTGACTGTGATAATTTCTTAGACAAATATGAGCGACTGAGAAGAAAAATGAAAGATTTTTGTTACATTTTGGGGTCCTCATGACTCCATTATCAAATGAGATGTTAGTAATTTTACAATTGAGCAAATGTGAGAGATGAGAAGAAATAATGAGTGAGTAAGGATAATTGTACTGAAGTTTCAAAGAACTCGAAGTCAGTTTCTAAGTGACATTTTTTTCACCTTTGCCATGGTGGTACCAATATGGAGGGCTTGGCAGTCGATAGGCTACAGCAATCTAGTATTTGCATTTATCTAGCCTGAAGGCTCACTTGTGAGAGTGCGGGGAGTGCTCTGCCACTAAATTTTTTCCCCCAACTCACACAAGTGAGCCCGCTCACAGGCTAGTTTTGATTGTGGGAGACAAGAGGAGCTCCCAATCCTAATCTCGAAGTTGTTATTATGCATGCGTCGCAGATGTATGTAGCCAGCATTTGAATGGGCTTCCACTAAGAATGAATGGAATGCACATAACGCAAATTTGATCATGTGTGATTTGGCCTTCTACTTCTTGTAATCTGATCACAAGTGTTTTGACCGTCTGCCATGTGAAACTTACACAAAACACAGCGTTACAGCAAGTGTTTTGACCTTCAATCGCTGTCACCCGCACTCCCTAATCTTTGGTTATTACTAGTCATAAACATGATATTCAGATTGTCTAAGGTCTGGAGAGTCAGGGACCAGTTGCTTGAAGCAGTGTGAGATAAACACAGAGGATTTTCTACAACTCATTTCCTTTGCACCAGAGGATTTTCATACATGGAATCATGGATAACTGGGCAAAAGGAAGACTATGTAATAGGAGGAAAAAAAGTGGAGAAGTTGCAAAGAAACCCTACTTATCTCAAGCTTATTAATGCAACAGCATTCTGGGCCTCTGGGGCTATCAAATCATTGGGAATGGTTTTCTTTATGAATTTTCTCACTGGGTTCCTGGAAAAAATTAAGTTCAACGACTGCACAGACATCACAAGACATTGATTATATATTATCAGCTTAAAATATAGGCAAAATATTTATTTGGAAAGCTTTCTTCCTTTCAACATTATTAAATTTTGAAATGACAATACAATAAGCTCATTATAACCAAACTTGATAATTAGTTTGTTCCAAAAATGAAAACATTAAATGGCAAATTACATGTGACAGTGCATGAAATACAAAATGACTTGATGGTCAGATGATAAAATACGGGCATAAGAAGGAATTAAAAGACCGATTAAACAAGAGAAGTGTGACGTCAGGTTACCATGGTGGCAAGATTTCTGGATCTCAACAATCTTTCTTTGACAGAGATGGCCATTTGGATTGTCGAACGAAGGAAGAGAGTATGGGCTACTGGTTTCTTCCTGAGTGCAAGTTCATGCACGGGAAAGTCATACATGTCATTTCGTTCTGCCGTATTTGCAGGACAATGGTTTGTTGAGATCCAAAAGTTTTGCTACCATGGCAACATGACATAACAACTTCTCTTATACATCTTATTCACGATACCCAACATCTTTGTACGTGTTCAAGGACTGATGGGATAAAAGCAATGTCACGTAGTTTCTCAGGGGGCAAACAAGTGAAAAAATTTGGCATTGGAAGAAATCAAGGTTGAGTTTGTTTATTAAAAAGACCTTTTCATCTTAAATACGATAATGTCAAAATATGGGTGGAGGGACTGTAGATGTCCTCATGGCAAACAGTAACGATGTAAATCTTGCCAAAACTCAATATGTACATTTTCCATTACTTTTAAATTGTCTTCTTCTTACGATAGAATAAAGAAACTAGACTGCGATTACTTGTATTGGCAAATTTTATCACTTGATTGCCCCCTGAAATACCACGTGACATAGCTTTTATCCCATCGATCCTAGAGCGCGTGCAAAGTTGGCGGGCATCGTGATTAAGGTCGAAGGTCTATTCTCTTGACTCCCCCCAACCTCCTTCTCCATTTTTTACTCGCAATGTCCAGTACAGATCTTTTATCGTGGTTTCATCGTTATCTCTTCTTCAAATAAGTTTTCTTCCACACTGTCCTCGCGCAAAAATTAATTTTTTCTCCTATACGTTCTTCCAATCCACTTCCAGCAAACTAACCAGGGGGGAGTGAGAGTTTCTACACCGAACGCGTACGCCATCAAATATTTTCATTTTTCGATGAAACTCTTTTTTCCAAGGCAAAGGTTTCGTTATTTTTCTGATTTCTTATTTTCTTCTTTTCTTTTTTCTTCACCATGTTGAATGTTCTCTACAACCTTTCTACCTGCGTGTCCTTGGCCATGTTCTCCCGTGCTTTTGTTTTGCCCTGCCTCCTTCTTCGATTTTCCTTTTCGAGAATGTCCAGCTGAGTGCAGACTTTCGTCATAGTTGTATTCCTCGTATTCATCTGTATTTTCCATTCTCTCAATTAATGAATACACCAGAGATCTTGATAAGTACTTTTGGGAATACTTTTCTCCACAATTGATCACAATTTGATGATTCAAACCTTTTTCTTTCGATGTGTATACCAGTGGGAATGCTGGGAAGTCAGTTTGCATACATTAGCATATGTTAACCTCAAAGTGAGCTTCCCCTGAAACTGACCAAAGCGTAAACTTTTTGGGGTTAATTTCAGGAAATGTCAGCCTGACTTTTGATCGCAATTTCTCGGAAACCGTCGGTCAGCTGTTTAAGATAAACCAGTTTTCCTTTTGGCTTCTTTTTGACAAGCGTATCTCGCTACAAGCTGGACTTTCCATGGGTTTACGTTGGTTTTGTTGTCGCGATAGTTTGTTCACTGTCCTCCTATGTTATCTGATGTGCAGCGATGTTTTTTTCTGCAAGGCTGCGGATCCATGGAATGTTTACGAGGAAAATAGTGACAGTCTATCTGAAAGAATCATCACCATCAAAATGCCTGGAACCCGTCCACTAAAGGCGAGTACTCATCGCATTTTCACTTCACTTGACGACATAAAATTGACTAGGGAATTTTTTATCTGTTTCTGTGACGATGTGTTAATTTTTTTTCACAGTTTAGTGTTAAAAGACTTACATTTATTAAGCTATGATACTTATAAACGTGACATTCGGTCTTTTTAATATTGATGTGTTCACAACTAGCTGATCTAAGAGTTTGATTTGAGGAAAAATATGAGTCGCATTGCCGAGATAAGCAACCATTTTAGGCTGATCGGTGATTCAATTTGATTCGTAGCTGTTTATTTGGCATTCTCTATTGCTGTGCGGTTAATCTAGTATAAGAAGTTAAGACTTGTTTACAAAAAGGAGGTAAATTAACTATTGAATTAAGTCTTATTTTATTTTCATTCTGTACTTATATCTGGTTGCAAAACTAACAAAACCTTGGTCTGTATAATACTGAATAAAGGCAATTTTTGATGGAAGTTTTATTTTTAGTTGTTATACACAACTCTTTTGCTTGGTATAATGAAGCAGTTGGAAGAAAAATTTCCAAAGCAGTGCACATAGTGTCTGTAACCCAAGAATTGTGAAGGAGAATGGTTCTAGTTACTTTTATTCATCCATCCATGGAACTATTTTTTTCAATGCAAATTCATGGTATATGATTGATTGTTAGAAAAAGAACTAATTAACAATTATTCCACGAGTGTGCGTTGGATATTAGATGGTAGATAGCCAACAAGGTGCGTAGTGCAGAGTTGGCTATAATCATCTCATACCTAACAAGCACGAGTGGAATAATTTATTAAAAATGCCCACAAAATATCGAGAATTCTTTGTAAAAACAACCAATTTTCAGCTTGTTTTTAATTTTGAGCAGAGGCATACAATATTTTTGCCATATTGGAGAGCATGGTACCTGTATAATGGCTCATATACCATGATGGCTAAGCCAATCAGAGCTCTAGAATAATAATTGCATTATCCAATGATTCAGTTTTTAAAACTGAGTGTTAGATAAGGAACTTTTTAAATGGCTTGTAAACAACACTTCCTTTCTTTATTTAATTTAAAGTCTCGACCGGAAATTCATAACTTACTGTAATGTTTTATTCCATAGAGGGACACCTATCTTTGTACAGCCGTAAGGCTTTCACCTCAGAAACAATACATAGGTAGGTGTATGTTTTTGGCAGGTGCGGTAATGAAAGTAACCAACAAAGACTCATTATATAGGAAGCAATCAGAACTTGGAATGTTCTTCACTTTGTTAAGTAACTAAATAATCAACCTATCAATACCATCCCTGAATTGACTCACAAATAGTTTGTGCTACTTGGTGGTCACTTCACTAGTGAAAAAGAGTACCATGAGTTTTTGTGACTGTTTAGTCTTAGATTTATTCCTAATGAAACATAGAGAGATTTGGTCGGTTGCCTTTGTGGAGGTTTAGGTTTACGTTCAAGAAATGCTTTTGGCAATGAATCTCAATGTCAAAAGTATTTTACAGACAAAATAAAAGTGATTTGGACCATTGGCTTTTTTGAAACATTAAAGAGCAAAGTCGATGTTAGAGGACCTTATTGCAGAAAGGGCAGGGAGGACCCTGGTTTCTCTGAGAAGGTGAAATAATTACTGATGTGTGCTCTGTGTGTTTTGTAGTTAATTTTGAGCCAAGTGCTTCACAAGAGACAGCACATCACATGCTGTTGTTTGGATGTCGCACTCCAGGCGCTGACATCTCCAGCTGGTAAGGAACTCATTTACACATATACTGTACCTGTACATGTGCTGTAGATGTGCCATACCTGCAGTGTACATGTATGTGTTATAGACTTATACAGTATATCATAAAATCACAGTTGTGTTCTACTGGAAGGCAGAGTGGACTTCAGATTGTAAGGTCTGGTTTTGAGTCTCATGATTTTTCCCCTAACAAGAAAGTACTTAGTTTGGTTGCACTGTCCCCTCCACCCAGGTATACTTGGGTAGGAATGGGTACATTGTATAATGCTCCCACTAGACCCAGGATGTTACTTATGACTCTAAAGGGGCATACCGGTACCCTACTGACACCTTCATACAGAGACTCGGTTTGAGAATTTCTTGGTATGGATATGCAAATTGGTGAAGTTAAAATTTGCACATGGGTAAATAAAAATCATGAAAAAGAATTATAGAAATTGTCTTTTGTCCATTGTACATGTACAATGCATGTGGTCAGGGGTATCCACGTTCATTTCATGACCGTGCTTCTTGATTGAAAGTCTGTACATCCGTAAGGTGTTTGGTAGTGACTGTGGTCTTTAGACTAGAGGTCTATGTGTCATGTCTCCACATCTTGAAAAAATGCAATAGAATAATGTTTGTTCCTTCCATCAGGAATTGCAAAGATGGACCATACAGTGAATGCAGGAGTGGACAAAAAATTCTTTACGCATGGGCCAAGAATGCGCCTCCAAAATATTTGCCCAAAGGTTAATAAAATGTCTTTTAATCTCAGGATATATTTATTTTTTATAAGCATTTTTAAACGTAAAGAGAAACTTAGGACTAATTTGTCAAATTGTGTTATTATCATCCTTAGATGTTGGATTTGCAATTGGTGGAGACTCTGGTATTGACTATCTTGTGCTACAAGTACATTATGCATCTGTGGATAAATTTCAAAGTAAGAACATCATTCAATAAATTAAACTGCTGCATTTTCGATCATTATAACAATTATACTTTTTGTAAAATTCTTAATAATGTATAGCGCGATGAAATGTTCTATCAAAGAGGTTTCATTTGAATTGTACTTGTAATACTGTACCAGGGCTAAAAAACTTGAATTCCACAGCTTGAATTGTCTCACTCTACCTACATGTAACTCATCCTAACAGTAAAAGGATTAGTGTCTGAAAATTTATCAAAAGTAACTGCTAGGAAATTATAGTTGGTCAGTTTACACTTTGGTTGTCTGCTCTCTTAAATTAACTAGAAGTGTGTATTGTATTATTTCATTGCTGTCTAGGTGGGGCTACAGATCACTCAGGATTCATTCTTCACACTAGACATCAAAGGTACGTGTGGTGTAAATATCAGTCTTTGTTCAATTATTTTATTAACAAATTATGTTTAAAGGTCCACATACCTTTTCATGTTTATAACCGGCATGCAATAAGTTGTACAATATTCATGTAGCCTCTGCCAACAGCTATCCTATTCTCTATCATGGATGCTCAACTTTGGTAGAGCAATTTGAAAGCATAATGGCTTGTAAATGGTGTGTTTTTGTCTAGTGTGGCTACAGGGTGACACATAACAGAAGATCAAGGTGATGCAATTGGCAAACTAGTGTAGAGCCGGTTAGAAACCAGTTTAATATGTCCAACTAAATTCTCAGACAAAAAGGATGGTTGTTTGGAAAAGCTACTTTCCAGGCCCAGTGCATATCACAAAAGGTAGCCTCTGCTAGGCAGGGTAAAAAGAGATAGAAGCCTTTTGTCAATTTTCTTTTTTTTGAATTTCTCTTTCAGTCTTCCATATGGAGGGGGAATTTATCTACTCTGGGCGTACAGTGCCTCCATTCCACCCGAAACATCTGGTTTGTACTGAAGCCTCCCTGTTGTTTACTTGTCATTATTTCCTTGGACTCTCTATTAAATGCAGGCAGAAACCATTTTCAGGCAGGCTACAGTTACTCGACATGTTCGGGGTGTTCTGGGTTTCACAGTAAATATGAAGACTTTAACATATAAAGCAAGTGTTTTTCAAAAAGATTTCATATCACAGTCTGTCGTTATCGAACTCTTTCCCATAAGGACTCTAACTCGCAGCCCTGAGGGTCTCTGCAATAGCAGGTGTTAACTGAAATGTCACCAGTTCATGACTTTGATTTACTGGTTTTATTTTAATTTTAGGTGTGCATGTTGACGTGGCATGTGAATATAAAAAGTCTGTGCCAATGTTTGCCTTTGCATTCCGCACTCATGCTCACTCACTTGGTATGTTGTAAAAGTAAAGATTTGTTATTAGAATATTTTAATCCATAAATGTGTCTCTTTGTAAAGTTTAAAATATTTTTTAGTTATAACAGAAAACAATCAGAACAATCAGTGTTGCACAATTTCCAAGTATCAGCCATACTATGATAATTATTATAATGTTTGATAAAATGTGGAAGGAAGCTTGAAAATACTAGTAGCAGATCATTGATTTCATGAAAATTTTGCAAAGAACACGAAGATTGCATAGTTACTTGCAGCATCTATACATGATATTTCCTGTAACCATTTCAGCAACAGTGATCACTGGATATAGAATCCGTGATGGTGTATGGACTTTGCTAGGCAAGGGAGACCCCCAAGCCCCCCAGGTAATATTTAATTACTATTAAAAACTTTGTTTCTGTTTATATATATGTTTGACTGTGCATGACAAATTTGATTTCAAGTAAAATTGTAATCTAAATTGATTCTCAGTTCCCTTTGTCTCTTATATATAATTTGCTAGGAGACAATTTAAAGGAATTGAAAATTAACCTGAAGTCAAATTTGACCTGTAACATAATTTACTGTAGCAACTTTCTCAGATTATTTCCTAAATAAGGAGCAAATCTTCTTGTCTTCCAATTTGGGATTATCAAGGAGTAAAACCTTTTTGAAGAGGACTCTTAAAGTCAAACCTCCTTAATATGGACACTGGAGAAAAGATGTCCAGATGTCTACAGTATAGAGATGTTCTAACAACTGAGGTAGAGACAAGTTTTTTTTTTGCTCTTTTGAAACCAACTTAAGAAAGTTGTCTGTATAAGGAGAGGTTTGACTTAATATTGTGCAATTGCACTGAAATGTAACATGTTGTTTTAAAAGAACCACTCTTTATACATGTAACTAATAGGAACTCCTTTTTTAATTTTTGCAGGCATTTTATCCCATGAAGGCCACTTTTGAGATAAGGAAAGGTGACATTCTGGTAAGACTGGGTTTCATCATTAATATATTGTGATGTTCTTCCTTTACATACATGGAAATTTTATCCCTACACTGAATTCTAGTTGGTTCTGGTCAGAATATTGAAGCACGAAGAAAATAAGCAAGCTTGAGCTTGGTATTCAATTTGTAGTGTACATGTAAATGTTTTTGGCTATTTAATCCCTAAATTTATTATTGCAGGCTGCTCGTTGCACATATGATTCAAGAGGACATCATCTACGTAAGGTAGTCCATATGGGGTAAGTCAGCCTACGTAGCAAGTGTCTTTCAATGGAGTTATTGTGTGAAAGTCAGTGTAAGAGCAAAAGAAATGGAAGATCAAAGCAGAAGGGACGGGAAAATTTTGCTGATGTTTTTATTGTATGGGGGGCAGAAACTTGACCTCAACCATACAAACGTCTGTAAAATTCCACGACTTTGCAGAGCTACTCTATATCTTCGTTTGTTTTGTACAAATCACTTTCAAACTTGGCAACTTTACTGATTTTTAAGGTACATTTTGCTAACTGTCTCTTACTGGTCCGAGTCAGAAGTTGAAGAAACTGTGGAAGGGTCTTGTTGGAAAGATTCAATAACACTAAGTGCGAAATTGTGTCATCTGACATTGTAAAATGTTTTGGTACACTTCAAATTTCAGGGCAAGTGGCAATGATGAGATGTGCAATTTTTACATCATGTATTACAGTAATACAGAGCTTCTGCAGTACTCAGGTGGAGACTGTGGAGAGCAGGACCATGATAAAATCTTCAAACATTTTCCAGCGGGTTCTGATACACCTCTTGAACCAGAATCACCTGAACTTAAAGCAACATCCAACCTTGTTGTGAGTCCTACCTCTGGGATTCCATCTAAACACACGGAGAGAACACCTGCAGTATCTCCAAGTGTTAAGTTAGAGCCTGGTGGAGACAACTCTTCATCACCAAAATCTTCATCCGGTTCTGATAATATTTCTCTTCCAACTGAAGCAGTTACTCAAAAAGTCACTTACATGAAGGTTTCTCCTACTGCAATGTCATACAAACAAACAAGTTCACCACCAACAAAGAGCCAAACAGTTCCTGATGGGGGTAGTGTGGGTGCAGTGTCTAATCCTGTAATACCTGTAGAAAAACCCACTACCACTCCCCAGAGTCACACCTCAGAGCTGCATGTTGTTTCTAACTGGCCAAGTTTATCAGCATTGGAAAAGTCCAAATTGGGACAAGTTACTGGTGTTTCAATGGACTCAAAGGGCCAAGTTATAGTGTTTCATCGTGGTAGCAGGATTTGGGATGACAGGTATAGCATCAAAATATTACATTGTTAACTAGGTCGTGGTAGTAAAAAGCCAAGGGGGGTTTACTTGGGTAAGATTTTGCTGGGCATGTGCTGCAGGCCTCTCGGAACCCCTACCCTATAATAGTCTATTCTGTGGCCAAATATAGACCACATCTTAGTCACTTTAAGGATAATGGAATTTTCGTTATCCCAACCTAGTAACGTTCTGTTTATACATCTGCTTTATAATTAAAACCTTTTAAATAGGTCTTCGTTAAATGAATTGACACGTTGGTTAAACTTAATGAAGTAGAAATCTTCCCATTTTCAAATCTCTACCTACCTGAATTTTCTGATCCCCCAAATCCCGAAAATGTGCTATCCCATAAAAGTAATTGGAAATGTTTTTCAGTTGGGAATGCCCTCACTGTTGTAACATTTTCTTTCACAGGACGTTTGATTCATCGAATGTTTTCCGTAATGCCGACACTGTTGGCACCATATCGGAACACACTGTATGGATCATAGACTCTGTGACCGGAAAAGTGCGAGGATTTTGGGGCAAGAACATGTAAGTAATTTTTCTTGAAGAGTTCGGATCCTGTGTTGAGTGTCTTCTTGGTATTATGTAATTAGTAATATGCTTCTATTGTATTGTAGGTTTTATTTGCCCCATGGACTGACAGTTGATCATGAAGACAACTTGTGGCTCACTGATGTTGCTAGTCATCAGGTTAGTTTATATGTTAAGTGTTTGAAGATTAATTTTGTCGTGACGTGCGATTGGCTAACATATTGATCTTTCCCTTCTTTATGGATTCACCTGGCTCTCGGTTAGTAAAACAGCAACAGTAAATGGCGTTTAATAAAAATACAAATCGCGTTCTAAGCCCTTTTTGTGGCTTAATGAACTAGGACGTACTTATGAAAAGAGCATCGTTTATACCCTAAACTGTACAAAATGATATAAATTCTTTAACGAGAGGCAGTCGTCAAAGTATTTTCCTCGCTCTTTTGCACCACAAACGGTAATTAAATATTTAACAAAGTGGTGAGAAATGTATTTGTGTAAATTTAAACTGAAATGTTGTTTATTTTTTTCGTTATAGGTTTTTAAGTTTTCGCCGTTGAATGATCGAACCCAGCGTCTTCTTGCATTAGGAGACAAACTTGTTCCAGGATCTGGTAATTCTCGATTCTGTAAACCGACATCTGTGGCTGTGGATAAAAACGGAGAATTCTATGTTGCGGATGGGTAAGTAAAAATGGCAAATTATTTGTCTTTATCTGAAAGCAGAGTTGCAACTGTTGCAACTAGTCTGCGAGCAAGCCCGGGAGCAAGCTCTCTAATTACGGCAAGCGAGGCGAGCCTCAAGGGAAAGCGCGCGCGGCTCTTGAGTGTCTTCTTGCTATTTCCCCAATTGGAGAGCTTTCTCGCAAGCTAAGCTGCAACAATGCTTTAATTCAAAGGTACCCCCCCCTGCAATTTATAATGGAAGATACATGACACTAGTCAGTGGACAGTTTGGCCCGTTGGATACACTTTTAAAAGTACGATCGAATTAACCTTTAACAAAACAACTGAGCTAAGTAACGTTATGATCTAGAGTAAGACAGAGTGACATTTGGTAGTTTCAAGATAAACCTTTAGGCTCAGAAAACAAGAAAACAGCAGACATTTTGCTACGCTACCACTGGTTTTCCCGCGAAATGATGTCCGAGGAACGAGCGCAGGAATTTCGTACTGATGAAGTGTCACTATCCAGATCTGGGTAGTGTTTCTGCGAAATTTGCTGTAGTTTAATAACACTTGTTTATAAATTATTTACGACAGGTTTACATTCGCAACTGTTTTTTGTTATTATTATTATTTTATTTCTTTTTTATTAATAATATAATATGTATATCAATAAAGACTGAACTACTTCAAATACACAAAATACACTACCCTCATGTAATAATGTAATAATCCTTTCGCAACTGTGATTTTTTTTTTAATTTGAAAAACTAAAGAAAAGAAAGAACCCTAGTCGATCGTTTAAACTGTTCAATTCTTCGTTGTTTTCTGTAGTTACTGCAATTCTCGTATTATGAAGTTTTCCGCTTCCGGAAAGCTTCTGAGTCAATGGGGACAAAAGTCTTACAGTAGTCCAGGTAACGTTTACTTTAGTTTCTGAATTTCTTGTGTCAGTGTATCAACTGTTCTTGTCAACGGTACTGCAGTGATCATATTTAAGGTCATTTCTCACGTTCTTAGCTTCCCTAGTACCTGTATCAAGAAACCAATTCACCTATTCATGTGTATGGGAAACCGTTGTGAATTAAAACTACTTGATAAATGTAGATGTAGATTTATACTGTATTGCTATCAACTTGCATACAAGTGAAGCCAATGACAAGAAACGTGGTTGGACTATAACGTCGAAAAGTTTTTGGACTAAAATTCTTCCTTGTGATCATTCAAATTAAACCTCGTTAGTCTTTTTTGGTAGATTGTCGTTCCTTGCGATTACATTTTTAATTTAATTTGATGTCGCTCTTGGTAACACTTATGTCCTTTATTTCTGCTACCCCAGGTGACCCTGCTCCTGGCTCGTTCTTCATTCCACATGGTCTCGCTCTAGACAATAAACGACATTCACTGTATGTTGCCGATAGAGAGAATGGACGCGTTCAGGTGTTCAACTCTATCACCACTAGTTTTATAGGACAAATAAAGCTTCCAGAGTTTGGAGGGCTTGTTTATGCTGTGGATTACAATGACAACGAACGTAAGTTTCTTCAATCATGACAGAATATTCTGTATGGCTTATGCGTTATTAAGACGTTATTAAGATAACGCTATGATTCTAAACGACAACATCAAAATTTTTTTCCAAGAGAGGAGGACTTCAAAGGGCGGAAATATCTTTAATAATAAGCAGGATGAACCGCTTTATAGAGGTTTTTAAACCTCTTGTACAAAAGGCAAAACGAAAATAATTTTTCGGGTATTTTGTCTTTCAGAAGGAGGAGTTCTGCACGTGGTCAATGGACCTAATAAGGATCGACCCGTACAGGGGTTCACAGTTCGTGTTTCTGATGGAACCCTGCTGCAAACATGGCCCACAGAAAAAGGACAGGTACAGGAGTGATAGTCAGTGATTTCTAGTTTGTTTTGCGTCAAACTAGTTAACTCAAATAGTAGTGTGGATTACTTTATACTAACAGTGGCTGAAATGCTAATTTATCTACAGTTGAACCTCCAGACCACAACGGCCTCCTTGTGGACAGAGGAAAGTGGCCGTTGTAAAGAGGTTTGAACAGAAATGTGACTGTTGTAGACAGGTGGCCGTTAGTGGATCGAGATTTGACTGTGTAGCGCGCAAATCAAACAAGTGGCTTGACCAATGGCAGAGCGACAAATTGGGCACCGGAAGTCGAGTTTAGTCGTTTTCGCGCGCTTTCCCGTCGTCAAATGACGTTCGCGTTCTGTTGCTAAATCAGGCTAATATGTAAGTGTGTAATTTATTTATTTATTTGTTTATTGCTGCAGGCTCTTTCCCAGCCTCACGACGTGGCGTCATCCGTTGATGGAACGGAGGTATACGTTGTAGAACTTAATCCAAACAGAGTGTGGAAACTTTCCTCGAAGCAGCAACCTGTGGATGTTCCGTCAATATCTACTGTTTCGGTTGTAACAAACAACACTGCTCAAAAAATCAGTCACCCCAGTCCTAAACCGACCAGTGAAAAGGTTCATACAGAGCGATCACATCACGGTCCTCGTGTTTTAGATTTGGTGGAAGAGAAGGCAAGTTTGGTCCCAACAGATTATGACTCAACCACTGCGACAGGAACCGAAAATAACGGCTCACAAAGACATGGAGATGTTAAAAGTGGGAATGCCAACCTCAGTCAAATGGAGTCAATGCACCACAACAAATCCACTGGTCCAGTAAAAGGTGATATGGGAAACAATTTAGCCGAACCTGTTACTAAAACCTCATCAGATAAGAACAATTCTACAGGCGCACCAGAAAGTGATACTCTAGACAGTGATGACAGCCGCGATGACGTAACAGCCGGCGTAATTCCCGCGCTGGTTATTCTGTCGGTGCTTGCTGTCCCCATTGTGTTCCTTCTCCTTATTAGCATCACACTGCGCGTGCGTGCTTACCGCCGTGACAAACATCTTCAAACGAACGGTTTCCATGGAAGCAGGAAGAATTTGTCAGTGGGGAGGACACGGGGCTGGTGGTCATACATGAATTGCTGTGACAGGCAGAAGTACAAGTTTAACAGGGTCACGCTACAGGACTTTTACAGTGATTCGGACAGCGATGGCGTGTAAACAATGAAATAACAACAAAATATAAATTTACGGTTACGGCCCTATTCGCGAAAAATAATGCTTAGGTTTTCGAAGGTCGATGGCCTTACAAAGTTTGTTAGATTGTTGTAAATGTGAAATGGAGTCAAGTCATAAGTAGGTTGAATATGATCTACTGAGTGAATGCAGTACTTAACTTAGGGACAGTAGTTGCAGTTGCTCAAAAATTTTTAAAACATACCATTAACACTTAACGCAAGAATGTGACAACTTTAGTGTTTCGTAATAGTTTGTCAGCAATATATGTCTTAATTGGCTGCCATGCAGTACTTCAAGGACGAAAAAAAAGTTTGATCCATTGGACACAAAATATAACTTAATTTTAATAAAAGAACACGCACACAAGCTTTCGATTCCATCACGAAACAAACGTCCATCTCCATCACTTGATAAGTTTCTGCGATGGAATCGAAAGCTTGTACGTGCTTAAAGTTTTATCCTGGAGTTTGAAAACTCGTTCATAATAAACATTATTGTGACAGGATCAAGTAACTCTTTCCTCAATAATAATCTGAATGAAAACCATCCTCAAGGCATCTTCAAGTAAATAGACCTCTACAGCTGAAAGTTTTGTTTTCCCAACGTCATGTGATAATGCTCCAGAGAACTGTTTCTTTCAAATTTCGTCTTATTCACGTCCATATGTACCCAAAATTTACAACAAGGAAAACGGTGAATTCGCTTGACCAACACTAGCTTAAGAGGTCTATAGCGTCAATACTTTTCACAATAAATGTGCAAATTAATTTTTTATTTAAGTATGAATAATATTTTTAAATGTGGTTTGCTCCATTTCGGGCATTAAATTGGATTTTATTTTTAAGCCCTTTAAAAACGGCAAGGTATGCCTGTCAGTCAAATTTTGCCTTGTGGAGCGTCTTTAAAAGTGAACAATTAATTTGTGCCAACTCAACACTAGGCATGCGTGGCTACTGAGAGACGCACTAAAAACAATGTAGTATTTCCGTTGACTATATTATATTTTAAGCTCTCTGGTGTGTAGCTCTGTTAATATAGCACGCGGTTACAAGAATAAGAAAAAAAGCACAAGAAATTGATTCTAGCCCGGTGACAGTAGAGCTGTGTACTAAATGAAACCTGTGACGTTGCGCCCTTGTTAGAGCTGTGTGGTGTCTATTGGCCAGCAGACTACGTCGTTCAGTCGGGCAGGACGTACCAATGCATCATAACTAAATACCAGTAGTATGTCTAGGCCTATGTGTACCCTCGGTATGTGTGGGAAACCCGCATAGGTTTAGCGTACGGGGTAGGTGATGGGAAGGGAGGAGGGGAGGGGAGAATCTTGCGCACGATAAGACAAATTGAGCGCTTGGTTTCGCCCATCCACCCACCTCCATTTCGACAATCTGCCAGAGCTTAGCCTGGGTTTCAACAATAAGGATTCACTGCAGTGCGTTGTTTGTCCGTTATCTTTTTATGATTGTAACCTGAATATAAGTTCTCTCTAATTTTCTACTTGTGATTATAGTTAACACGATGTTTTTGTGTCACTATAAAGTTAAATTTCTTTCCAGGTGCTTAACAGTATCTGATTTATTTTATTAATAAAATACCCTTTCACGAGTTATTACCTGTTGCATAATTTCATTCATACGGTGTTAGAATCACCGATAATAGCTAAATATCAATTGTTTCCATTGATTTGAAAGCGTTCGAAATATATATGTGTGTATACATGTATACCTACACATGTTTTTAAACTCCACCGTGAGGTAGGGGAAACGAAGTCATCAGTTACAGAAAAGATACACGTCTTACAGTTCGCGATTAAATTTGGTCGTGAATTGTTCTAGGCAACAACCGTGATAAAATATGAACTTTCTAAATCGGCATAAACTACAATGTTTCTGGGACTTTTAGTACATATACTATTTAATAAGTTTAAAGAGAAAACAATTTTTTTCTCTCGTTCCCCGCTATTACAGACTCTGGGTATTACAGACTCTAAATCTCCCCCCGACGGTGTCGGTAATAACGGAAGTCGGACTGTAATTATAAGTTGTTAAAATCTGATTGGCTCCCTGTTATCAATTATCGACTAATATCACTCTTATTAAACCCTGCAACGCACACAAATATACGTACCCTCCTTAAGACCAATAACAAAATAGTTTAAAAATGAATTCTTGAGCCAGGATTTTACTATTTCAGGTTATGTCACTGAACACTGATCCATTGTTTAAAGGAATTTCTGATTCCTATTCTTTTTTTTTTTTTTTTTTTTTTTTTTTTTTTTTTTTTTTTTTGAACCGGTTCATTTAACCAGAAATCAAATTAGAGGAAACCATTAAAAGCACGAAAAGCTCATGTCACCTGCTTTTCACAACGTCATGGTCCTCGAAAAGTCGGAACGTAATTCAAGCGATGTACTTCTGTGTAAGCCGCGAAAAAGCACATTAGGGCCATTTATACGAGGAAAAATAAGAGGCGTCTTACATAAGACGCGTCTTAAATAAGACACGAACTTTCCGTATAAACGGCATCATTTCGTCTTTTTTTTTAAAATATTTTATAAGAATATCGACGCGGCTTTTTAAGAATATTTTACGCCGAGGCTGAGATTTTGAAAAGTCTTTTTGTGTGTCGAAACATCTGTAAATTAGAATTTTATATTTTTAAACCGACATGCTCGAACGGCGATAAATGGTACAGTTCGCGTTCTTATTTTTGAACTCGTATAAATGGCCCTTTAAGAATAATACAAGAATATTTTCAGCCTAAAATCGGCAGAAAAATAAGAATATTCAGCCTGGGCCGGAAAAACAACATTCTTATTGTCTTATTTTATCTTATAATAAGTAACAGAACTTAGTTTTCATTTTTTGTGTTTGCTTTGCAGAAAAATCATTCGGAAAGTGAGTGCAATTTTAAGCTGTTACCATTAATTGCTCTCAAAAACAAACTGCAGTGACTTATCAAATAGATTCAGGCATCAAATGATTAGATTGTCAAAAAGTTGAGTAAGTATCATGGACGCAATATTAGCCTGCGCAACAAGCGCTTCCGAGCGAGTTCGTCGAGAAACCTAGGACGAAAGCCAAAAACAACTTTTTTTTGCTCCCGCTCTAACTTTCTCGCAATAAGTCGATTGGAAACGCTTGCTACGCAGGCAAACGCAATATGAAAAGCACAAATAGTCAGCAATTAAGCAAAGTATCTGGTACAAGAGAAGTCAAATAGTGACAATAGAAACAATGCCAATTAACAGCCTTACAACATGTAGCTCTTCCGGTGAGGGTTACTGTTTTTCTTGGCAAGATAAATTTGTTTTCCTACCCAACGCGACGAATGCCAAGATAACTGTATGTGCACAAATGTTTACAATGCCCAACATTGAAAATAGATTAAAAAGCCTCCTCTGTGAGGAAGCAGCCCTTGGTGCCGACAACAAGAAAACAGCTTGGTCTTCTAAAAATTAACAGCCTTTAGCCGCATTTAATTTCCGGACGGATTCTGGAGAATTACTTAAGGTGATGGTGTGAGAAGCACATCCACCTCAAAAAGGCATCGGAAATTCTCATACTCGACTACATCTTTTACCGCCATCTCCCTATTGGTAGTGTAAGCTCTTATTTTGGTCAAAGTAATACTATAGCAGGAAATGTCCTTTTCCAGATCTCTTGGTTTATATATATATATTTTTGTTTCGTTGATGTATCGTTTACGCTCACTTTTCTTTATTGATGGCGACGCATGCTTGTGTTAAGTAGTCAAAAAGGTGACGAATTTCTCAAATGAATTTTTTTCATTTTTAATCAGGTTTCAGCGTCGTAGGCTGGATTAATTGGCAACATGTCCACTACAAATGGCACAGGCGCTGAAGAAAACATCAGCCAGTTAGGATTACCTCCAGAATCAGTTGTGATTCTCTCCATCGTCTCTGCTCTGACGAGTGTTGCTGGCTCCTTAGGAAATGCTTTGGTTATGATCGCCGTCTTCAAATCTCAAACTCTCCGTAGCATCCCTGACTACATCATTTCAAGCTTGGCATTTTCAGATTTTACAGTCTGTTTTATATTTTTACCGTTAATGATTCACAGGTACAACCACTACACCAAATATTTAACACACGTTGATTCAGCTGTTTCTATTGCGACGTCCTTTTTTGGCCACTGCTCTTGGATTGCATCGGTTACAAACATGTTTGTGGTAACAATTGATCGTGTTATAGCCGTACGTTTTCCACTAAAATACACTCATATCATGACAGTGCCAAAAGCCTTGTGTGCCATTGCGCTTGTTTGGACTATTTGTCTGACTTTTGGAGCGTTTTACGCTCGAGAAATTGGTGCTTCAAAATTAATCATACTTTCCTACTGCATCATTTTAATGATTGGCACGTGGGCTATGTACGCATATATCTTCTTCGCTGCCAAGCAACAAGAAAACAAAGTTCAAACTTTGAACTCGTCTGCAGGCCCTCTTGTATCAGCTGAACAAAAAGCCGAGAAAAAAGCAACAAAAACCATTTTCACCGTTGTTGGAATTTATACATTGTGTTGGTTGCCATTGCTGCTTTTCCCGATCATTGTGTTTTCAAGTTCTTCAAAAAACGAATTGTACAAGCGGTATTTTCCTTGGGTTCAGACGTTGTTGACGATTAATTCTGCGCTGAATCCATATGTTTACTGTTTAAGAAGCCGCAAATACCGCTATCAGTTTGCAAAGCTTTTGGGGATTAGGCGCTACCAAAATCACCCTGTAGATGAATGAATAAGAGGTTGAATCACTTTGACCATCTGAATAGCAAACTGAATATAAACGAAGATTTTTTTCAACTAAGCCAATAGTGACTTAACCTGTTACTACTAAGACTAGAACTAGAGCATTTCAGATTTCTGATCGTATAATAACCGCTATACACACTTTGCATACAGCTAGTGCACGCGTGCCTTGTGCGTAGTTTGTTGCTTAAACGAAATGTAGGAAGGAAGTCTGTAAACGCGGATGGAGGGAAGCGACGACCAGAAATACGTCTGTGCAGGGGCACCCGATGGATCTGTTCCTCAAAATATCTGTTCTTCATGCAAATTTTTGCTGGCTGGGAGATGTGGAAGAAATAATAGTCCTTGGAAGGAAAGTGTTGCTGGGAAAAAAGATAATTCAGGGTGTCAGAGGGGATTTGAAGTCTAGAATAGCTGCTACGGGTTACTTGTATGGGTTGCTTACCACTCAAGACCTGAATTGTGCCAGGCTATGAAACTTCCCAGTAAGTCAGGTTGCAGGTTGTAAGGTTGCTGGCTGGGAACTCTTCCATCAGTCTTGCTGGGAGTGAGGAACAGATAATTTTTTTCCAGCAATCTCCCAAAATGCTTAAAATAGTCTCAGAAAACTTTATTCACGCTTTGTTGTTGTTTTTAGGTCTTTTTCTCAAAATTTCCCGTTGGGTGCCCCTGTCTGTGTTCGTAAGCTAGGAGGATTCCAACAATAACCATTGTTTAAAACCCAACCCGTCATGTTTATTGTCGTGTTTCTCTTTCTTACTTGTAATTGGTAACTGATAAAAACAATAACAGCAAAACACGAAAAAAACTTTTTAGTGTAAAAATTATTTTATTCTCTTAGATTTAAAATTCTCTGATCTTTCCCTGTATCGGTAGTACATTGACGATTATCAGCGAACCGTGCTCCTGAGTGTCAGTCCTCATGGTCCTCGTCGCATGAATCGTCTGATATTTAATTTCAATATTAACGATGCGTCTAACTGTTTTCGCGAGAATTATTGCTAATTGCTGAAAGTCATCAAGAAAGGGAGGGACTGAACACAAGTCGGAATTGTGTCTCGAAACGGCAAATCCCATATCATGGTCTGCATTTACTTAAATTTAATAAACGCCAGATCCTTTTATTGTCACCAGGTTACAAAACTAAAATGAAATTTTTATTTGGTTCGGTCGGAAATTTGACCGGCGCGGTCTGAACACCATAACTGTCTAAATTTTTGGACGGCAAAGGCGTTGTTGCTCGGATGCGTGCGCTTGGTAACTCAGCTGGGCCGAGACGCCATGAATTATTACCCTGCGTATGGGCGGATGGTAAAACCACTGAAAAAAGTTAAAATTCATCCTGGTTCGTTAGTTACGTGTCAACAGAGCGAAAATATTAAGCGGTTCCGTGTGAACCAACTGTGCCATCTGTCAATTTTTTTAGCCCGTGGAAAGTGATTCTTACGGCCCAACGTAGCTTCAGAACCACGTACGGCAGCCAACGCATGTACCACGGGCGCGCCTTGCATCTCTCTGGGTATTGGTTAAATCATCTTTTCAAGGGAATATTGATTTGTTCGTTATGGCGTTGTACGTTAAACCTACTTTAATATTGTTTAAACCAGAATGTGTCAAAGAATCTAGCCTGAGAAAACAACCGGCATTTGGCGACGCCACCAACGGTTTTCCCGCGAAATGACGTCTGAGAAACGAGCGCAGAAATTCCATACTGATGACGCGTCACTACCAGAAACTGAGCGTTGCTTCTGATTGGTCAAAGTAAATTTCCCGAGCGGCATGACTAATGAGAAGCACTACCCAGTTCTGGGTAATGACGCCGAATTTCTGCGCTCGTTTCTCAGACGTCATTTCGCGGGGAAACCAGTGCTGGCGTCGCGAAATGTCGGATGTTTTCAAAGGCTAAAAAGAACCCAGTAGGATCTTAAAACGTTATGAAGTGTGTTATGTTAATCTCAGTCTCCAATTTATTCAACGGGACAGTGATTATGTCCATTATGTAACCAGCTGTTGCTCTAGGCGGTTCAACAGAAACAGTTCCTTGACAGGATTCCAAATGCATGCAAGTATCACCTTGTAACACAAACTACTCCCTTAGGATAAGTTCTACTATTCTGAACATCATATAATATACTTCAATGTCTGCCGAGGTATCTTGGTATAATTACCAACAACATGTCCTCTTGTGAGGGTCGATCAAGCTCCGAAACAAATTTCACAAGCACTGAACGAACCTGCATTTATCGGACAGAACTGCCTCCAGAATCAGTTGTGATTCTCTCCATCATCTCTGCTTTAGCGAGTGTCTCTGGCTCCCTGGGAAATGCTTTGGTTATGATCGCCGTCTTTAAATCTCAAAACCTTCGCAGCATCCCTGACTACATCATATCAAGCTTGGCATTTTCAGATTTTACAGTCTGTTTTATATTTTTACCATTGTCCATCTTTGAATTCAGTCACTATACAAGCCAGATTACGCAACAGAACTCCGCGTTTTTTATTGTAAAGAACTTTATTGGACACTGCTCCTGGATTGCCTCGGTTACAAACATGTTCATAGTAACAATTGATCGTTTTATTGCTGTACGATTTCCACTCAAATACGCTACTTTTGCGTCATCAAAAACTGCCATATCCGCCATAACGATTGTATGGTTCATTTCTCTGACTTTCGGAGCGGTTTACTCCCGGGATATCGGTGTTCAATCAAGATTCATCATACTTTCTTACTGCTTAATACTGATGTTATGTACATGGGTTATGTATGTATACATTTTTTACACTGCCAAGCGACAGGAAAAGAGAGTTCAGACTATGAGTCCATCCACAGAGTCACATGTCTTTGCCGAGCAACAGAAAGCCGAGAAAAAAGCAACCAAGACCATTTTCACTGTTGTTGGAATTTATGCTTTGTGTTGGTTGCCGCTATTACTTCTTCCGATCATTGTCAATCCTTCCAAGAAGGAATTGTTGTTTAAGCGATGTTTTCCTTGGGTTCAGACTGTGCTATCGTGTAATTCTGCTCTCAATCCGTACGTTTACTGCTTCAGAAGCCAGAGATACCGCAAACATTTTTTAAAGTTCTTGGGAGTAAGGTACTTTAAAAATGGTTAGTCGATCTCAGTATCGAAAAGCTTGCGAATACAGCCACCTCATACGCCAGCTATCGAACCGGGCACCCACTCTCTTCACCCGGCTTCTCACTAGGATAAATAACCAGAGACAATTAGCAAAGTCAACACTTAACACTGATTGCTACAAAGTGATCATGAGACCCTAAAGTTTTAGATATATCTTGAATCATTTACTATCTGATATGAAATAGCTCTTTAGGCGTATAGCAGGGTCGCCTGTGGATGAAAAGGCGGAGGAGGGGATATAACTGACTCCAGCGAATTCGATTGCTAGAGCGTCCCCGGAAAACTCGGTCACTGCACTTCGGTGCACTGCTATCTGTATAAGTACGGGCTTTCTAAAGTTGGAAACTCAGCAACGATCACTTGGTTGCGATGATCACTTGATAAAAGTTTTTCAGGACTTCTGCTTCTGGACTTTCTACAAATTACTTCTCTAGCTGTCGAAGTAAAATTCGGTGTATAAAGGTGTGTCAAGACTAGCAGATATTCTGCAAATAACATGTTGTCATCCGTCGAGTTGTATTTCTTCTGTTCTTGCTATTTTATTTAGGCAGAGGTTCGGCTATTTCTTCTTCGCAAAACGTGCTAAGTTTTCCGCCATTTTCTCAAGCTCTAACAAAACAACTGAGATAAAACGCAACCTCGTCCTCAGGGCTTCTCGGTTGCGGTATTCCTTTTTCCTCGAGATAGACTGTACTATTGACGTCATTTTATCGGATATCGCCAAATTTGGTCAACGCTACCGGGTTATGAAGATTTAGTGGGGGGATTTGAGCCAAACAAAGATGGAGAAAAATATTTTGAATAAACAATATGCAAAAGCAAGAGAGGCAAAAGTGACGCCAAAGTTACGTCATTTTACTGTTACCCCTCTTATCAAACAAACTCCTTCCCAGGATTCTAACTCTGGGTACTACAGTAGCTTGTTGCAGCAGCTGCCATCAGAGGAAGCAACAATTTTGCCATTTTAAATTGTAAAGATCTTTCAAAAAGTATTCAAAAATTAGAGGGCTTTCGCATTTAAGTTTTGTAAGCACTTGGAAAATTTACGAGCCTACGAAAAGTGACAAAAGGTTGAACGATTTAAAATGTTGTAAGCAGTTTGATGTGTCGTTTTGTTTATATTTTGTTTATTGCGGTGAACGTTCTGGTTGACACAAGCTCATGTGTGTACATAATAAAACAATCATTGGATTCCGTTTTGTATCGGGTAGCGAAAATAGTGACTGTCGAAACTTTTATCATTTAGACTCGACGAGAAAATGAGCCTTCTTTCAAAAATGTCATTTTCGCGTTCGTTAGAAAGCATCCTAATCTTGGTCTTCCTATGGTACAAAGCCACAATTCTCGAGGTATCACGGGCGACTGCCCATTAGCCGCCCCTACTGATTTTATCAGGGGCATCTCGGCCGGGAAACTGGACTTCTTTCGACTCGATTTCGTTTCCGTAAGTGACGAACGCGGATCCACTAGTAGACAGAAATAAAGCTCTTTGCAAACAGTGACAGTTTCTCTATAAACTCCTCCGCAATGACAGTGACTTGGGTACCAGTGTTCTTTAGATATGTTATGTTCCTCTTCAAAATTTGCATGTAGAAAGTGTGAAATTCAACAATGACAAATTCCCCACTCACAAACAAACAATTGATGAGAAAAGCAAAGCTCCACCGTGCCGCGGGCAGGGGGGGGGACGATTCGACAAATGACCGAGAGGGATGGGTACGCTTGGAATTGACTGAACCATAAGGATACAAAACAAATGCACTTTGGGTGTGCTTTCCGTGTAATTCTTTATAGACACTGTTCGTCAACGAAAGAAAGAGTTTTTTGAAGTAAATGAACAAAATGACATCAACAGGGGCGCAAACGGCGCTGCTTTTTGATATGTCGTGCAAACGAAAAAGCCGTCCTGTCTTTAATGTTGATTGTTTAAACGCAGAATGAATTCTGTTTGTTGCAGTTGGGTGTCTTCATCACAATTAATAATTCAAAACCCACAAAACAGGGCTCAGCTCTGGTCGTTTCACTCAGTTTTTTCTTTGGCTACACATTTCGTGGGACCCTTTCTGCTAGTTTTGCCGATAGAACGAAATAATCTTTCCTTTGTGGTAAAAAGAAAAACACGAAAAACCATGATCGACACTCTTGTTTAATTAAACTTTGGTGATCAGGCCAATTTATCAAGTCCACGACTTGACGGCGTCACTAAAGATGATTGGATGGAATACAGTTTTGATCATCGCTTTCAATTAAGACCTAACGACGATCGAAACATTTTTATTTTCACCGATAAAACAATAGAGTTAAACGAGGACCATTTCATAAATCAGTCTGTGGCACGAAATATTACTTTTCCACTTTTAGATATAAGATTAAAGTAGAGTTGAAAAATAATGTCATTTCAAATAAACACTGAAAGGTGGTGGCTGGTAATCTCACTGACCAAAGTGGGAAAATTGTGCGGGGATTACACAGCATGAAGATAATATAATATGGTTTTCTTAGTGTTTACCTAAACGTTAAGTATTTTATTTTTAGAAGACATGTCCCAGAGCCAATAACAGCTTTCAGTTTCTGCTTATTTAGAAAGTCACCGTGTTCAATATCGGTCTGCAAATTATTGCTCGCGGTTTTCATCGGCCAATGAACAAAGTTTAATTATCTTTTACCGATTTTGTTGTTATCAGCAGGTTGATGAATATTGCAACATTAGCAGCTGTATTTGTGATAACAACTTCCGAATGTGATACTTAGTTACCTCGCTACTCTTAGATGGTGAAGTTGTGTAATAATTGTAAAATCTTCGCCTGTATTTGCTATCACGGTTTGAAGTCACTGTTTTGTGTGGTGACTTGCTGCAATTGACAAGAAGCCCTTTCGTGGCTCGTTTGATGACCTTATTAACAAAGGTGGTGATGAGATAAACATCCATAATCATAGCAACGAAATGTGATCACAGTCTTCAAGCAATATCAACAGATAAGCTACACTGTCAAGTGCAGTTGCGTTGGTGATACGCGTTGCAAGAACCGTGAAAGAAATGTAAGTTTCCTCCATCGTTCGTTCTTTTAAAATCTGTATAATTCAACCGAATTAAATGATTTTTGTTTTGATATCCAAAAATGATAATTTACGAGGAAAAATTTCCAATTCATGGTACAAAATTTCCTAATCCATCAGGTTTGTAAAAAAAAAACTGAAAAATGCAAAATGAAGATTGAACCATCTCATTATTTCTTCTTAGTTTTAACTTTTTAACTATTGTTAATTCCATCCGTTCTACGTTTCAGAAAATGATAAATAACACTGTTTGCCGTTTTTATTTTTTTTTCTAGAAACTTTTCTTGAATGGTTGTCAGCAAGTAACATCTGTCATCATGTCCAGCACAGAGAACTGTACGCAAAATGAAACGACTATACAAGCAACCTACATAAATCCAGAATTATCTCCCGAATCAGTTGTGATTCTCACCGTCATCTGTGTTTTAACAAGCATGTTTGGAACCTTTGGAAATTCCTTGGTTATCCTTGCCGTACTGAAATCTGAAAGCCTTCGTAGCATTCCTGACTTTGTCATATTAAGTTTAGCATTTTCAGATTTCACCGTCTGTTCTGTTTACCTACCTCTGTCGGCTTATAAGTACAATTACTATACAAGCCCAATATCGCATCCTGATTCAGCGTTTTCTATAGTAACCAGCTTTTTTGGACACATTTCCCTGATCGGGTCTGTTACAAACATGTTTGTTGTAACAGTTGATCGCGTCATTGCTATACGATTTCCGCTCAAATATCCGTCCATCATGACAGTCAAAACAGCCATGTTCGCCATTGCGCTGGTTTGGTTCATCTCTTTCGCTTTTGGGGGGATCTACGCACGGGAAATCGGCGTTTCACGGTTCATTATACTTTCTTACTGCATTATTCTTTTGTTAGTCACCCTCAGTATGTACGCCTACATCTTTTACGCCGCAAGGAAGCAAGAAAACAAAGTTCACTCTCTGAATTCATCCACGCAGCCAAATACTTCTACTGATCAACAGAAAGCCGAGAAAAAAGCAGCAAAAACCATTTTCACCGTTGTTGGAATTTATGGCCTGTGTTGGCTACCTTTATTGCTTCTCCCGATCATTGTTAATCCTTCCACGAAGGAAGATTTGTTTAAGAGATGTTTTCCTTGGGTTCAAACGGTTCTGTCATGTAATTCTGCGCTGAATCCGTATGTTTATTGTTTGAGAAGCCGTAAATACCGCAAACAGTTTGCCAGGCTCTTGCGAATAAAGGGTGCCGAAAATATTCATTCCAACACGGCATCGAACACCTATACTCGCCACTAGTGTGAAACGTTGTACTACACAAGAAAAAATAGAAATATAGACTGAAAGAATTTTCTGAACAAGGATGACGATGATGACGCCATCCGTGACTAAGGAACTTCGGGACTCAGTTCACGCGTCCAAAACCTTAGTTCTTCTAACAGTTCTGACTTATGTCGATAAATAACTAAGACTTTAATTTCTAAGCTTACAAAGGCAGCACCAAAAAATTCATCATTTACCTTTATTTAGTCAAGCCTCCGCACCAAGTAACGGCCACCTCTCTACAACGGTCACTAATTTTTGTCTCGGCGGACAGTCCATACATTTGATTTTAGTCAAGGCCAGGTGACCAAGAAACAACCAATGGCAGTGCCTGTTTAGTTGAGTGAAAGTCTAGGAATATAACAATGGTTCTTGTTTAAACCTCTCTCCAACGGCCCACCTCTCCACAACCGCAACGGCCACTAAAGCGTGTCCCCAACTGCCTAATAACCTCTCGACAGCGGCCAATTTTTTCAGCGACTAATGAAAAACAGGGTGAAAAAGTCAAGAATGGTCATGAAATTTGCTTCGTATGGCGCGTTGATGATTAATCACAGCAATCGTACTTTGATTGTGTTCCATTTATGCTGCTGCATTAAGAACACATTGACCATGCATGATACTTATCGCGAATGTTGCGAACCCTTTTGATTCAAAACATAGATTATTATTATTTAACTCTATACATTATTTATAATTGGATTACCAATAAGGGATACAGTAAGCATGAACTTAGCACGATAAACATGTTGTACTCCCTAAAAAAATTGGTCATCTTACGCCCCTCCCTCCCCATAACGGCCACTTTCTTGAGTTTCTTCTGTCCCCAAGGTGACCGTTGTAGAGAGGTTCGACGGTATTACTTAAAAAAAAAACCAACATGTTTATGACTTGTGAGTCAATGTTTGAGAAATCTAGTAATTTTCGATGACGTCATAGTTTCTCCACCACTGCCTTTTCCCGCCACATAAGAGATGATTCTCTAGTTTATGTACAGTGAGTTTGAGATTAAATGGGCCTTTTCCGAGTTCCCCCGGGCCTCTGTTTCAAAACGAGGGTAGGTGCTCAGCCTTTGATATGGAAATCTTTTTTAATTCTCATGTATATAAAACTCATTTTCACAAGAAAGGTTGTGAACCTAGCTTCATTTTGAAAGTGAGGGTTACTGGAACTTAATTCACGAAATTAAAGACGTAATTATCCCCTACCCTTATGGAGAAAATAACAATGTTGAGAATCCCAACTGATAGGATGAACCAGCTTGCTATTCTAAAAGAGTGGCCGTGGAATGCCGAAAACAAATCAAACTAGCGGTCAGGGTGGGACCCTCCGGATTACAAGTACAGCTTTGAAAGCGCTCGGCCACGCTGGCTCCTCAAATCTTTTCAAAATACAACAACAAGGTGGGAGTAATAAATTTACTTATGTATTTACACGTGGTTGAATAAAATGAAATTGAAAGAAAAGAAAATCTATTACCTCTTGTTTAGAGGAATCTTGGTATTAATAGGGCATGAATGAACTGTTCTGTCTATAACAATGTTCAATGTTCATTTGTACATTGTAACAATCCTGAGAACAAAAAGGAATTTTAAAAAATGATCCTGTTAAATCATTGCGTCCGACGTCAGGAGATGCAACAAGCGAGAAGCGTGGGCACGACCATTTAGTATTGTTGCAGTAGGGAGGGGAGGGTACATTATCCTACCTCAGTATGAGACCCTTACAACGAATATTCTTTATTTTAATACAAAAATATCAAAGAGGTCTGATATTAACATAACTCTAGATGGAAATTATAGATATAAAAAGAATAGAAGTCGATACCATCTATGACTGGTGAGGTTTTTCCTATAGAAAAGGATCCATCGCCCCGTGTATCACAACGAGGTAAAGTACTCTAATCTTCCCTAAACAAAAAATTTCTCACTAGTTTGTGATTGTTTATTCGTAGTTTTACTAAAGCCCTTCTCCCGGCTGTTTCTCTTTTTAAGTCTAAGCAGGAGCCCATCAGTCTAAGTAATTAGAGGAGGTATGATCGGTTTTAAAAGATCTATAAAATTCAAAGATTTTGAGAATGTTTAAGGGTGTTTTACCAATATGAGATATATTCCTGTTTCATTGAGCTTACACAGCCTTTTACCATAGCGGTATCTAATGAATCAGGGTTAAAGTCAGGTAGGTTAAAATATTCTGACATATCCATCAAATGAAAGTGGAAGCTATTTTTGCCATTACAGTGTAAGTCAAATAACATTAAAAAAGATTGTTTGACGCAACTGAGATTCCTCGTAGACTGAATATATAAAATGTATTTGAAAATTTTTTGATCGATATTGATATTTAAAGGCAAACGGCCAAGCGCTGTCTGGATTTGCGAGCCGTCTTAAAATCTGGTTTGCATACACACCCCAAATTTAACTTTTATATGTTAGAATAGGGGAGATCATAGCATCAAACATTTTACAGGCGAGAGCTGTTTTTAGTTTGCTATGATTCGTGACCATAGAAACTGAGGGTCGAACAGTTCCCTAAAACTAAGAAGGATATCCCCATCTTCATCAAATAACGTCAAGTGCTTTTTCTCACTGTTTCATCCACAGGCGTCCCAAACTCTATATATGAGCGCATATTTTAATTTATACATCTGCTAATCTTGCGTAACGTAGCCGGTTTTTCATAGTTTAAATGGGAAAAATTAAAAAAAAAACTAGAAAAAATCTCGCCTCATCTTAACTTACCGTGTACCAAAGAATTAAAACAAACTTACTTTCGCTGAATTTTCTGTTCCTGTGTCGTTTTGAAGCGTTTTAGGCCGTTTTTGCTATTCTGTCTTAATCTTCATAATAAGGTCTTATTATGCTATACGATAAGCTATGATAAGGCGATATTTTTTCTATTTTTATTTTTCCGATACAAACCCTGTAAAACGCCACGTTACTTAACAAATGTTCTTTATGTTAAGACAAATATGTCAACAAGATCTGATACTGAATTATTTACTGAAGAAAATTATTTTACAAATTGCGACGACATTAATTGGCTGATAGGGCTCTTTCTACAGAAAAGGACTCCAGAACCGCCATGGGTACCATAGTCTTAAGAGTGCGATGGATTGGTCATAATCCGATGTGAGCAGGAGAAACAGCGAGTGGGTGGGGTAGGGGGGTGACGAGACATGCGAAATTACCATTTGCGTGGAAGGCTAGGGACATGTGATCTTTGACAGATCTGCGGCGGCTTCATGTTGGTTACGCAATACCAAAATATTTCGCCAGCAGCCCTTTTAATACGCATCCATCAAAAACTCATTTTTTTTTTTTTTTTTAATTCAGAACCTCAAGGAAATTTCGTAACGTGCACTGGTGGCCACCTTACGAAATTTGCCGCGGTTGCCGGCCTCTGTGACAGAATGTAGTTGAATCGATAAAATAACATTTTATGAAATACATTTATTTCCAGTTTATCATTGATACATTAACATAACTTAAAACTGACAGGTGTGTGAAATAACTGATTATTTATTTTGCATTTCACAATTTCCACGAAAAAACTACTTGCCATAAACAATCAAAAACATCAAATTTCTTCAGCTCAATAAATATGATTAACTTAATAAGTCCATCTTAAAAAGTAAATCTCCTCTGACTCGTTTAATTTAACTGTTCAAACAGGACAAATGCAGCAACTGGCCACTGACAATTGTTTCGCTGCAAATCAACTGCTCAGTCATTGTTGAACATGCGACCGTCTGAAGTTTTATTGAGCGTCAGACGCTGGTTTTAGTCGAAGGAGTTTTGTAAATTGTTTGCGATACCTTTCGCTTCTTATGAAGTAAACATACGGATTGAGAGCAGAATTACACGCTAATGCTGCTTGAATCCAAAAGAAACTTTTTTTAAACAAAATAGGGTTTTTGGCTGGATTTACAAAAAAATGAATAAGTTTTGATGGCAACCAACAAAGCGCATAAATTCCAACAACGATGAATATGGTCTTGGTCGCCTTTTGTTGCACGACAGAAATTTGCGGTGGGGTAGCTGGATTTACGGGCCGAACCACTTTGTTTTCTTGTCGCTTAGCGGCGAAAAAGATGAAGGCGTATATAGCCCATGTGCCAAAGATTAACAAGGTGGTATATACAGTTAAAATGGCATGGTGAGAAGGATTGTTTAGTTCTTGGGAGTAAACGGTCCCGAAGGTTAGCGAAATGAGCCAGACTATTGCAATGGAAGAAAAAGCTACTTTTTCCGTTACGAAGATGGGGTATTTGAGTGGAAATCGTACGGCAAGTAAACGATCAATTGTGATCACAAACATATTGGTTATTGAGGCAATCACAGAAAAATGCCCAAAAAATCTCTTTACAGTGTTAACAAAAAAGTTATTGCCGTATGTTACCTGGAAAATAAGTAGGGGTAGATAGATAAAACAAACTGTTAAATCTGAACATGCTAAACTTGATATGATAAAATCAGGAATACTTCGAAGGCTTTCTGATTTGGAGACAGCAAGGATGACCAAGGAATTTCCAATGCTACCAGAGACACTCGCCAAGGAGCAGATGATAGAGAGGATGACAACCGATTCTGTAGATAATTCTGGATTACTAGAACTCAGGCCTTTTTCTGCGCTCCTGTCAATCGAAGGGCTTGGACCATCACTATTGGTACTGTTCGTCAACATGACAGGGAATGATAGATGTGAGTGATAACTTTCAGCAGTTATACCAAGGTATTTTCTATCTGTTATGAAAAAAGAAAAATAAACTCATCGACACTGGACTAAAACGAGATGACTCTGGTAAAAGAAGATACCAATATGCTGGCTTGCAACCTAGTGGTAGACAAAGATGAGAACAGGCATGACGAAATCTATGACGATTTTGCTTTCAAGCCTTCGACCATGAAGAAAACCAAAAAAATAAAAATAGGCATATAAAGTTCATAATAACACTGTGACGATAGAGCAACTTACAGAGTTCATAAGTAGCGACTCCATGCATGGACCATTACAATCAATCCTCCATCGAGTTTCTAGTCTTTCGCCTCTTCTCTCACCTTATAGTATCTGCAACTGTTTCCAAATTTATATCCATGTTGCCAAATGAACAGTTTACTATAGTTTTTCTAAAGGTTTTCCATTTTGGTTTGGTTGTTACTGACTAATGGATTTCATTGTTTTCAAAATACAAGTTAAATCGCCTTGATTAACTTCTAAGAGCTTTTTAGAATTTTAGGAACGAAATAGCAGGTTTAAATATACATTTAGCACTTACCTAAATGCAGTATACTTTCATTAGTAATTTCTATTGCGCCAAATGAACTCACGGTAAATCCTGGATATTATGGTGGCACTCAGGTAGCTTAATGCCTAATGTTTTTTAATTGCTTGCAAGTAAGAAACTTCGAAAAGTTCTAACTGACTTTTTGCACTGCTTTTCTACAGGCAATTAGCTGTAAAGAAGAAAATCATTTCGTGGAGCCACACAGTAGCGATCTGTCGACTCAGGATATAGCCATCGGCGCCTTTTGAAGAGACAAAAATACCTGTCTTGAAATCGTGCAACCTGAGGCACTGATACATGACTACTCAAGCCACACTTATTAGAAAATGATTGGAATCAACATAAATTAATTACTCATTTTCATTTGCCTTAGCCGGTAAGTCTCGAAAAAGGCCACCAAAGTCCACGGCTTTTTTCAGCTTTCAAGAGCTTTACAATCGGTGACTTCAAATCCGAGCGAATTTACGGCTTTTATAACGATGAATAGATGATTCACGAACGCGCGTACATTTTCTGCTTATGGTAAACAGGGCGCATCAAAGCAAAATAAACAAAAATAGTCACGTGCACCATTTATTTCTTACGAGATATTTAAAGAAAGAACCTAAGGTAATCATATATGACAACTGCTGCGCCCCAAAAATTCCGCCGTCAGAAGTAGAAGATAAGTTTTTTTTTTTATTTTTGACATCTACACGGCCACTCGAAGAAACAGATGATCACTTTGGTATTAACGCCACGTTTGGGTGAAGGAGTAGCCTCAGCACGCGATGAATGAGTACCATGGCATACGGCACTTATTCATCACTGATTCATTGCGTTCGACAAATGAGAACGCGTTCTAAACTATTTGTGGGGACTGATTTGGTTTCTCTCAGTAGCATTATTTTGCTAAGAAACTTGCATATTTTCAACGCTTAGCCCGCGTTTTCCATTGTCAGAGTAGTAAGAGCGCTAGCTAAAGAAATACTCATCATGGTGTAAATCTAAGATTGGAGGAGTTGTAAGCGGTGTCTTAAGCTCGACATAATCGGATTGGCAAGAATAAGAACGTTTCCCTTTTCTTCCGACTCCTCTCATGTCTCCGTCGCTTTTGATCTAGCGTAATTAAAACAGATTGTCGGAAACATCTAGAATTATCCAGTCAGTCATAATGCTTGATCAGGAGTACCCAACGAATCCGCTCCTCAAAATATCCGCTCCTCAGGCTAAGAATTTTCTGGCTGGTAACTAACTAATGGATGAGAAACTCTAGCTGGGAATTTTGCCGAAACGCTTATCTTGCTGTGGTTGTCCCTTTGCATACCGATGCTGGCTCGGCCAAAAAAAAAAAACCCTTCCCCTCTGGCTTCCTGTGGCTTGTGAAAGTGTGCTCTGGCTAATTTGTTGGCCGGTTATTTTTTTGGCTGAAGTAAAATGACACCTAGTAAGGAAATTTCAAAGATAGCGCTGGCTGTGAGTGACAACTACGGTGCACCGCAGGCTAGTGCAAAGTCGAGCGCGTGTATACAATTGTCACTAAATTGATAGAAAATTGAAAGGGACAAAAGGCGTGTACAAAATGTTAACTGAATACGTCAGTTATTAAAACGCTGTCAGCAAACAATGCAATTTCCCTGTCTTTTGTTATGGTGTCAGTGTGGGATTTTGACAGAGAACTCATAATATTTATTGCGCAAGGAATGCCATCTGAGGAGTGGCGGTCATAGTCGCAGTGGTTGTTTTGTGTCTCCATTTTGTGTGATTCAACTGAATGTTTACGGGTTTTGACAATTTCTGCTACATCCAAACTCTGCTGATTTCTAGGTAAGTAATCTTTTCTCTACGTCCTTGCTTTCAACTTAATACCTTTTGCAAGTTTTGGTAAGTTGCCTTATGGTCTCAACGGTCTTTTTTGCATTTTATGATCAATTTTTAGTGCATCCTTCCAGAGCGGGCAGGGTCACTGTTCCGGTAGCCTGGTTAAGAGATCATCGTAAAAATAAGTCCAGCAGGTAAGAATGCCTTTTGCTTTTATCCCGATTATGTTACAGTATGCACCTCTATTTATAACCATTACTGTTCAGAGACAACATTTTTGTTTGACTGTAGCACATAATGCCTTTTCCTGCTAAACGGAGTAATATGTGTAGTTACTTACTGGCGAAAATATAGCCTACGCGTTTGTGTCTTGATTACCGGTAATATGGATTTCTCTAAGCAAATGGAAGCGAACCGTTCTTGCCGCTAAAGCCACCCCAAATAGACTTAGTTAGTCTTGTTACTTATCTACTATTAGAGGATAATTTACTGTGGAAAGTAACAAAAAATACATTTGCCTAATCAGAGCGATTTTGCTACTAAAGTGTTTTGCTGGTATCGATCATTCTGGACAACATTTCATAAGGCGCATCCCTTCCGATTAACCTCAGATGTTTTTATCTGTTTGGTGTATTGCTTGACCAGATACATCTAGGCACGCTTCGGGATTCAACACCAATAAGTCGTTTTATGGATGTAGAACTGCCAAAGTATCAAAGCCTTTTTGAACAGGCTCCCTTGTTTTCTCTCGCTTGCCTTTTCTTTTACAAGTAGCCTGTTCACATGCTAATCGTCAATCTCTGGCACAACACCCTTCAAAATTTGTTATTACACGAGGACCAAGTGTTGCAGGGATGTTTGTTCTTATTTGTATGTTATAGTTATATAATATTTGTATGCTATTCTTAGTTAGCGAAATGAAGTCATTCAGTGCAGATTCTAACTGAGACAAATTTAAAAGAGCCATAACTGAAAGAACCATAAATTTTTAAAGTAATCTATGCGTCACTATTGTATTTTCCGGTATTCACAAGGCAAAACAAATACATGTTGTATTTCCAGTATTTCCCATCAGACGGGAATTGGTGAGAAATTCCTTTTTTAGCCAACGGGAGCAAACGAGTGCATAAGGCCAATGTCTTAGTCTTCTATAATACTATGTTGTTTCTGGATAGACAGAGTTAGTTGTCGGTGCGAATACTGTATTGATCAATACCCACAAATGGCAACGGAAAGGAACGGCAGCCGGCAGACAGATGGTTTGTTACGTTATAAAATTTGCGTTGGAAACGAAATTATTAAGAAGGCACAACTGACAAAAAAATATGGCCCTAGTCAAAACTGGATAAAATAGCTCACTGTTATAGGCTGTGTTTTCACTGGTGTTATTTACTAGCTGAACATTCTTTCTAAGCGTGACATTTCTTTTCACTGTGAAATTGAACCAGGAATTTATAGGTCACTTCTCCGCAAGATAGCCGTTGCAGTTTTCAAAACTGGTCGGGGACGAACCATGTTGAATGATTTCTCTTGTATTCGTTCTCGCTTTATTTTATATGCAGAAGACGAAGTTACTGTCAGAGAATGTACCTTAGTAGGTCTGTTCAGAAAAAGGAGGAGGCAATCATGTTGCCGACGGCCAAACACAATTTATTGCCGTGTTTTAAAAGCGTGAGATCACACTGGCTTATCCGATCGGTTCCTGGTCGAGGAACTGGAAAATGTAACAACAAGAAATAAATGAAGAGCCGGATCGTTTAATAGCCACGTAGTTTACGCGGCACTTTGATTGCCAGATTTTTTTTTTTTTGCAGCTAACTGTCATTATGTGCAGCTCCATTGGGTGCGCTATTCAGCAGGACCAAATTATCATCTCACGAGGCAGTATAAGTGAATTTCCGGTTAAAGAGGCGACATTTTTAATTTGATTTTTTTTTCTGGTGAAAACAGCTTGCATTTTTCACTCGCTAAACATAAGACAATGTGTCTTCACTGTATTCCCGAACTCTTGTTTCGGCTTTTTTGTGGTCAAAGTTGCCCACTGAAAAATCACATAAACACACCAAATAATCATTTTAGCAATTAGCTTACAATACTTGATCTTATTGGAGACAAGCTTTGGTTTGGACTGACTGAATTAATGCCCGCTCGCATTTTGTGGATCATGCAGTCCATAGCTTTTCCACTTTTGAATTGTGTGTGAAGTCACAGCACGGTGGTCATGGTTATAGAAATACACTCGAGAGGAATCGAATTGACATGCAAATATGCTGTGTTTCGCCTGAAATCGGGTATAGATTTTGTCCATTTTGGTATCGTTTTCCGGGGGAACTACGGGAGAGTATGGACGTATTTATCCTTTCGATTCCAAATTAGCAAGAAAGAAAGAAAAATACCTTATTCTTAATGGATTTTGATTTATGGTGACATAATTTCAGCCCAAAAGGCCAGGTCTGAGAAGCAATCTTCCGAGGTAAAATGACCTCGCAGTAGGCTGAACAACACATAACGTCTTGTGTGCTAGAGAATATCAAGCGTGTTTTTTTCCCGACGTTGACAATCGAATACTTATAGGTAAAACGGGCAACCAAACTGGGAGATCCTTGTTATTGCTAGTATTGACATGTTATTCCTGCAGTTTGTTCAATTCTTGACTTTCACGTGGGTAAATTTTGCTGTGGAGGATTATTGAATTTTACATTACTTAATATTTTTGCCAGTTGTCTCACAGTGAGGGGAAATAAAGCTTTAAATTGTTTCACGCGCATATTGATTTCCTGTGAAAATACTGTGCTGTCAGGATTTGACCTCTGATACAGAGTTTAGTGTTAGTTTTACTTTTTTCTTTGTCTTTTATGGGTAATGGCGCGTTTCTTTTGCAGTTACATAACCGTGAAATGTCTGAATGGGAATAACTGCTAGATTTGTTGCCAGTGAATGGAATAAATCCCTGCTAAGTTTTGTCACGCTGGGCCCACAGTAAATTCGCCGCGACCAAAATCGAACTCGCTCTGTTCCTTGCTTAAAGGATATCGAAATTATATTCCTTTTTCTGCAAACAGATCATCTTCACCGGTAAAACTTCTAATTAGACTTTTGTCTTCAAAAATTCCCCTTTCCTAAACTGAACCATGATATCCTTCCTGGCTACCGAGGCCAGGGTGAAATTATTCCGCGTGGACATAAGAGTACGGCTCGGAATTTAGTCCATGCAAACAGGTATTAAATTAACGACACGTTTCCCTTTTCCTGCAAACGGTTCATTCCAGCGAGTAAGGAAATTGTTCTTAACTTCCTTTCATATCTAAATTTTTTAACGGAGAATGCTTGACTACTTAACCACTACCTCTATGGATTTGGTCTGAAAAACGGGTGTGGGAAATTACATTTCTGGATTGAAATAGGGTCAGGATTTGGAGAAGCTGGCGGCACACACTCACATCTAGAATTCCCAGGAGTATCTCCGTCCCCCGGGGTTTCACCCTATCCAAGTGATAGT